TCCTGTAGAGTACCGGGTTGTGGAGGACTGCGAATGGGGGGCTGATTTTTAAGAAGGGAAATAGATCACTTGCGGCGACTTATGAGACAATTAGCTTAATGTCTATTGTGATAAAATAGCTTGAATGGATAATCGCAAAATTCACTCGTTTGTAGCTTGAAAATCATAGATTAATTCAGATTCACTTCATTACTAACGGCCGCTTGTGTCAAGTATTGTAGGTTAGGCTTAAAGCAGTTACTAGAAGGGAATGAAGATAAATTAATAGAAAGGTTGATAAAATTAAGATAGAAAGCAGAAATAAGTTGAAAATAAATGCCAGCCAGAGGGAGCACCAAGGGAGCTGTGAAAGAGTGAGAAGAGTAGACAGTACACCAGCGGGAGGAGTAAGTTAAACGTGGCGTGACGCGACCGTAGACTGTGATGAGACGCTGACTGTTTCTGTACTTACGTGAATGTGCCTGCGGAGTCGAGCGCTAAAAGTATGGCTTTACCAGCGTGTGTTGTCTAATGTAATGAGTCCCAACCCTCTCGTTCCTTCTCATATGTATTCTTTTAACACTTGATTGTGTTTAGTTTCAATTATCTCAACCTAAAGTGCATTCCATTCACTCAGTCCCATTACGCAAAACAAAAGTCAAGGTCTAACATCACTGTGACTCAACTACGCCTCAAGAGTCCATGTGTGTGCACACTAACTATCTTGTCTGGCAATAAACAGGGCGGCTTTATACACCTGGGAGCAGTTATTGACAGGCTCGAAGAGCAGACACGCTCTTGGAGCCTGTCTTCATATACGTCGCAACCATTTGCGACGATCAAGTTTCGATCATCATCCTTCCGCCACCCCTATCTCCACCCTTACGTCATATATGTTACTATCATATCTCCTCGACGCCATCTCTCCTCCAGTGAGGAGAGGCTCAGGTCCCCTCAGCCTCTCCTCATACCTGACTCCTCGTCGGTATGGTTCGCCATCGTCGCTTGCATGGTTTGAAAATGGTTTGTGTGAAGAAAATGGTTTGTATGAAACAGTTGCGAACAAAATCAATCAAACGCAATTGGCTATGGCTTGTGGAGTCCCTCTCCTGATCAATGGCTCTGAAACATTAAGTGTTACATTATCTGAAGATGAGGGATATGTGTGCTAACCTATTTGTTACTGCAGGATCGAGCCTTAGCTCTTGGAGCCTGTCTTCATATACGTCGGTCGTCTAATTTAATGATTCGTGACCTGTTAAGAGCAGAGGGGCGGTGAGAGAGGAGAAGATAGCACGGAGAGCGTCCTACCGTCCGAGCCAAGAGTGCGTTCTTTTAAGAGATGAAAGGCGCGTCTGTTTACTCCCGCCGCTGGCAATTAGTGCACAAGTAGGTCACTTGTTGTGAGTGAAGGTCTGTGCGTGTCTGTACTCACCAAGAAGTGCCCACCTAGATGTACTCACCTATTAGATGTGCTTGCAGGGGCCGAGTTAGGTTCCTAATCCCGCCTTTCCAACTTTCTTAAATTAATGCAATGATTCATTTCTCACGTTTTTATCATATTTACATTTGAAACTTTCAATAGAATTAGCTTGAGCGACGTCTACGTCTGACCTAGACCTATTACTGACAGCTCTATCATTGAAAAAGTTTTTTTTCTGTTGTTTCTGACTCATTTGCGTTTCTAGTTTCCATCTGTGATCTCTCGTTCTGCTGTTTCTAGCTTTAAATACTGCTGCTTTGTCTACTTTATCAATTCCATTTAGGATCTTAAATGTTGTTATCATGTCCCCTACCTCTTTTTTCCTCCTGTGTAGGAAGGGCCAATACTCTGTCTATCCTCATAGCTTAGTCCCTTCAGCTCAGGAACTAGTCTCGTTGCATATTTTTTTTATTTTTTCTAGTTTCTCTCTTGTCTTTTTGCCCAGTCACTTGGGCTCGATGGTAGAGCGACGGTCTCGCTTCATGCAGGTTGGTGTTCAATCCCCGACCATCCAAGTGGTTGGACACCATTCCTTCCGCCCGTCCCATATCCAAATCCTTATCCAGACCCTGACCTCCGGAATATACTTCCTGATGGGGAAGTATATTCATGAGCGGGTCTCACCCTCCCTGTAAATGGGGCCCGGAAAACCGTGTGTGTGTGTGTGTGTGTGTGTGTGTGTGTGTGTGTGTGTGTGTGTGTGTGTGTGTGTGTGGAGCTGTCTACTTTTCATTAGTAGTTTAATGCAATACCTATTTGTTCATTTTTTCTTGTCATATTGTGTATATACATTCGAAAGTTAAGGTTAGTGCGGACACGTTCATCTAAGTCATTCTGTTACTTGCAACTCTTACTCTGAGTTCTTTCTGACATGTGTGCGAGTCACTTGTGAGAGTGTGTTGTTAACACTATTCCAAGCGTGGTAGCAACAAAATTAGTTGGTAGACCGAAGTCTACCAACTAATTTGCGTGGCGGGTAAACAGTGAAGTCTTGGGCAGGAAAGTCATGCATGCTCCCTAGCATCTTAGCAATGTTTGCTTCTCCAAGGAGCCAGGATCATCTGCCAGGAGATGAGCTAGATGGTAGTGTACAATGCTTCTTGTTCGAGAAGTGTTCGGACGTCATCAGTTGTGAGTCGTGTGTAAACAGTTTTTCATTCATAAACAGGGGGGTTTGGCGGGTGCATGGAATGGACTTTGGCCTTTGTTTATAAGGACGGGCTGACACTGTTAGGTAAGCATCCCTGCCTCTTCCGCCACCCCTATCTCCACCCTTACCCCTACTATCAACGCTCCCATCCCCCCATCCCTCCACCCCCAATCTTCACCACTTTGAGCTAAGCTGAATAATAGAAGCACGGAAAGCTTCACTTGAAATTAGTTCCTCATCTGAACGCTAAAATGTATTCGTGCAGCGCCGCGGGTGAAGCCCCAGGCGACCTGGTGACCCTGGCCAGGGTTCATCCCTAATGGCGGGTTCCCAGGGGAGCGCATAAACCCCGGCCCTCTGGTCCCATTCTCCCTCCACGCCTAGCATTCAAGGGTAAACTTAATTATTATGCGTCGTTCCTTTAGCCTTGGTGATCGTCCTCTTTCATTGTCTAAGTGTTCTAAAGCTTCGTAACATATACTGTTTACCTTATAGTTTTACGTCAAAATAATCGGGAATTAACAAATATATATAGCTTATTAAGATAGGCATGGATTTTATGAGCTTTTAAAAAAAATGATAAAATATGCAGCTATAGTTTCACAAGACGCTCTTATTAATTACATTATCTTTTGGTTATTAAATGTATTTGACGTTGGTCATCCTGTGAAAAAAATGTACGGATGTCCATGCGAGTTATGACGTCATACTGGGAGTGCTAGATGGTAGTGTACAATGCTTCTCATTCACATCCTAATTGTTGACCTCTCAGTATTATATCTGGTATTATCCTGCACATCCGGAGGCCATTAGCCCGAGAGTGTCGGGTAGAAGCAAACTTTGTTCAGTGAGAATCGACCACCCTTGACGGGAGAGCGCCAAGGTTCATGAAAATATAATGTGGGAGTATTGAATTTAGCCGAGAGGTGTGGCATCTGCGGCGCCATGTTGGGCGTGTTGCCAGTCACCGCCAGCGTCACCGAGACCAGATACCTGTGCTTGTTACAGCTGATCTCACAGCTGATCGACACAGCTGGTTGTCACAGCTGATCGTCACAGCTGATCGAGTATATTCCATCATTTGTGCTTACCATTTCAATTATACGTGGATTATAGTTCATGCCGGAAATATTTACTGAAATGTATAAAACGGTTTCTGAATTGAGAAAATCCGTTCCAATTTGCATATAAACTAAGCAATCAAGAAAGTGTTTGTTCATCATGGTAAAAAAAAAAATCATCAACTCTGAAATTGAAAATGTAAAGTATTATAGATGTTGATTAATGTCTGGCTCGATTACCTTATTAGATTGACTGAATGACTGGTGATTTGATTTTTTAATATTAGCTCTTGAAAGGTGGGTTCCAATAACTGGAGCCCGACCCTCCTTATTTAGTTAATTATTACACCTAGCCTTCGGGCTCCAAAAAGATGGAGAAAACATGATATAATGTTAGGCGCCGGGAGTAGCCGAGAGAGGTGGTAGAGGTTTATATAATATTCACCAAGTTATTTATCTCGTGATGCATAGACGACTTAGTAATTAAACTTTAGTTGTAAGTTAGTTAGAGTAATTACCAAGTACCAAGGGTCAGATTCACGAAGCAGTTACGCAAGCACTTACGAACCTGTACAACTTTTCTCAATCTTTGGCGGCTTTGTTTACAATTATTAAAGAGTTAATGAGCTCCGAAGCACCAGGAGGCTGTTTATAACAATAACAACAGTTGATTGGCAAGTTTTCATGCTTGTAAACTGTTTAATAAATGTAGCCAAAGCCGTCAAAGGTTGAGGAAAGATGTAAAGGTTCGTAAGTACTGGCGTAACTGCTTCGTGAATCTGGCCCCTGGTGGGTGGTGTAGTGGTCCACGGAGGTAGGGGCCCAAGTGTGGGGCCCAAGTGTGGGGCCCCTCTGCACCAATGACCCTTTTAACAATCCAAACACTTCCTGCTAGATTCATTAAGTACTTGTGAAACCTGTACATGTTTCAACAATTATAACAGCCTTGTTACATGTATTAAAAGGGTTTACAAGCGACAAAGCACTCCGAGCTTGTTTATAACAATAATAACCATGGTTGTGTTGTTTCGTAGCCCGTAAACTGTTTAAGAAATGTAAAACAAAGCAGCCATGATTATTGACAGATGTACAGGCTACACGCGGAAATTTGAAGAAGGAAATATTGTAACGCAGTTAAATACTTGTTGAATTTTAAAATCTTATATATTTTTTTGTTTACAGTGTGTGTGTGTGTGTGTGTGTGTGTGTGTGTGTGTGTGTGTGTGTGTGTGTGTGTGTGTGTGTGTGTGTGTGTGTGTGTGTGTGTGTACTCATGCCCCGCCCGGTACACGTACACCTTTACTAACGCAGGTGTGTCCTCCAACAGATGTGCTCAACGGGTACAATGGGACCATCTTCGCCTACGGCCAGACGTCGTCAGGCAAGACCCACACTATGGAGGGCAAGCTGGGCGACCCCACCTGGCAGGGTAAGTTATCCTCCCCCACCCTCTCTTACCCCACCTACCTCACTCACTTCCCCCTTACCCGACCCTTCATGGTCTAGGTCTTACCTTGTGTGTCTTACCTGGTGTGATGTGTGTGTGTGTCATCTGGAGTGTCACCCCTTGTGTGTGTCATCTGGAGTGTCACCCCTTGTGTGTGTCATCTGGAGTGTCACCCCCCTTGTGTGTGTCCCGAGCCAGACTCGACCTATGCAAGCAAGTGATGGAAGTAACGACCTACAAGATAGAATTTCACACATGTCAGAAATTTCCTTTCATTATTTATTCTAACTGTAACTGGTTTTTTTCCATCAGAGTTCCTTAGATTCCAGTCTCTCTCTCCATGGCTGAAGTCCCCCATGATAACTAGCTTTTTCCTTATGTTATGGTCCATTTCAGCTGTTAATATATAATTGCCCAGCTGACCGTGGTATTTTCATATTCCGGCTTAGCTGTGTCATTCCCTGGAAGGTTATAGGTAACCACCATCATCATTCTTCTTCCTCCTAGTGTGACTCTTATCGGAGGGGAAGGATTTAAGTTGAACATATCCTAAAATTATTTTCCTTTCAAGTTTTATTTTCCTGCTAATGATGTGACAGTGCCTGGGGGAACACTGAGGCAGACATTACTTCTACAGCATTTTGTCTCCGCGACTGCTATTACATCAGGCTCTGGTTCCTCTTATTTCTTTTTATGTGTCGTGGAGCGACTGTAGCTGTATTACTGACTGTTGCTACACGGTCTCCCTCACCGACTGTGATGCACTAACTGTACCTCCACCGCAGGCATCATCCCGAGGATCGTGCACGACATCTTCAACCACATCTACAACATGGAGGAGGCGCTCGAGTTCCACATCAAGGTCTCTTACTTCGAGATCTACATGGATAAGATCAGGGACTTGCTCGACGGTGAGTAGCCTCACTGACTGACCAGCACGAGGGGAGGGAGGTCTGGGGTGCTATAGAGACGCTCAGTAATGCTGCATAGTAATCTGCATCTTGAGAGACCTCCGGCAAGATCTATTACATGCTTACAGTTGATACGTGATAACATTAGGTAATATTGTTTTGCAGACAAGTTCCATTCCTTGTCTTATAATTAACTAATGGATTGTGGCAGCACTTTCTACTTTTCTCCATTCTATCATTCATTCTCTCTCTCTCTCTATCTATCTCATTTTAAACTTTCCCTTTCTTCTGACGCCTCTTCCTCACTCCTCCCTTCCACCTCTCTACCTCTCTCGCTGAGTTTTTACCTTTCTTTCTCCAATTTTTCATACATAACACAATAGTCGTTTGACATATGTATAAGCCGCACTCTTATATTTTATATAACTAACGCTAGAGTTTATTAGCACTGATGGCGGTGAGGAAGCCTGTCCCCTCAGACGCCTTCACTTTATTGACTTATTATTAGTATCCGTTAGGAATAAACACAATTTAATGACAAGTTACTGTCATGTAAGGTAGAGGGGGTGAAGTGTGTACCAGAACCTTCATATGGCCAGTTGACTAATTCACGCTCTCTCCCTGACCCTGTCTTTCAATACATATCTACTTGACTGTACCTTCTTCCCACAAAAGGTGTATTACCTTCACAACGCTATACCATGGCGGGTTGGGGTCATCCCCACGTGTCGCCACCGTGGGGTAATGGACACATTCTCAAGATAATTACACAAAACCATCTGGAAGCCAGTCCTTATGTTAGTTCAGATGAAACTGTGACGGGAGTCACAATATAAACCCTAGATTTGTCATTGCTCTTGGTACAGAAATCAATACTTGAATTATAAGATAAAACCGCAATAGAATTACGAGCTTGTGTTAAGATGTATAGTCAAGATGTATGGTTAAGATGTATGGTTAAGATATATGGTTAAGATGTATGGTTAAGAAGGTGGCGTCAGGACACAAGGTGGGTGATGGGTGGCCCGTGACCTAACTCTCCTGCTGCTTAATAAAGGTGAGGTGCCGGGGCCGTCTACTGTGCCCCCCGCCACACCGTTAGTCACAGTCTCGCTCTCACAGTACCCACACCTACGGCCCTTGTCTGCTTCACCTTGTATGTGTGCGTCTTGTAGGGCACCTGATTCACAACTGCACTACAACACTGCTCTACAAGGTCGCAGGTTTGTTTCCTGCTGGAGGACGGAGACGTTTGGGCACGTTTCCTTGCATCTGATGGTTCTGTTGGGCGAGCAGTGAATAGGTACCTGGGAGTTAATCAACTGTTGTGGGTTGCCTCCTGTGGGGGAGGGTCAGTAGTTGGCTTAGTCACCACCTTCACCCTCCCAGGTCAGGCTGCGGGCAGCCGCGTCCAACAGCCTGGTTGATCAGTCCGGCAACCAGGAGGCCTGGTCGACGACCGGGCCGCGGGGACGCTAAGCCCCGGAAGCACCTCAAGGTAACCTCCCAGGTTTCATCTCCCCGACTGTGGTAAACCACGCACTGAGAATTTACTCTAGTCCTTCACTGGAATAACGTATACCTGTGGGTTTATTCAGTAAACTGATGGCCCGGCCTTAGGGTTGATAGGCGTCAAGCCCAGTACCATACTGACCCCTGCTGGCCACGTGCTGATAGCAGTCACTGCTGCTGAAGCGCTTCAGCAGTGCTCAGAGCGTGGCTCACCTCCACCTGCTCCAGCTCATGTACGCGGCACACTACCACCACCACCAGCCTGGGACCAGATTCACGAAAGCACTTACGCAAGCACTTACGAACGTGTACATCTTTCCTCAATCTTTGACGGCTTTGGTTACATTTATTAAACAGTTTACAAGCATGAAAACTTCCCAATCAACTGTTGTTATTGTTATAAACAGCCTCCTGGTGCTTCGGAGCTCATGAACTGTTTAATAATTGGAAACAAAGCCGCCAAAGATTGAGAAAAGATGTACAGGTTCGTAAGTGCTTGCGTAAGTGCTTTCATGAATCTCGCTCCTGGCTCTCATCCTGGGACAACACTTGGGTGATCTTACAGGATGAGGCCATGAACCTTTTTGTCATTCATAAACAGGGGATGTGGCGGGTGTATGGAATCACTTTTGGCCTTTGTAACGAGGGGCTGCAACTGATGACGTTCGAACATTTCTCGAATAGTGTTTCACTGGCGCTCGAACAGTGCTTCATTACTTCACTGAAGTATTCAGCCCGTCCTCCAAACAAAGATCCAAAAGTGATTCCATGTACCCGCCAAACCCCCGCTGTTTATGAATGAAAAGCGGTTTACACACGACTCACAACTGCTGACGTTCGAACATATCCGGAACAAGTGCTTCACTGACGAATTTTGTTCGAACCACAACGCTGTAAATGCTTCACCCACGTACTACAAATACAAATAATCACCATCAGAACCTAAACACCTAACCTAACCTATGCCTATTTATACACAATATGCTAATATATTATAATATTAATTTATATATGAGAAAAGTACAGTTTTGAATGAACAGCATGTTAAAATTTATGAATGCGTCTGTGGGGTCGACCGCTGAATGTAATGGACTTGAGTCGAGGACGGGTTGAAGTATTGACGAACAATACTTCACCGCCACGTACTTCAGCCCGTCCTCCAAACAAAGACCCAAAAGTGATTCCATGCACCCGCCAAACCCCCGCTGTTTATGAATGAAAAACGGTTTACACACGACTCACAACTGATTTCGTTCGAACACTTCCGGAACAAGTGCTTCACTGACGAATTTTATTCGTCAGTGAACCACAACGCTGTAAATGCTTCACCCACGTACTACAAATAATCGCCAACAGAACCTAACCACCTAACCTAACCTATGCCTATATATATACACAATATGCAAATATATTATAATATTAATTTATATATGAGAAAAGTACAGTTTTGAATCAACAGCATGTTAAAATTTATGAATGCGTCTGTGGGGTCGACCGCTGGATGGAATGGACCTGGTCTGAGGACGGGTTGCACACACCACCAGTCTCCCTAGTAAACCTTATCCTCACACACGTACGCGCGCGCGCGCGCACACACACACACACACACACAAACGGGTTATTGAACTCGAGGACAGAGACCGAAACCAAAAGGTTAGCATACCGAAAGGGAAACTATGAGGGGATAAGAAAATTCCTAACAGATATAGCATGGGAAACAGAGCTCAGGGGAAAGACGGCCCAAGATATGATGGATTACATCACGCAGAAGTGCAAGGACGCAGCAAACAAGTTTGTCCCAGTCCAAAAGGAAAACAGAGAAATGAAGATGAGAAACCCATGGTTTAATCAAAGATGTAGGCTAGCTAAGCAGCAAAGTAAAAGGGCATGGAGAAACTATAGGAATAACAGGACACTGGAGAGCAGAGAAAGATACCAGAATGCCAGGAATGAATATGTCAGGATGAGAAGAGAGGCAGAAAGACAATACGAAAATGACATCGCAAGCAAGGCAAAGACTCAGCCTAAATTGTTGCATAGCCACATTAGGAGAAAAACAACAGTAAAGGAACAGGTTATGAGATTAAGGATAGGGGCGGAAGGATTCACTACAAATGACAAGGAAGTGTGTGAGGAATTGAATAAGAAATTCCAGGAGGTCTTCACCTTAGAACAAGGAGAAATTCCAGAGGTAAGTGAGGGAATAGCTAACCAGGAACCACTGGAAGAGTTTGAGATTACCAGTGGGGAAGTAAGGAAGTGTTTACTAGAGTTGGACGTGACGAAGGCTATAGGCCCAGATGGAATCTCCCCTTGGGTTCTAAAGGAAGGAGCAAGAGAACTGAGCCTACCACTCTCCATAGTGTATAACAAATCACTGGCAACAGGGGAACTGCCAGATACTTGGAAAGCAGCTAACGTAGTCCCGATATACAAGAAAGGGGATAGACAGGAGGCACTGAACTACAGGCCAGTGTCCCTAACCTGCATACCATGCAAGCTGATGGAGAAGATTGTGCGAAAAAACTAGTGGAGCATCTGGAGCGAAGGAACTTTGTAACACAGCATCAACATGGGTTCAGGGATGGCAGGTCCTGCCTCACAGGGTTACTTGAATTCTACGACCAGGCAACAAAAATAAGGCAAGAAAGAGAAGGGTGGGCAGACTGCATATTTTTGGATTGTCAGAAAGCCTTTGATACAGTGCCACACAAGAGGCTAGTGCGAAAGTTGGAGATGCAGGCTGGAGTGAGAGGGAAGGTACTCCGGTGGATAGAGGAATACCTAAGCAACAGGAGACAACGAGTCTGTGTGAGGGGTGAGGTCTCAGATTGGCGAGACGTCACAAGTGGAGTCCCGCAGGGGTCAGTCCTTGGACCTATACTGTTTCTGGTATATGTAAATGATCTCCCAGAGGGTATAGATTCGTTCCTCTCAATGTTTGCCGACGATGCAAAAATTATGAGGAGGATTGAAACAGAGGATGATAGTAGGAGGCTACAAGATGACCTGGATAGACTGAGTGAATGGTCCAACAAATGGCTGTTGAAGTTCAACCCGAGTAAATGCAAAGTAATGAAACTAGGCAGTGGAAACAGGAGGCCAGGCACAGGATACAGAATAGGAGATGAAGTACTTAATGAAACAGACAGAGAGAAAGATCTAGGAGTTGATATCACACCAAACCTGTCTCCTGAAGCCCACATAAAGAGAATAACGTCTGCGGCATATGCGAGGCTGGCTAACATCAGAACGGCGTTCAGGAACCTGTGTAAGGAATCATTCAGAATCTTGTACACCACATATGTAAGACCAATCCTGGAGTATGCGGCCCCAGCATGGAGCCCGTACCTTGTCAAGCACAAGACGAAGCTGGAAAAAGTCCAAAGGTATGCTACTAGACTAGTCCCAGAACTAAGAGGCATGAGTTATGAGGAAAGGCTGCGGGAAATGCACCTCACGACACTGGAAGACAGAAGAGTAAGGGGGGACATGATCACAACCTACAAAATCCTCAGGGGAATCGACCGGGTAAACAAGGACGAACTTTTCAACACTGGTGGGACGCGAACAAGGGGACACAGGTGGAAGCTGAGTACCCAAATGAGCCACAGAGACGTTAGAAAGAACTTTTTCAGTGTCAGAGTAGTTAGCAAATGGAATGCATTAGGAAGTGATGTGGTGGAGGCTGACTCCATTCACAGTTTCAAATGTAGATATGATAGAGCCCAATAGGCTCAGGAATCTGTACACCAGTTGATTGACGGTTGAGAGGCGGGACCAAAGAGCCAGAGCTCAACCCCCGCAAGCACAATTAGGTGAGTACAATTAGGTGAGTACACACACACACACACACACACACACACACACACACACACACACACACACACACACACACACACACACACACACACACACACACACACACACACACACACTGATGGCGACAGCAATATAAGTAAATCGGCAGACGATGGTAAGATAAGATATGTTTAAAGTTAAAAAAGGATATTCTAGTGGTGTAGAGGAGAACCCCCGAGGGCCTGTGTGGAGTGGCAAATGTAGTTCATTAAAGTCAAGTGAAATCTTGTTGGAGGAGGAGGAGGTAGTGGGGGAGGGGCGTGCGTTATCAACTGGTCACTGACCTTATCAGTAACGGCGGCTCCGAGAAGGATCTTGGAGGAGTAATTGAGACCAAACCCAAGATAACTTTGTAAGAATGTACGAAATAGAGTCCTTAGGTCTTGTATGTAAAAGCGTTAATATTTTCCAACAACTTTGGAGTAATGAGAGGGGATACGAAGTTCCGCGTCAGTATTGGTCAGTATTACCATTCTCAGGAGAGCGTCTTGGGGAGACTTGACCCCCAACACCCAGCGTCTTGGGGTTCACAGTGCTGACCACCGTAGAGCGAGGGGGGGTCAGCTCCACACACCGAACAAGGCTATCAACAAAGATGAAATAAATGGGGGGAATTAAACATTCTGGATCAAGAGAGAAAGTTTGTAACACGGGATATCCATCTTGGATACGTTGAGGTGGATAAAGGATGTGGTAGAGGAGGCAGGTGGATATAATAGGTGGAGGTGGTGAGGCACACTGCTAAGTAACCAATACTCTAGTTTGGAAATGTTTAATAAAATACTCTACACATAAGGGAAGCTAGAGTGCGGCCTGCCTCTCTTGGGCCACCACACTTACTGAATAGTTCTTTTTGTTATATAATTTGTAACTTTGACGTACTGGACGTAATCTCCGAGCCATGTTAGTTTACATTGCAACATTTCTGCAAGGCAGAAACGTTTCGGCAGTGTTTCTGCCCGAAACGCTGCGCGTACTAGTAGCTTTACAAGATTGTAAATACTGCGCTATGTATTCTAACCCAATGTACCTTCTTGTATATATATAAATAAATAAATTGCCTCCCTAAGGTCACTTTAGTTCATTTTGTTGTTTTACTGTATTGTAACAAATTCAATTTCCAAAACTATTTGACAAAATAATCAGGCAATTATATTACCTTTTGGTAGTTGTGTTAATACTAACACCTCCCAGCCGGCGTGTCTGAGTGATGCCGGTAACATCATCACGTCAAATAAAATCAATCCTTCAGAACGTTGCCATGACAGTCACTTATCCCGGCGATCCAATAACAGCCTTTTATGAGAATGACATTGGAAACCAACTTACCCAACTCCATTATATTACCCGGTAGCTTTTTTTTTACATTAGAGTTGATGTGATTAAAATACTCATTGCCTGTCGCAGCGGATGGAACATCGGAGCAAGTAAGAGCCCTCCCATGAAGCTGTATGTGATGTGGGGGTTTATGAGGTTTGTGGGACCGGAAAAACAAACGTTTGTGTGTGTTTGTGTTGTGGTTATACTGTGATGTTATTACTACATACAGTGGGAGTGTTGCTGGAGCCGTGACTGGCGTAGCAATACACAGGCACTACCTACCTAGAACTCTCTAGGTAGGTAGTGCCTCTAATCTCACCCTTACACACTTCCCCCACCAATAACGTGACCCCTACACACTCCCCCCACCAATAACGTGACCCCTACACACTCCCCCCACCAATAACGTGACCCCTACACGCTCCCCCACCAATAACGTGACCCCTACACACTCCCCCACCAATAACGTGACCCCTACACACTCCCCACACTAATAACGTGACCCCTACACACTTCCCCCACCTATAACGTGACCCCTACACACTCCCCCACCAATAACGTGACCCCTACACTCCCCCACCAATAACGTGACCCCTACACACTCCCCCATCAATAACGTGACCCCTACACATTCCCCCACCAATAACGTGACTCCTACACACTCCCCCACCAATAACGTGACCCCTACACTCCCCCACCAATAACGTGACCCCTACACACTCCCCCACCAATAACGTGACCCCTACACTCCCCCACCAATAACGTGACCCCTATACACTCCCCCCACCAATAACGTGACCCCCTACACACTCCCCCACCAATAACGTAACCCCTACACACTCCCCCCCACCAATAACGTGACCCCTACACACTCCCCCCACCAATAACGTGACCCCTACACACTCCCCCACCAATAACGTGACCCCTACACACTCCCCCACCAATAACGTGATCCCTACACACTCCCCCCCACCAATAACGTGACCCCTACACACTCCCCCACCAATAACGTGACTCTACGTCAACAGTGTCCAAGGTGAACTTGTCTGTGCACGAGGACAAGAACCGGGTACCGTCGGTGAAGGGCGCCACGGAGCGCTTCGTGTCCTCCCCGGAAGAGGTCTTTGAGGTCATCGAGCTGGGCAAGTCCAACAGACACGTCGCCGTCACAAGTAAGTCCGGTCCATCTTCTGCTTGGTGAGGTGTGTTTGGTGCTGCTGCTGCTAAGTCCAGCAGTAAGTCCATTCCCAAGTTCATTCCCTATTTGTATATGTATGGCTAGTCAAGTCCGACGAAATAGAGGAGTAGGTGATGACGCAGATCTTGCTTGTAGCGTTCCCAAGCGTAGGGTTCTCATGAGTATATGAGTATATATGAGTATATGGAACGTGAGTATATCTAGCTCATAACTCGTAACAGGAACGATGGTGTTTCTCAGTACTCTACAGGAGTAGACAGGAGTAAACTCCTGTCAGCAGATGGAGAGCTTTCCCTTCCCATAGCTCGTGGTAAGTCTTACCATACTAGTTTCCCCTCTGCAACACAACCCGCCAATCGATTTATAACCAGGTCTGCAATTACTGCTGGGTGAACAGCTGCTAGGTGAGTATAGGGCTCGAACCAAGGCCTTGTAGTTCCATTTACTCTAGTAACATTTGAAGCGTTCATATAATTTGGATTTATGATTAATAGATCTGGAAATTCATTTAATACAAGTTATAAATTTAAAATATAAAGTTAGGTTTATATAAATGTGTGTTAGTGTAGACATGGGGTATACATAGTGGCGGAGTGACTGTGTAGTATTGATAGATTACCACTCTATTCTTGTTATATCGTATAGCAGGTGTCCAGATCACAGGAACAGTAAGGCTTTCTGAGCAATGTATAGTGTGTTGCCTAAGTGTTGGGTACCTGAGGTGTTCTGTAGTGTGTTGTGAGGGTGTCCTCCACCACCACTCACTCACACTTGTGCAACACCCAGTAATTCAGTCTAATTTTGCTACAGTAAATATATTCACACACCTTCCTATGGACACTTAGTATGACCTAAGTAATGTCAGTTCATCAGCTGATCTACAGGGCTAAAACTGGACGTGTCATATAAAAGGTAAAAAAAAAAATGCCATAAAACCCCATATTTGAATCCTTATGCATAAAGTGAGATTTTACGTAAAATTATATTATATTTTTATTAGTTTTGAATACAGCCAGAACATTATTTTATATGGATAAAACATCTTGACATGATAGTAACCCTCGGTATATACATTGAGGAGTATACCTTGCTCATTAGTGTTACTCATTAGTATACACTGAGAGTATACTTTAGTCCTGGACAATATTCAGGACTAGAGTATACTCGGTGGTTGGTCAGTAAGCTGTTGTGGTGGCCTTAATAACCCTCCAGACGTTGATAAGCCATAAGGCCAAGATCAAACCGCATATTTTAGGATTTTATGTGATTATTTTCTCTGATCAGACATGAACGAGCACAGCTCCCGGTCCCATAGCGTCTTCCTGATCCAGGTGAAGCAGGAGAACATTGAGAACCAGAAGAAGCTCCTGGGTAAACTCTACCTGGTCGATCTGGCCGGCTCAGAGAAGGTAAGATAAGTCTCCTGTCTTGGTAGGGGGGGCTTACCACCCCCTACCCTCACACCGTTATGAGGAGCGCTGCCACGCTCCTCATAACCCTCACACATATATCGTCTTGGCAATGTAAATCTCACTCCATCTTAACGCTATGCTGTCAGGGATTTTGTCCATTAAAGAGTATTTGTGGCATAGGTTTTGTTGAAGGACGTAAACAAGATCGAGGGACCCTACCCTCCTTGAAACACTCGAGAGACCCCAGTGTTTCAAACTGGGATTCCTCGAGTGTTTCAAACATGGGTTGGACGTGTATATGAGTGGGATTGGGTGGTTATAAATAAAAACTGCCACGTATGAGCCAATAAGCTTCCTGCAGTTACCTTTGTTCTTATGTTCTTAGGTCTCGGTGTGTTTGATCACATATACAGTCGCGGTTGTTATTCTGCTGTGGCAAAGGGTTCTGTCCTTTTCTTTGTTTCCTAGTAACACACTCGTGCTTCTGCCACGGGAGACATCTCCTGTCACGCAGGGTGCAGTTGCACCTCCACTGATCTCCAGTATCATCCATTGATACTGGTGATGGCTCAAAAGGGCCACCACTTACGGGCTGTTCATGCCCGTGCCACCTTTTGGGTGGCTTAATCTTCATCAATCGTGCTTCTGCGGTAAGAAGGGAAGGTGGCCTTCACTGACGCTACTGGGCCTGGGCGTGGGCGTGTTTCAGCCAGCAGGCAAGTCAGTGGGCACAATACCCAAGAGCTGCGCTAGTTCCGCGTCACTCACGTTGATTCAATATCGAGCCGCTGTTGAATATTGTAGTGACTGGTAACTTGCAGCTCCACGCCCCGTGTATCATGGGAATCGTGCTAGTGACTCCCGTTGTTGTGTAACCGTTCATCACTGTACTTAGGGAATTAGTACTGTAATGTACTTGGGGAACTGGAGACTGTAAGGACGTCGTACTCCCAGAAGAGCAGTGTGTTAATACCACTTTTTCCTGCTGGTTGTGTAAGCTCTCTTTACCTGCTTCCAATACAACGCAAATGTATTCTTTTCTTTATTATAGGTGTAATGATTTCTTATGTTTTTTAAAGTGTAGTTTTATTGGTACTATTCTCTATTAGGTACCCAAACAGGTTGATGGATATTGTGTTTATACGGGGGTCATGTCCTCCTTGTTACTCCTACAAAAATATTTATTTACAAAACAATCCGTATGTAACATTTACATCTTGGTGTAAAGAGTGGTAGAGGTTGACGGGGTACACTTCCCTGCCTGAAACGCTTTGCGTAATAGTGGCTTTAGGCATTGTATGTACCAGCTCTATCTATAAACCTAGCAATTTTTTGTAAAAAATCTCTTGTATGTATGTACCTTACCTGAATAAACACTCACTCACTAACTCGTTTGGCCGGCAGGTGAGCAAGACAGGAGCAGAAGGAGCCGTCCTGGACGAGGCCAAGAACATCAACAAGTCCCTCTCGGCGCTAGGCAACGTCATCGCAGCTCTGGCAGACGGCAAGGTCACTACACAACCTTTACTCTCCTATAACTTCCCTTCACTCACAGGAAAAACATATAACACCGATCCCACGATCGTCGTCGCCCCTAAATCAACACAACAACAACATATAACACTTTATTTTACTTATTGCAGATGACTGGGAAGAAAAGTATATTCAGAGAATTAATACAAAATGCCCCATAATATCAAACATGCGGATAATGTTTAAAATACGTTTTGATTGAAATACGGAAAAGATGTATTGCTTAATCTTCATGCTATTTGTACGAAATATGATGATGACCTTGTGTCCTGTGACCCCTCCATGGACGACCTCAGACACACGTGCCCTACCGTGACTCCAAGTTGACCAGGATCCTGCAGGAGAGTCTGGGGGGCAACGCCCGCACCACCATCGTCATCTGTGCCTCTCCAGCCTCCTTCAACGAAGCTGAGACGAGGTCCACCTTAGATTTTGGCAAGAGGTGAGTCTTGAGATGTCGCACCCAGGAGTACAGGTGTTGTCACACACCCATGAGTACAAGTGTTGTCACACCCAGGAGTACAGGTGTTGTCACACACCCAGGAGTACAGGTGTTGTCACACACCCATGAGTACAAGTGTTGTCACACCCATGAGTACAAGTGTTGTCACACCCTATGAGTACAAGTGTTGTCACACACCCATGAGTACAAGTGTTGTCACACACCCATGAATACAAGTGTTCATTCTCGACAAGTGCAAGCCCTTATGTCAGCTGTTATAAATGTTAACTTATAGAGATCAATATTAGTGCATTTGTAACTTTAATACCATAAGATTCTGACAAATTTACACTGCATTTACTAGACGTATAGTCATCAATGCTTTATAGAATATTGGTTAATGATAGTGGAAGTGATGGTTGAAGTATAAGGAGCATGTGTGACGTGTCTCCTCAGAGCCAAGACCATCAAGAACTGTGTGTGTGTCAACGAGGAACTCACAGCCGAGGAGTGGAAGCGACGCTACAATAAGGAAAAGGAGAAGGTAGCACTGGTTTATGTTATTAGCTTAAACCCTTGGTTTATTTTCTGTGGCACAGTCAACACTTGGGCATACTGGCACGCTCTTAACCTTCCAGGCATCCATCTTGTGCACTGCTGTAGGAGCAGTCTACCCTTGTCTTCCTACAGCATGCTTTTCTCTTTTAATCATGCCTTTGTCTTCCACCATCCATCCTTTGTCTTCCTCCGGCGTGTCGGGCCAGATTCACGAAATCACTTACGAACGTGTACATCTTTCCTCAATCTTTGACGGCTTTAGTTACATTTATTAAACAGTTTACAAGTATGAAAACTTGCCAATCAACTGTTGTTATTGTTATAAACAGCCTCCTGGTGCTTCGGAGCTTATTAACTGTTTAATAATTGGAAACAAAGCCGCCAAAAATTGAGAAAAGATGTACAGGTTCGTAAGTGCTTCCGTGAATCTGGTCCCCCTGGTCTCATGTACCTGAAGTACGAGCAGTGAGGTTCTTGGAGACTACGTAAACTTGTCCATCCTGCTTTACATTTGAAAATGCACAAATTATAATATTTGATATAAAAGTATGATATATAAAGTGTGTTTGTATTAGTGTGTGAAGGTTTGTGGTGTTGCAGAGTACCAAGCTGAAGGCCCAGGTGGAGAGCATGGAGGCAGAGCTCGCCAGGTGGCGCAGTGGGGAAAAAGTCTCATCCGAGGAACAGATTTCTGTTGATATGGAGAAGTCCATGGTGTCTTCTGTGGTTGAAGGTATCTATCACATCTACACACACACACACACACACACACACACACACACACACACACACACACACACACACACACACACATGCTACGAAGTGGCTCCCAGAACTGAAGGGCAAGAGCTACGAGGAGAGGTTGGAAGCATTAAACATGCCAAAACTAGAAGACAGAAGAAAAAGAGGTGATATGATCACTACATACAAAATAGTAACAGGAATTGATAAAATCGACAGGGAAGATTTCCTGAGACCTGGAACTTCAAGAACAAGAGGTCATAGATTTAAACTAGCTAAACACAGATGCCGAAGAAATATAAGAAAATTCACCTTCGCGAACAGAGTGGTAGACGGTTGGAACAAGTTAAGTGAGAAGGTGGTGGAGGCCAAGACCGTCAGTAGTTTCAAAGCGTTATATGACAAAGAGTGCTGGGAAGACGGGACACCACGAGCATAGCTCTCATCCTGTAACTACACTTAGGTAATTACACATATATATACACACACACACACACACATTGTGTGTATGATTGATTGACAGTTGAGGCGGGACCAGAGAACCAGAGCTCAACCCCCGCAAGCACAACTAGGTGAGTACAGACAAACACACACACACAAAATTATTTAGATGGTAAATTACTAAAGAAACTGATAATGACTTTTGTAAGATCAAAATTGGAATATGCAGCAGTGGACCCAAATCTGAAATAGAACTTAAATAATCTGGCTACAAAATGGCTTCCGGAACTGAAAAACAAGTTAGAAGAGACTAGAGGCGTTAAACAAGCCGAAACTAGAAGATAGAAGAGAGGTGATATAATCACCACTTACAAAATACTAAGAGGAATACACCAAATTGACAAAGAGGAATGCCTGAAACCAGCAACTTCACGAACAAGGGGGGACAGATTTGTGCAAAGGAAACAGAGGTGCTGAGCAACATTAAAACATTTTCTTTTACAAACAGAGTGGTAGACGGGTGCAACAATATAAGTGAGAAGGTGGAGGTCAAAACCGTCAGTAGTTTCAAAGTGTTATACGATAAAGAGTACTGGGAGGACGGGACACCACCGTAGCTCGCGTCCTGTAACTACACTTGGGTAATTACTTAGGTAATTACTCTCATACACACACACACACACACACACACACGTGTGTGCTGTCAATACGGTGTGCCGGTGGCAGTGTGGATAGCACGCTGGACACGTAATTGTGTGGCCAGGGTTCGATTCCCAGTGCCTGCGAGAAACAAAAATGGGCAGTTTCTTTCACCCTGTTACCTAGCAGTAAATAGGTACCTGGGAGTTAGACAGTGGTTACGGGCTGCTTCCTGGGGGGAGGGGTGTGTGTGTAAGAAAAAAAAATAGTAGTTTGTAACAGTTGATTGATAGTTAAGAGGCGGGCCGAAAGAGCAGAGCTCAACCCCCGCAAGCACAACTAGGTAAATACACACACATCCAGATCCAGATGTGGATGTTAGAAAGGCTGTTGGTCCAGACGGGATCGCACCATGGGTTATCTTGAGGTTATCTTGAGATGATTTCGGGGCTTTTTTAGTGTCCCCGCGGCCGGGTCCTAGACCAGGCCTCGACCCCCAGGAAGCAGCCCGTGACAGCTGACTAACTCCCAGGTACCTATTTACTGCTAGGTAACAGGGGCATTCAGGGTGAAAGAAATTTTGCCCATTTGTTTCTGCCTCGTGCGGGAATCGAACCCGCGCCACAGAATTACGAGTCCTGCGCGCTATCCACCAGGCTACGAGGCCCCTCAAAGAACTAAAAGAGTGTGCAGAGGCACTTTGCTTGCCACTCTCCATAGTGTATAGTAGGTCATTGGAGATGGGAGACCTACCAGAAATATGGAAAATGGCGAATGTGGTCCCAATATGCAAAAAGGGCGGCAGGCAAGAGGCACTTAACTACAGGCCAGTGTCCTTGACTTGTATACCATGCAAGGTGATGGAGAAGATCGTGAGAAAAAACCTAGCAACACATCTGGAGAGAAGTGACTTCGTGACAAATCGCCAACATGGGTTCAGGGAGGGTAAATCTTGCCTGACAGGCTTAATAGAGTTCTACGACCAGGTGACAAAGATTAAGCAAGAAAGAGAAGGCTGGGCGGACTGCATTCTCTTGGATTGTCGGAAAGCCTTTGACATAGTACCACATAAGAGGCTGGTACATAAGCTGGAGAGATAGGCAGGTGTAGCTGGTAAGGTGCTCCAATGGATAAGGAAGTACCTAAGCAATAGGAAGCAGAGAGTTACAGTGAGGGGGTGAGACTTCAGATTGGCGTGAAGTCACCAGTGGAGTCCCACAGGGCTCTGTACTTAGTCCTATTTTGTTTCTGATATATGTAAATGATCTCCCGGAGGGTATAGATTCATTTCTCTCAATGTTTGCTGACGATGCCAAAATTATGAGAAGGATTAAGACAGAGGAGGACTGCTTGAGGCTTTAAGAAGACCTAAACAAGCTGAAGGGATGGTCGAACAAATTGTTGTTAGAGTTTAACTCAAGCAAATGTAATATAATGAAGATAGGTGCAGGGAGCAGGAGGCCAGATACTAGGTATCATCTGGGAGATGAAATTCTTCAAGAGTCAGAGAGAGAGAAAAAGACTTGGGAGTTGATATCATGCCAGACCTGTCCACTGCAGCCCATATCAAGAGGATAACATCAGCGGCATATGCCAGGCTGGCCAACATAAGAACGGCATTCAGAAACTTGTGTAAGGAATCATTCAGAACTTTGTATACCACATATGTCAGGCCAATCCTGGAGTATGCAGCCCCAGTATGGAGTCCATATCTAGTCAAGGACAAGACTAAACTGGAAAAGGTTCAAAGGTTTGCCACCAGACTAGTACCCAAGCTGAGAGGTATGAGCTACGAGGAAAGACTACGGGAATTAAACCTCACTTCGCTGGAAGACAGAAGTTAGGGGGACATGATCACCACATTCAAGATTTTCAAGTGAATTGATAGGGTAGATAAAGACTGGCTATTTAACACAAGGGGCACACACACTAGGGGACACAGGTGGAAACTGAGTGGCCAAATGAGCCACAGAGATATTAGAAAGAACTTTTTTAGTGTCAGAGTGGTTGACAAATGGAATGCATTAGGAAGTGATGTGGTGGAGGCTGACTCCATACACAGTTTCAAGTGTAGATATGATAGAGCCCAATAGGCTCAGGAACCTGTACACCTGTTGATTGACAGTTGAGAGGCAGGACCAAAGAGCCAGAGCTCAACCCCCGCAAGCACAATTAGGTGAGTACACACACACACACACGAGCGTAGCTCTCATCCTGTAACTACACTTAGGTAATTACACATTCAGTAGTTTCAAAGTGTTATTTGATAAAGAGTATTGAGAAGACGGAACATCGTAAGCTCACGGTATCCCGTCTTCTCATCCAGTAACTACACTTGGGTAATTATTTAGGTAATTACACACTTGCCTAGCTCCTTTTACCCAATTATTGCTATACCATTTGCTGATGATACGACCTTCAACGTCATCCAAGGTCGGGACCCTCCTCAAATTTTCCAGCCCAAAAAAGAAATAGCATAGCTGATCATAATATTTTCCCTGTCAAAATGCATCATGCTACAAAACTTACCATTTAGAGCCTAAGAAGTCAGCAGCTCCGCCCATGAGCAACGAGGTGCGGGACGCGTGGGAGAAGGAACGGGAGCAGCTGTACCTGAGCCTTGACGAGAAGGACGAGGAGATCAACCAGCACAGTCAGCTGGCTGAGAAGCTCAAGGAACAGATGCTCGAGCAGGAGGAAGTACGTATAGAAATACAACAAGATTGGGTATTTCGCAAATGAGCTATTACTAGGAATTTTAGATTACACTAAAGACCTACACATTTTGATCTAGCGTCCAAAATCCCTTAATTCGGCCTTGTCTGATGGCCTCCAGATTCTATATATGCAGTAGTGGTGACAATAGCATTGAGGTTTACCTACTAAATTAATGAACTGATAACTAAACAAACCTAAGTACAGATGGTCTAACTTAATTGGCCTAATTTACTTACTGACCATTATATCTTAAATATTTATAGCTGGGATACTCGCAGCTGGTGGCTTGTGGAACCTCTCCATTCTTTCTCATATTTTCTAGCTGTATTTTGGGCTGCAATACTGACTTAGCTTTTACAGTTTAGCTGGGTAGCTAGGAGTCTGTAGCATTACTAATGCCTTACACCGTACATACTCCCCGAGAAATGACATAACGTCATTTATATTTGTGTTTTTATTTCTACAAAATCACATTAATTCACAGCTTATTGCTGCAACCCGCCGTGACTATGAAGTTCTACAAACGGAGATGTCTAGGATTCAGGCAGAGAATGATTCTGCCAAGGATGAAGTGAAAGAGGTGCTACAGGCTCTGGAGGAGCTGGCCCTTAACTACGACCAGAAGAGTCAGGAGGTGGAGAACAAGTGCAAGGAGAATGAGACACTCAACGAGGAACTAACAGAGAAGCAGGTAGGACAAAATCCTCTGGCACTACTGTATTTGCAATAACAGGATACCAATACAGCCATAAGAAGTGAAGATGAGATAGTGATAAATCAGTAAAACAAATAAATATATAATACAGTCCATCATTTTGTATAATGCCTTGTTTTACGTATAGCATTTCTGGCAATTATTGGAATATAAATTCTCATGTTATTTTCTATTAAATATTGAACATTTTGATTTGTAAAAGAGTACATAACACATTATTGAGTTGATGGTTAAGTATGCGGAAGAATACTTTTCCTGGGGTTCCTCATTAATCACAAGTGTAATGCTCTACGGCTAAATACACTCACACATTAGACTAATTTATAAGTTTGTTCATTTGAAACAACTCTCTCCACCGTATTTTAACCATGTTAAGTACTATTTTATCATTAGTGTATATACATGTCATTCACCTGGGTACCAGGAGACTCATATTATGCCTCCTTGTGCCCAAGGCTGTCTCATAGTATGGTGATTAGAGCTTCTGCCTCACACTCATGAGGGTCGGTGGTTCGAGTCTCCTAGTGCCCAGGTGAATTAAATGTTTATTTCCACAGTAGTGTGGTTGATAATTTCTATATATATAATATATATATGTTTGTTTAACAGACTGCTTTAACAAGCATGCAAGGTGAGCTACAACAAATGAAGGACTCCTCTGTGCACCAGCGGAGAAGGATGAATGAGATGCTGTTCTCACTGCTCTCTGATCTTGGAGAAGTTGGCAATGTGGTTGGAGGCACTGCTGGAGACCTCTCTATCAAGGTAACTCGTCGACACTCATCACTGGGCTGTAATTGCAAACGTGGGTATAAACTGATTGTATGGTCTCGTGTTCCAGGAAAAAGTAGTAGGGCAAACTTCCCTTCCCATTAGATGTGGAAAGGAAAAGCTCACAGCCTTCTAACAAGAGTCAGAAGCTGTCTACTCTGTAGTCTATCAATAATTCCCTCACATCTAAAGGTGAGGGAATGGTAATACAGTACACACATGTCAGAGCTCCCTTAAACTTCAAGTTTATTTTATTTCAATTTAATTTAAACATTCCTTTGCTTTTTGAATCTTGGCTTCACTAGTGAATCCCCTAAGGATACGCCTTTCTTCCATGCAAGCAGTTGAGGTTGTGTAGGGAAGCGGTATAGTAACATTTGACCCTGAACGGGTTGTTTGTAAAAAAACTTTGGGCATCAGTACAGAATATTAACTGCAAGATTTTCATGATCCTAATCCTGAGGACATAGTTGACCTTACTTTTAGGGCAACTGAATGGTTCATTCTTGGCTGTGTTTCATAGTTACTCATAACTATATCTTATTTATTGGCATAATACTATGTGCCTGGCACTTACTTCATTAACAAGTCTTTATTAACACAGCAGTCTTCTGCTATCCTGTTCTATATGAGGGATTACAGAGAATGGAGTTAATCTAATTTCATTTAAGTTCATCTAACATCCCCCATCTCACTGGGTGGAGAAATCAGATAAAAATATGAGTCAAATATACTGGCTTGTACATGCAAAATAGCATCCTTGATATACTATACTGTAATTTAAAAATATCTAAGTTCCATATTATTATTACTATTATTATAATTAAATTTCAGAACTCAGGTGACCCCAACAAACTAGAGGAAGAGTTCACAATGGCTCGGTTGTATGTGTCAAAGATGAAGAGTGAAGTGCGTAACCTTGTACAGCGTTGCAGCACCCTTGAGAACTTCCAGGTACATTATTTACAATAATTATATTGGGTAATAAATTATTTAACATGTAGAGTACATCTACATGTATTCGTTAAATTTGATAATTTAGCAGCATAGCTATTATACAGTATATAAGTATCATCATGCTGAACTATTCATTACACTCTTGCATTGAATGAGATGTTTTTTAACATTTACAAATGCAAACATTTTTGGCTAGAGAATCAATTTTGAAAGCTTTATTCTACCATGGGAAAAGCAGCTCCACAAAAGAAAGATTGCTGAACATAAGTAATGGATGTTAAATGTCTTGTAATGTGTTTAGTTATTGTAATTCATGAATTTATTATACACCCCCATACCCATGCTATGAGTGGAAGTGAACCTCAAACCCAACCTGTGAGTGGTATGAACAAAGTTACATAGGCACATAATGACTAAGGAACTCAAACTTACTAAGCTCTCTCTTGTAATTCATTAAATGTTTGGGCATTTCTTCTGCAGCTTAAATTTACTATTGTTCAACAGGGCGACTGCAACAAGAAGATTGATGAATATGAACGTGAATTAAGTGAATGCCGCCTCCTGATCAGCCAACACGAGGCCCGCATGAAAACGCTGCAAGAGTCCATGCATGAGGTAGAAATTCGCAAAAGACAACTTGAAGAACAAGTAAGTGCAGATGGAAAAATTGGAACAGGAGGAAAGTTGTGATGCTTTGAAACTACTGATGGTTTTGGCCTCCACCACCTTCTCACTTAATTTGCTCAACCCAGTTGTCCTAGTTTGTGTGGATTATGCAAGTCTTAAGGTTATCTATATGGCTGCTCTCATTTGTTTAAAGAAACATTCTTATAAACACTGTATATTTAGACAGATGTGGATGGTATTGAAAAACAAGTTTAGCCTTTAGATGCATGCAGAGTTAATGATGGTGTAATATTAACAGGTTGACTCTCTGGGTGAAGAAGTGGCTCAGCTGAAAGCAGCCGAGGGCCTCACTGTATCAGAGGGGCTATCAAAGGAGGCACTTGAGAAACAGATGGAGACTCACAGAGAGCTTCACCAAAAGCAAGTGGCACAGCTCAGACTCGAGATTAATGCCAAACAAGCACTAGTAGAGGACCTCAAGGAGTGAGTTCACAACTAAAAAATATTAGTTTAAATTTATTGTTAGTTATTTGGGGAGCTTGTATCTGGGAGGTCTGCTCCCAGTGATGTCACATTAAATAAGACACGTCAGCACAAACCTTTAGCTACTAAGAAAATGTACTGCATATATTTGGGGGCCTTTAAATGTACATAAATGATATATAAAAAGTGAGACATCATATATTAAGTGTTTTTCAGTATTTGTTTTGCACTAATTGTGTATAACACTTCCATCTCTAAAGCCAAAACCAGAAACTGAGTGTGGAACATGAGCAGCTGAAGGCAGAACACAACAAGCTCAAAATTGAGGAGGCAGAGAAGAGCACTCGGCTTCATGAACTTATGTGAGTATGTGATAACGTCCTCTTCAGATGACTGCTTTTATTTATTTTTTTTTTATTTATAATTTGACGCCATTTTATTTGTGCTTAATTTAACTATTGCTATTTTGTTGTAAGTTACTCATGGGGTTGTAATGGATGTTATGGGCTGTTGACTGTAACTCACAACATCATATATAAACATTTCTAAGCCTCAATCTCCAGGGAAAAATAGTTTATGTAGTATTTAATGATTGCAGTTGTAATACTCTTACACTGAAAATTACTTATAACACTTGAATCATAAATTTTTGTTATTGTTGGTTAAATTTTAAGTCACAATCCCAATGAAATTGTCCTTAACCACTGCAGTAGCACTGTAATTTCCCACTAGAGACTTGATATGAATAAAGACTTGTGGAGTGGTGAGTGTGTCCCATGATATGTTACAAACCACATATGCAACATTCACTGAAGCTTCATTATTATAGCACCTTGTTTTGCAGAATGTACCAGCTTCATGCATGGCCTTTGCACTACAGTACTTGCAAAATTGTTTATTATTTTCTAAGTGGCAGTCAACTTTATATCAAAGCTTCCAGTGAATACATACTCGGAATGTCAAGTGAGTACAAAAAAATAAAAATTATTTACAATTAAATATTGTCCACTTGTAGAATGCAAATCCAGCAGAGTAAACTACTGTACAGTGAGATAAGACAAGTAATTTTTGGAAGCTTGATAAAGTAGATTTTATCATCAACTGAATAGGAAAGAAAGGTGAACCTAAAGCTAATTAAAAAAATAATAACGATAATAGACACTATTCAGCAGCATGCATTGAATGCAAAGTTTATTTAAAATGTGCTTCAGAGCACTTTACACTGCTAAATAGCATTCATGCTAAATCAATTTGAGTTAACTATTCTTGTTTTGCTTAAAAAAATAAACTTAAGAGATCCTAGTAGAAGAAAAATCCTCAGCTAACGTATTTTGAGGAGCACAGATAAAGTTTGCGAACTCGACAAAAAAAGATGAGACGCATTGTGGATATAAAACCAATTTTAAATTACAGTATACACTTGATGCAGAGTACTATACTTCTTTGAAATTGTTATTTTTATAATAAGGTATAATAAGTTAATATTAAAGGATATTTTATATAAGCAAAGTTCTAACTTCTTTTAAATTAAAATTTGTCCTGCAGGGCTTCAGCTGTGTACATAATTTCATTACAATATTGACTTTACGAAATTTTCACATTGAAAGAATTAAGAAAACATTGGATACAGCAACTTGAAATTTCGGGAACATTTGTTATTGGAGCAGAAATTCACTTGAATTTAGAACCCAACATATGTATTTATGTTATGCTTTTAGATGCTCATTTTATCAGATGACTTTGCATAATTTCCTCCAATTACCATGATCCTGTAAAAAACTTAAATCTTAATTCATCATTTCACTAATTAGCAATGTCATTCATGTCTCCTTGCACACACCTCTCATTTTCTGGGAGAGACCACTCGGTAGCTCCCCGAGCTTCACTCGGGATCCACTAAACCATCGCCCAGCACACCTGAGACCTCTGAGACCCAACCATCACCTATTGGGAGCCAGAAGCAGAATCTGCATCACTCGCATGCAGAAGACAAAAGAAACCAGTTATCAGAGAAAAATTGGCAAAAAAACTGAAAGCATTAGCACAACAAAACGAGCTGTTCTTTGATGGAATCGAGGGACTCAAAGGTAAACTATCATTACCACAGGATAACTATTCAACTCCACCAGATCACAGACCTGATTACTTGAGGTTCCAGACAGCCCGCTATCTCACTCTGGAGCTGTCCATGCCAAACCTCCCTACCCCCTTAGGAAAGAAGGTAACATGGACAAGAAGTACTGTACTGGGGGCCTCCCTAGAAATTAGTGCATTATTACATTTCATATATACTGGATTTCTGAAAAAGACCCCTTAGTAGCTCTCCAAGCTGACTCTCACAAGTGGCTAGAAAGAAAAGTGGTCAGTAATAAAGAAAAAGCAGACCGAGAGAAGAACTGGGCAGAAGACAGTCTGCTGTACACCAAACACCCAACTGCAGCAAGGTTAAAAGATATCCAAGTAATGAAAGACCAGTACTCTGTTGGACAGTCAGAAGCACTGGACCCAAGTATTATCCATGGACAAGCTGGCAAAGAAAGCCATCAAAACAGCAAAATTCTGCATATGATGAGCAACAATACACAAGTTTAACTAGCAGTCAAACCAAACGAAACAACTTTGCTAATAACTTGGGTTCCATGAAACAAGGAACTTTAGAAACAGGGTTGACAGACAAGGCCTTGATGCCAAGAGCACAAGTAGCATGCTACTTGTGCCACACTGCAGCCATAGGAAAGGGCATATGCTGTAGCCTTATTGACACTTGGTTTGTCCGACTAACTAAGCAACCCCCTTTGAAAGATAGAAGTCTCAGTCTTAACCAAGATAAAGGAGAAGGCTCCAAACAAATAAAATTTAACCCCATAGCCCAAAAAAACAAAGATATGCTTCTGACAAAGAGTGTAAAGCCTCCCATCCCAACAACCAGAAGCAACAGCCAGGGAACTAGCCACCATAAAAACAGAATCCTCAACTGATGGGAAAATCCGAAAGTGAGAGGGCAATATTTCTAGCACACGTTCCAGAATCCAGGAAGGTTAGGTAAGATCTGGAATTAGACCTGGTGAGGTACTGGAAGTTCAAAAGAATAAATCAATTCATTACATTTAATCTTGATTGTTATACTTGTAAATATTCTCTTAATTGGTACACCAGATACTTGAAATGATTTGCTGGTGTATTATACACAATTTGAGTAAGCTCCCATATTTGATTGCTTCCATGTCCATGAAATTTTACATTTAAGATCTTGCAATACTTATTTCTCCCCTATCAGTACTGCAACATTGATCAATTTTTTCCATAAATGAAGTGAAAAGTTAGCATTTTATTACGTTTCGTTTTTTGAAAATTGTTTGAAATAAAACCTATAATGATTTGTCACGTCTTAAAGCAATCATAACATTTATCACAAAATAAATACTGTAGTCCAACCTTGTTTTTGCTGCTCTGGTTTAGTGTATACCATTGAAATTTTTCATTGCAGTGCTTAATTGTAAATGACAAGACTAACAGAAAAAAGCATTGAATGTAACAAAATCTCTTTCTGGATGAGCCTCGGTGGCTCCCAGAAGCTATCTCACAGACATTGCTCTCAACTAATAGGTCTCATCTGTCGTGGAGTTATGTTTGGCCTAATAGGGGCGAGAGCCAGAATCTGGTCTAATCAGAGGTGCAGAGAGTAGGTGACACTTTGCCACCCCATTAGGAAAACATCTAGAAAGTCAAGGCAGCATTACAGACCACTGCTGGGTTCTAAAGAACTGAAGCCTCAAAATTGCCAAATGAACACCCCAATCATAGATTGAAACTCTTGAAACTAGCTTGAACTCCTTAGTACTGTACCAAACTGCCACAACTAGAGGTGCCCTGATCTTCCCTAACCCTGCTAAGTCAGTTCTTTAGCAATTGTAAAACCAATGCCCACCAATTGATGAACCTTGTAGGGAAGGAGGTAGGGAGAAAGTCAGGGAGCCACCAGGAGTCATCCAGAAAGTGTTTCATTGCTTTCAATGTTGGGTTTCTGGGAAAGCCACTTGTGGCTCCCTGAAGTTAACTAACCACGATGAAGAAACACTAGGGACTTATCAGGAAGGAGGAGAAAGGTAGGTATTAAGACAAAGCAAAGAGACAAAAAAAAGCAGACCAGGCCCTGGAACATAGACTAATGAATGGGCCTTCAAGGCCCTGCTACCCCACAAAAACTCCTATCCTCAAAAAACAACTCGGGATAAGTTGAAAAAGAGGGCTACAACCACAGCATATTTCCAGACCTCATGGGCATGAGGCAGACTACAGGCTGGCTAGATGTCATGCCCAGTGGCAAAGAATTGTCACTGTACACAACAGTTTATTTACCCCTGGTTGAACCAATCAAACATCAACAGCCAAAAGACCCCTCAGAAAACCACCTGACCCATTCCTTGCCAGAAGAGAAGACTACAAACAAAATGCCCATCAGGGCCAACAGAGCAGAACCTGAGGAGAAGAGAACAGCAAAGACACAGGCGAGTGACCGGGATGGCTCGGGAAGAGCATAGCAGGCTGGAAGTGAAAAAAATGGCTGATACAGCTTATGGAACAGTGCCGAAAAGGTAGCAACGATGAATGCAAGCAACAGTCACCCCACTAACACCTAATGACAACAGATGATAGCATAAGGTATGAAATTCTGGTCAAGAAACAGCCACAACATGAAAGGACAACAAAACCCAAATGGAAACCAGAAAGAGGAGAAACTACCACTAAGCAATTTCATAGTCACCTTGAAGACACATGTAGGAACACTACAGTGCATAATATACTGCCAAAGAAAACCTTGTGGTTCTCAAAACCTGTTATTAATTGATGAGCTTAATCAACCTTAATATAATAAACCATGTTCACCAAGCTTTTAGCATGACCATATTATTTTGTTAAGTTACTTTTCTGCAATCAATCATAATTTAGCATTTACAGTATATGAAAATTATTTTTTTATATAAAATCTTGATTTAATAATTAAATAAGATATTTGTGCATGCTTAAAGGGAAGGCATTTTAAGCTGGGACTAAATTAAAAAGTAATGTCTTGCCTTGTATTGCTTGCTTATTATTAGAAAATATAATTAGACTAGATACCTTTCCTTTGTTAACTATTTCAGTACAGTGCATAAGTTTAGGAAAGTATAAAGATCATGTCCATTTGGACATTAGCATATCTGGTTGGACAGTAAGAGTACCAGTGCTAGTCTTCAGCTGTGACTCTTAACCAACCGGTGGCTCAGCACTAAGTTTTCATGGTACTAATGAAAACAATAAGTTTGATAGAGCTAATTCAGACCCCGAGAATCAAACCAAACCAGGATATAGAGTAGATAATCCAGGATAGGCTCAATTTTGCATATTTCCTGGTCTTTCTCAGTTTTGCTGGATTTCGGTGGGCTCAGCACCTCAATGAGGTCTCTCTTCTCCTTCACGAAACTATTAGCTTGCGTCACTGGACTCCCAGAGGCTCGACAAGGTGAGTCCTTGGGCTCTCAGGGTTGTAGGCACTCTCAACTCCTGGCCAATCAAGGTTTCTTCAAACTACCCCAGACTCTTCAGACTTTCCCCAGGCCCCCCTTCTCCTCCCCAAGCTGTCTGACTTATGAGCTGAATTAATGGCCAAAAGACCAGTGAGCGATTAACAGTCTGTATCGCATGTGTGTTTCAAATTCTGTATTGTCAGTTACAAAATCTATTTTGCATAGAATACTCAAGAAAAGGAGTGCAATAGTACACATGTATTAGAAAGTAAGATGATATATATTGTACTCGCACTCTGGCCTTGCACAAAAGGTGAGGACGCTCTAGACAGTACGTCACTTAACCACTGTATATCACCATGGCCTGGCTTTGCCTTGGGCCATTTGCTCGGATTCAACCTTGGCCTTGCCTCCCACCCCCACCTTGGATTTTTTTTTTTATTAACCCTTGTTTGGCCCTAAATAAATGCTCACTTCCTGTAGCCTCTTTGTGCCTCAGTGCTTGTGTTCTTTGATGCTGTGTGTGAGATAATGTTTGCACTGATGCAGCTTCTTAATTCCAATACTATATAAAATTAATTTTTATTAGATGAAAGTTTGGAGGCTCTTGTTTAATTTATTCAGTAGTGAATCTCACTAATTTAATTAAATGGAGGCTGCTGCTCTCTCCAACATTCACTGAAGGCTGTTAATTTTGCTTTGCACCTTTTGACAGCAGTTTCTTGTCAGGTGTAAACATTGGTTATCCATCTGGGACTCGCCTTGTCACCTCTAAGTTCACACTATGAATTATTTAGCTTCTTATCCTAATTTCCTCAGTATCCATTGTATAGTGTTGTTAATGTAATGTTTACAAAAAGTTGAATGTTGATTTACATTGTTTACATGTTGTGTGCATGCTTTAGTTGCATGTTTAAAAGTTGCCACCATCTTCAATGAAATGTTTATTAGATATATTACAAATATTAAAATATACTAAATTCTTCTAAGCATAACTTTTGAAACAGTTTACTATGCAAGAATTTTGTCAGGTAAGTATTTACTGAATTAATGATTAATTGTTTGTTCTGACTGTGCTTTTAGTGTAGTAAATGTCAGTTGCATGTTTACACTGTTGTTGTAAGGTAAACAAATTCTTATGGAGGACAAATAAGTTACATTTTAAACAAATTACTGTATGGTGATTGATACAGTATTTACTGTAGTAAAACAAAGTACTGTACAGTATTTCCTAAATGTAATGATGTATATCATATCCAGAATTTGTTCTTGTTTTAGTTTGAAAAATTACCACTGGTACAATAATTTTTGTCAGGGACAGGAAGCCTGTGTATGTATGTAATATATTTCGGTTGAACTTTACGTTGAACTATAGACCCTCCCCAGGATGCAACCCAACAACAGTTACCTAACTCCCAGGTGCCTATTTACAGCTAGGTGAAACCATTCCCAACCATTTCTGTCTCACGTGGGAATCGAACCCAAGATCCTCAAATGCGAGTCGAGAAAGTAGCCACTGTACTACCAAGAACCCTTGAATATAAGTAAAAATAGCCTAAAAAAATGCAATGTGTACTGAAAAGTTAATTAGGATTGTATAAGGTTCCAGGTTCATTTTTTATCATGGCTCATTAAGTTCATGATTAAAAATAACTTCTCATATGGTTTCTGTAAGTAAATACTTTTGTTGCATTTCTATTGGCAAACTATCCAGCTGCATCTACAGAAGGGCAATATACAGTATTCCCACCTACCTCCATATGCATGCATTAATCTGTCTCAATGTTTCCACTGAGCATGCAACAATATTTACAGAATTCTACACACACATACCTAACACAGAATCTACATAAAAACAATACAACTATAAACAAAACTTAAATAATATAAAACTGTATATCACTACTTAATCCAGCATGGAATGTAAGGAATATATCTTTATTGAAATGAAGGCAGGACTAGATATTGGAGAAGTATAGACTTGTAATGTAAAATAGTAAAAGAAATAACATACAGGGTATATCAAACTTTAGACATGCATTGTTACTGTTAAAAATAGTTTTTAGGACATCTCTTTTGATAGGAAATTGGCACTGAAAAGGCTTTCATGACCACTCTAAACTTGAAGGTGATCAGGTAGGTTCTGTCATTAGTCTCAGTAGCACAGCATGGCATGGCATGGCATGTGTACAGTACCATGCTCCAAAATAAACATGCTTAATATTTCCATTATCACAGTTATATACTGTACAAGAATGTTAAAATAATATACAGTATAAGTTTAATTATCTAATATACGTATCAGTTTGCAGAAAAAAACACAAAGAAATGGGGAAGAGAGATGAACGTTTCGGTCTGTTAAAGCTGTTGTCAACACCAGTCTGGTGTTGACAACGGCTTTAACAGGCCGAACCTTAGTACTACGAATCCCGAGCGCTGTCCACTCAACTGTCAGTCCCCTTCTACCATGTCAAAAATACAGTATATACTGGCAAATGATCCTCCTCATATTTATTATTTGTATTTAGCAACACAAAGAATTTTCAGTAGATGTAGTCTACATAAATTTCTCTACAGCTCTTCATAAGGTCCAAACAAAAACTAGCACAGAAATTACAGGCATATGAAATTAACATTAAAACACTAGAATGAGAAAAAAACAATGGTTAGAAAAAGCAAAAAAAAAGTCGCTCTAAATAAAAGAGAAACTGTAAAATTGTAAGTGAAGTATCATAAAATTCAAATTTTGTACATAGAAAAATTTATTATAAATTTTGTTATGTAGCAGTGTATAAATTCGACTGAATTATTTATTTCCAAGACATTGGAAAAGTTATAGCACTATCATGCTAACTTTTGTGGTAATGCACAATACTCTCAGTACACTGTAATAGGATATCAACACCATTAAATAGTTTCTTTCAGCTTGAAGATGTTAATATTGACAGTTGTGGATGAAGATGTTGTATATTATTGTATTTAGTTCACAGACCATTGTAACAATATTTGGTATGTAACAATGTTACCCTTCTCCCATCGATGATTCTTTTGCTACCCATCCCTCTCCATCCTGAAATGCCACACAATGGTCTGCTTCATCTTCTCCACAGCACTCCTCTGTGAAGCATCGCTCCGAGCTCTGCTTTATCATCTCCAACATTGCACAACATTTTCACTATATACTGTACTGTTGCCACTATTTTTTTCACATGTGTATTTTTGTTGTTGTTGCTTTCTGTCTACCACTCGCCCACCTCCATATGTACCCAAGGCAATCTGTACTGTTACCAAATATTGTTATTTCTTAGTGCAAGAAAGTGGCAACAGCTTTCCTTGTGTGGTCTAGCATGACCAGCATGTGATATTCTTCAGCAAATATTTCAAAGGCTCGGTAAAAAAAAAGTATTAATCATTTGTAAGCAGTTGAAATGTGTATGGAAGGTTGTACACGAGGCCTTCCCCTTCTCTACCAAGGATGAGATACATTTATTGAGCATCTGTAACATTATCATCCAAAATTATTTTTCCATTTCTAAATGAATATTCAGTATAATATCATATAAAGTCAAGGAAAGTATATTTTGTGATGGATAATTTATATTTAATTCTTGCCATAACAGTTTTGTGAAATAAAGCCGTTCTTTGCTAATGCATCTTTTATACATGTTTATAAGTTACTAACAAGTTCCCTGCTATGCCACAGTCTATTGAATGATCGCCGAGAACAGGCGCACCATGATCTTAAGGGCCTTGAAGACACTGTGGCCAAAGAGCTTCAGACGCTGCATAACCTAAGGAAACTTTTCGTCCAGGACCTGCAGGCCAGAGTCAGGAGGGTTAGTATACAGTGCATGTTTTCAAATGTGCAGAAAGTTCTGCCTTCAGTTTAATCAATCAAATTACTGTATTGTAGAAATATTAATAATAGTGTTTTCTCAAGTTGGTATCAAAAGCTCCTTTCTGAGCAGTTGTTCAGTTGTTCCCTTAAGGAAGATACTCTCCAAGGGCACATGTAAATCTTAGTCAGACACCACAGGCAGCAACAATGACAATTCCATTGAATGACATATTAGCTCTGGCACCACATGCAATTTTCATACATCCTTGCAAGGTCATTATACTGTAGGTAACATGGAGTCACTGGAGAATACTCAATCCAGCTCAGAATGAACCAACACATGTGAGAAGCATTAGTTATGCACATTAATATTAGAATGTTATAAATACTGTGTAAGCATAGTCCACTGCAAACCAGAAACTGTTGGTTTCTACGGCCAGGCAGGTCAACGAGTTATTGAGAGCTCTTGTTGGTCACATGATACTAAGGGAGGGGTTGGAACTGACCTGTGTCAATCATTCCCAGTTATATTGAGTATTCTCCAGTCACTTCCTAAGTATTACCATTCTTGGATGTTTGTAAATTTTTAGTTTTTCAGTATCAGTCTAATGCGAATTTACCTGACTGTGCAAGTTCCTCTCCGAGAAACTGAGGATCTTACTTAGGGAGCACCCAAATGTCATAGCTCAGGCTGGAGGCTCAATATGACATCATTAGCAACCTTGGAAGCAATGTTGTCATTCATTGTTGTAATTTATTTCTGTGCAATATCTTCAGAGTACAGTACAGTACAAACTTTCTGTAAAAATAACTAGAAATGTATACCTTATGATAGACCACAGCTTATTATATTTCTTGTTTAAATCGGGTTTTGAGTATAAAAAGTACTTTCCTAACTAGTTACTCGGTTGCTCCCTAAGGCAAGAACTATTTGATTCCAGGACAGATTATCAATCTGCACCACTATGGCAAGAAACTTTTAAATCTATACTTTCAAATTATTCTTGTGCTAGAGAGACTAGAAAATACAGTACTTAATTTAGATGGAATAACTGTCAGAAAATACATTCTAAAAATCTCAAAAGCCAATTCAAATACTAATTGGCAACCCAAGGACCACCAATTAGCATTCTCGAAAATGGCCAGTTTCTCATCTGAACTCTGACACCAGTCCTCTGGTTGGGGCACCCCCTCCACTAATGCAGACAAGAGACCAGCAACCAACTCGTGTCAGGTAGCAGAACCCTTGCCCCAGAGTAATATTTGAAAGAGGAAGCTACCACACAGGAGCTTCCGACTCCCGCTAGACGTGAGAATAATCCTCCACTTGTAAAAGAAGGGATGTGCTGGTTCCAATTGAGGCTTTGGGCTCACATTGTCCCTGGAAGAGTGGAGGGACAGACTTCCTGCCTACCAAATCCACTCTTGAAAGCATCTGCATGACAGGTGAAGAAGTTACATGAAACTCTTGGCAAGAGAAGGGAGATGGCAGACAAAGGACCCTTTGAAAAGCTAACCTGTGGAGGACAGAGCCCTTGCATCACTGACACTTTGACCAACAAGAAAATCTGACAAGGTCCCGTGCTTTCTATACAAGCAGAGAACCGAACCCTTATCAGTATATCAAAGCATTAGTGCATATTAAACAGTAGCTACAGAAGCAATGTGCCTGGATGAAGGCTCCAACAAAGCAATGGTTCATACACACAGCAAACCAAGCATCTGTGAAGTCAAACGCAACCTTTAACCCAGCTGAAAGAAAGCAGTAGGTGGAAAGCATGGTCTTTTGGGTTAAAACTCTAAACTGTACAATCATCTTCCACTTTCATTATTTTGTTGTTACAATACAGTGTATGTACTGCGAAAGCAAGTACCTTAAAAAAGTTAGGTCTAGATAATGCTGTACATATTAAGATTAGTATTAAATATAACAGGTGCTAAAAAGTTGTCATAGTATTAAATATAACACATGCTAAAAAATTAACTCGCATGATTATCTTATTTAGATTGAAAACTCTTTGGTGAAAATATGCTCTGTGGAGTGGCAGATACTGTATAGATTTAAGACTGCCTACATATACAGTATAATTTAACCTATGTCTTCATTCCTTTTTATTCAGTCTGCTGCAGGAGAAGATGAAGATATCCTTGGAGGGTCCGTAGCACAAAAACAGAAGATTAGCTTTCTGGAAAATAACCTAGACCAGCTGACGAAGGTGCACAAACAACTGGTCCGGGACAATGCCGACCTCCGGTGTGAGCTGCCTAAGTTAGAGAAGCGGCTCAGGGCCACCATGGAGAGGGTTAAGGTATGGAAGCAACAAATTCCGAGTCTCCAAAATGAGATCACGTTAGCAAGTTGTAAAAACTGTGAATAGTAACGAGATGGAACACTTGAGTTATGTAAAAGTTATACATGTAACACTGCTAATATGTTCTCATTTTGGACTTCAAAGTTAACTGGGTTTGCTTGTGAGTTTAGTTTCATGCACCATTTAAATTTGGGGATGGTAATGATAAGATTAAATATTTCTGTCTAGTCAAATATTTTTGCCACAGGGAATTAAAAATTAAACTACTTTTCTAAATATAAGACATGAAAATTAGGATTCACAAAGATAAATGTACAGTACAGTATTAAGAAAAGGTTACAGACAAAATGTGAGTCAGTATTACCTAGTATTAGTATTTAGTTGCAAAGATGTGCAACTAAATGACTTCTGGAACTTAAAGACAAAGTTACAAGGAGAGGTTAAAGGTGTTAAATATACCAAACTAGAAGATAGCAGAAAAGGAGGCAATATGATCATTATGTACAAAATAGTAACAGGAATTGACAAAATTGACAAGGAATTTTGTCAATTTTGTTGTCAACAACAGAGTAGGGTTGACAGCGAGCTCCAAAGGCGAGTAGTATTGTCATTGGAAGCAACCAAGTGTACTGTGTAGAAAGTGCTTATTCTGCATTGGCCCTCTCAGTAGCCTCGTGGAGCTTAAGTGCTAGTATGGCTAAGCTTTCAGGCCTCTTGAGACTTGTGCAAGCCTACCAAGAAACAGGACCAGAATCTAGTTAGGTCAATAAGGCAAGAGCAGAATGGGGATCAGAGATCAACCCAAAACCAAACAAAACCCAACTAGAAAAGCTAGGCAAAGTATACCACTACAGTACAGTACTTGAAAGAAGTGAAATGACGACAATGCAAACAATAGATGGCACTGGGTGAATACCCCAAGTTTCAACTAGCCAGGCTGCCTGGGACACTTGAGACTATGCATCTCTTCTGGGAACCTCTTTCCTGCTTTCAAAGCTACTACTTTTTTTTCTCTCTCTCAAAGGCTCTCTCTAGGTCTTCATAGCTTATCACTTAGGCCAGCATTACACATGACCACAATATCCCAGGTTTGCCTGCTGGTTTCAAGTAGTTCTTGGCTCACTTTCCTGGATCTGCTTGAAGCATATTGACATATTTCCATTCATCCAAGAGTTTAGGAATTGGCTACTGCTGTCAGGCTCTTCCCTTTTTTTGTTCACCAGCTGCCAACTGTCATTTACATTGCTTTCCTCATTTTAATCATTTCAAACAGTGGTTTATTTTGCTTAGGCTGTACCCTCTGGGCATTCTGGGTAGTTTTCTTGGTTTTTCGGTCTCTCTCTGATCCCTATTCTTCCTCACCTCAGTGAGTGAACGAGATCCTGGATCATGGTAGGCTTGAGAACATCTGAGGCCTGGTAGAACCTGAAGCCATATAAGGCCAGCAATCCTGTAACATTGGAATGTTAGGTGACTATACCTAGCACTTAACCTATGCTCTGTAATCCCTCATACAGAATGGGGTTGCAACATAAAACTGTGTACCTAAGCTTGTTAACAAAAATAAACATAAAACTTATTAAGCTCCAGAGAACTACCGCGGGTCCAAAAAGGGGTATTTCATTGCATTAAACAATTGATATAAACCCAGGGTTTTTTTTCCTTGAAAGATCACAAAATTGCAAAATATTGCCAAATACTGAGTACTACCTGTACTCACAATAAGACTAAAATGGAGTTTAATGGAGTGCATGTTAGAAGGCCTCGGTTGCCAGTTTGTTCTATGAGCCAATTGATGAGTGGCAGTAAACCGTATGTAAACAGTAGCATGTTTGCATACTAAACTCTTGTAGTATGCAGTCAGACTGTACTAAGGTTGGGAGAAATCACATCAATAGATAAAACATGAACAAAAAGAAGACAAGTACAGTACTGTATGAGAAACAAAGAATACAGTACCATAAATTGATGATCGAGGTAACATCATTTAACCCCCCCCCCCATCACATCTGTGTAGCACCATCACTATGTTTAAGATTAACAGTGAGCCAGCAGCACTGCCAGTTTCCTTCAGAATATAGCCAAGATGGATTTTCTAGTTGGTAATGTCCCATCCTTGTAATACTTGTTGGTCTCTATAATATTCCAACAATAGTGGAGTATATGGCAACACCCTAGATACTGTGGTTTTTTAAATTAATGAATACTAATAAACAAATGTCTCAGTGACGTAACTAGTATTAGCTTAAAATACTATTAATGTGTAGTTAAGAAACTGTTGGCACCGGGTACAATGGTAATTGATGGATAAGTTAAGTGGTATATACACATTTGTCTCCCAAGTGAGTTTATGTGCATCTTAAACATATGCAGTTAAATCTTTACAAGTAGATTGTTTATTTTATTTCATGGTTTGCCATGTAATGCCACATCTGTACGTGGATAGCACTGAACACTGCACAAAATTATTCAATAACATAACTAAAATTGATAATTAATTAGATTTTTTCAGACAAGATCCAAAATATAATTATAGTATATGGACTTGGAGTTGATTGATTTCACATTAATTATCACTGCTTCTATGCTGCTGAACATATTAGGGGTGTTGCCATACTTCTTTCCACTACTGTAGATAGAGGACGAGGGACAGGAGCTATTCTGGCAGTTCAGGGTGGAGGAAGATAACGCCCATCTCCGCTGTGAGGTACCTAAGCTAGAGCAGCGGCTCAAGGCAACCATGGGCAGGGTCAAGGTGAGCACACCACCTACCCTGCCATTGTTTAGTTCACCTCTAACCATGATAATGCATTTGACTCATTCATACACACGTTACAGTTCACTGTGTTCAGGCTTTTCACTATTGCTCTTGATCCTCATAAAAGGCTTTAAACACCACAATTTTTTTATATGTATTTTCAAATTTTATTTCTGTTAGCTGTGACACCTGCTTACCTCAATTATTTTATTAAAATACGACAGAGAAGCTGCTCAGAGCTGGTTCTCGGAGGTGCACTGTTCTTAATAAATGGGCAGTCAACTTGTGCCCACGTTCTACGACATGCCACTTTTTTTTTTAAGCATACAAGTTGTATTTGGTGAACTTCACCTCAATTTCCTAGCCATTTATTTTTTACCATATGTAGCTGAGCTCACTTCTACACTTGCTTTTATTATATACACACCTAATCCACTTATTACTCAAGTCTAAATTTCAGAACAAAATCTTTTAAGCAATAGACTCTTAGGTGGATATCAGCACGGACGGTCATATGCCGAGGAGGGCCATAAGTAAGTATCCAAAGGAGGCACCAAGCCGGGAAGGGGAGGGCCATAAGACAGAGGGGTGGACTGAAAATGAAGATGAGACAATCAGAGGCCCACAGTAGATAAAGAACAAAGCAGTGGAGAGGTGATGCAAAATAATAGCCAGGGAAAAGACTGAAAAGGCAGGGTAGATATGCCAGCTGGCGACACTAGAACGCCTATGGTCACAGAACATAGGGAAGGTGAGCTTGTGGAGGTATTGGGGTGCAAAGCTTGGAAATGGTTGTGGGCCTGAGGGTGGGTAGGTTAGAGGAGCATGATATAATGCACAAACATAAGTCATGTCATAAAAGGAAAAAAAAGATTGACCTGGCATCTCACCTTGGGCAGAGAGATGCAATCTCAAGTATTTAAGGTAGAGGATTCATATTTATAATGTAGACAAGAACATGAAAAAAATAGGATGGGTATCATTGTAGTTGATGCAGTGAGCACAGGAGAACATCATTCCAACCTAGAATGTCCCGAGGTACCCCACATGGGGGTAAGAACACACCTCACTATTACATTTTGAGTCTCCATGTCTGAATTTCCAACACCTATTACAAAAATGGGGGATAGGATGTATACAGAGCACCTTTTACCAATAAGAATTACCAAAGACAGGAGGGCCCCGACTATCAAAAGTTACCTTGGCCACCTTAAGGGGGCTGACGACAATGATTGCAAGGAAACTTGGTGAATGTCAACCTGGAAGACATGATGACTGGGCGTCTCAAAAATATATTTTGTACTGAACTTAATATCTGAAACAATTAGGAAGAGCATTGACAAAGCAAAGGATTCAAAAGCCTCAGATGTGGATGGAACTCAATCCAAAGTTATAAAGGAAATAACAGATGAACTGTCTTCCCACTGAAACCCTTGTCCAGAAAATCTCTGAACCAAGGAATAATTCGTCCTAGATTGGAAATATGCAAATGTCACTATCTTCAAAAAAGACAGAAAGAGCTCAGCAGAAAACTACCAACTGATCAGCCCAACCTCTCATATCTCAATCCGTTCTCGCAAATTTAATAAGTCAATATTGACTTATTAAATATGTGCATAGGTGACATACTTAACATAATAGTTTCCCTTGAAAAGCTTCATAGAAAACACCAACCTTACCTAACCTACTTAGTATGTTAAGATAAGCATCTTATTGCTTCGTAATTACAATTATTACCTAACCTATACCTATAATAGGTTAAGTAACAATTGTAATTACGAAGCTATAAGATGCTTATTTTAACATACTAAGTAGGTTAGGTAAGGTCGGTGTTTTCTATGAAGTTTTTCAAGGGAAACTATTATGTTTAGTATGTCACCTATACCTTGAGGTTACCTTGAGGTGCTTCCGGGGCTTAGCGTCCCCGCGGCCCGGTCGTCGACCAGGCCTCCTGGTTGCCGGACTGATCAACCAGGCTGTTGGACGCGGCTGCTCGCAGCCTGACGTATGAGTCACAGCCTGGTTGATCAGGTATCCTTTGGAGGTGCTTATCCAGTTCTCTCTTGAACACTGTGAGGGGTCGGCCAGTTATGCCCCTTATGATGCCCGAAACGCTTTGCGTAATAGTGGCTTTAGGCATTGTATGTACTAGCTCTACCTATAAGTCAACCAATCTTTGTAAAAATTTCTTGTATGTATGTACCTTACCTAAATAAACATTTATTTATTTATTTATTTATGTGTAGTGGAAGCGTGTTGAACAGTCTCGGACCTCTGATGTTGATAGAGTTCTCTCTCAGAGTACCAGTTGCACCTCTGTTTTTCAATGGGGGTATTCTGCACATCCTGCCATGTCTTCTGGCAGGATGTGCAGAATATGCACGCCTATGCACGCAACTAATAAGTCAATATTGACTTATTAAATTTGCGAGAACGGGTTGCATATCAGCAAACTTATGGATTTCCTAAGAAAATTAACTTCTCACAGTGCACAACCTAGTCAAATTAATGCAACATGGTTTTGTTAAAAATATATCCTGACTTATTAACCTACTCATATTTTTGCAGACAAAAGACTTCCAGCAGATACAGTATATACAGATTTTTCTAAAGCTTTTGATTGGATACTATGTGCAAGACTGGCAAGAAAATTACAAACACATGGCATAAATGGTAGAGGATTAGAATGGATTAAACAATAGTCAAAACAAAGAAAGCAATGGGTCATCCTAAATGGTAATAAATCTGACTGGAGAAATGTGGTAAGTGGTATACTGCAAGATACCATCTTGAGGCCAACCCTTTTTGTCATAAACATCAATGACAATGAGAATATTACAACCTGCATTATCAACTTTGCAGATACAGTAATACTTAAGAACTAGGGTAAAGTAGGAAGTGAAAATGATATCGAGATCTTACAATGAACTCCACAAATGTTTGGAAGACTAGCAAATGCTCTTTAATGTTGAAAAATGCAAGACATAGGTCATAACAGTGCATGTCACAACTCTCAAATCAACAACACTACCATGCAACAGATTAAGGAAGAAAAGGACCTAGGAGTCAGAATCCACTAGTCATTGAAAGTTGCAAAGCAAGTAGGAGCTATAATTAATAAAACCTGACAAACCTTGGGAATAATTAAACAAATCTTTGACTTCAAGGAAAAGAAAATGGTTATTTAGCTATACAAATACCTTGTGTGCCTCCCAGTTGAACTACTGTAGCCAAGCACGAGACTTCACCTTCTAAAACGACATAACTGCTCTTTGACAAGATTCTGCACAGTAACACAAATCACCCCAGAACTAAGTCAACTCACATTCCCAGAATGATTGAGCGCTTCAAGACTAACAACACTATAAATCAAACATGACAGGGATGACCTCATAAAGACTTAAAATACTGAATTGGAAGATATTAATGACCATTACTTTAAAAAGTCCAATGTAGCTAACACAAGGGGGCAACAGCTTTTAGCTCAACAAGCCACAATGCAGGACAGACAACAGGAGATGCTTTTATAAATATAAATCCTGTGGGTTTATAACCCACAGGATTATAAGCTCATGGAATAGCCAGCCTGTCGAAGTTGAAAATACTAACTCAATACTTTAGTTCAAATTATGACAGAAACGAATTCTCTGGACATTTGGTAAATTCAAATATTACTAACCTTTAATATTTTACAGTACAAACAGCATTCATTTAATTGCATTGTATGGTGTTAATAAACGTTATAATTTTACAGAACATTAGGTATATTTAGATTTTTGTCAAATTTCTTGGTCCTGAAATACATGGTATTTTTCCTACAAGATCCTTACCAAAGAATTATATAATTGGTTCCAATATGAGGTCCTTGGAAATACATGCAAAACCAGGCAGCGACTATAAATACTTTATCAAGCATTTCCTTGTGTTTGTACATTGTGTTAATATAGTTATAGGACATGTATCTCATATGGCAGGCACTAGAGACTGCTCTCAAGGAGGCTAAGGAAGGAGCCATGAGGGACAGGAAGCGCTACCAATACGAAGTTGACCGCATCAAGGAAGCTGTACGGCAGAAGAACCTTGCCAGGAGGGGTCAAGGAGCACATATTGGTAATTATTATTTCCACTGTCATTCATAAATAAAAGTTAGAGGACAAGTTTTCATTTTCAGTTGAAAGTTAGAATAAGACAGACAACAAACTATAACAAATAATAATTTTGACCAAAGGACCTTTATTATTAACATTGTGATGATTCAGTATTATTTCCTTCGACCTTTCAATTATAAAAAACATTTGCATTATGAACTCAGATGTTCCTTTACTTCAAATGGCTAATTCTTTTTCACTTCCATTCCCATAGCCAAAATTGTACAATTTTGCATTATTATGGATATGCTATTCAGTAAATTTTTCATTGCAGTGTACATTGCTTCATTATTTAATAATACAGATACATGCTCATCAGATCCAATCTGAAGTTCACATATTGCTCTACTTCAGCAAAACTATCCATCACAATTTGTGCCCCAAAGTACGTTCCTTGTGTCCATGGATGTGAATGTGCATAGTTAAGCAGCATGGCACCACAAGAAATTTTCAAGCATTCCTGCAGTGTCATACATGTGCTACATACACACACTAAATAATACTCAGTCCAGTCCAGAATGAATACAAGGGAGATCACAATCAATAAAACTTCAGAGGACTTGTGATTCCTCTTAGCATCACAGGTGACTGCTGAGAACTCCTGCTCACTACAAGTTGATGTCCTAGCCACCTTCCCTGACCACCACCACACCTACCCTTGGGTTCACTTACCTAAGCTAGCCCACATATTACCTGATGCTAAGAACTAACTTGAAGCATAAGTGGAAAGTAAAAGAAATGGAGAGAATGAGAGGAGGGGTTTCTCACATACAGCATTATATATGAATTATCACAAGAGGTTACTGGTCAAAGTATCTTAAATGGCAAGAACAGAAAATATTAATTGAGAAACTCTGTGCCATTGAGTGGTGCCAAAGAGAAATTGAACAGTGACAAACACACTGACTGGCATACTGAGCTGCTTGAACTACCTTGGACAACATGGTAGTTCAAGCAAAGAACCCTAAGACTAAAACATGCAGTTGTTCCCTGTTACCCACAATGAGTGCATGATGAAGTATATACTGTGCATGACAAGCAAATCTGCTTAGGAGGGCAAAACCTACCTAACCCTAAGAAATCAAAATTACAAAGCATTATGTGTCTAATCTTTTGTTGACTAAGATAAACTAAACAAAATTGTGAATAGACTGTTGATGTATATATAAACAAACATAGCCCATCAATGCTGTAACTTGCTTAGCTATGTTCAATGTGACAAACTTTTTTTTTACAGCAAAGCCCATCCGCACCGGTCCTGCCAGTCTCCTGTCCCGTCCTGGTGCCCTGGGGATGATGGGACGAGCACAAACCAATGCTCCCATTCCCCGCCAGTATGTTGGTAAGCCTCGTCATTTGTCATATAGTCATTTTATTTCATTGTATGATTTGATTAAATTTTTCTTCTTGGCTTCTTTTACATCCCCCCATTAAAGAAAAATAATCTACTGAAAAAATATTACCCAGTATTTCTTTAATATACTGTACAATATCTGGATATATTTGCCAATATGCAATTTTTAAGTGATATTATCATTTCCATAAATAAATAAAACACATAATTACTAAAAATAGAAAACATTGAAGTTAATAAAAAATAAAATGTAGACATTACATCACAAAGTTTTCCATTCACACTTCTGCATATTTTGACAAATAATATGTAAACAGTGCACTACCTATTTACATACATACACTTAATGCTACTCGACCTGAGATTTTCAACCTTACCTGGAGCACCACGGTATATGATGGTAATTAGACTATTCCTTTAGTCACACCATATAGACAGCATTCGATATAGTATTGAGGATAACAACATTCCCAGAGAATTAAATGTTTACTATAAATTGTAGCACTAGGACACTATTTTCAGCAGAGGAAATAGCACTGCCTAACCTCATAGTATGGCTGTTTCCCTTCCTTCTTTTTCCAATATTTCTAGGCCTGCCATTTCCTACTCCTCTCACAAATTAGGATTAGGTCACCCTTTTTCAGAAATTATGTATTCCCCTTCACCCCTTGGTTGTGAAAAAATATGAATAATTAAATTGCATTTTTCAGCCTCCAACAGCTAGATGGGCAAGTGGGATTCTCCTGTAGAAGCCCCAGCAACTTACTCTCCACTAGCTGGAAAATCCACGAATAATACACCAAATATCTCTGCTTCCTGCAAGCCTCCAGTATCAGAGAATTTCATCTATTACTTTGAACCCTAGTCTTTGTCTACATAGCTGTCAAGTGAATAAAAATACATCCTACTCCCCCCACAATGCTAGCCCCATTACGTTCTGGTATATTATGGTTGCATGATGCTCCTAATTACATGTGAAAATTAGGGACCACTTTTTAATTTAAAAATTATTTTGCACCATTTGTATTATGCCAAGTTATACTTTGTCTCGGTCAAGTTTGTGATTCCTTATTACATAATTTTTGTTATAATACTGTACTGTATATCAGTTTATTCACTTGCTGTGAGATCTGTCTATGCAGCAATTATTTTGCATGTAATGTGTCCACCCCCCATGCATTTAACTCTTAAGGATTCACAGTAATACTGCATATATTTGAAAAAAATTAGATTGGTATTTGAAATTTGCTCTCTGATATGTGAGCATTTCTGAAACTAAAATTAAGAAAACTGTTAAATTACCATCAGTTGTTTTCTTTAGTACTGTATACACACGAGATTTGAGGAGTTAATGGAAAGGAAAGGAAAACAAAAGCAAGACAAAGGAGAAACATTAAATGATCATTGTTAAAGGTTGGTGCTGTGTGAGTGATGGACTGCCCACATGTGCTCTTGGTTAGCCCAAGTTAACCCACACTGGAAATGAATTGGTGAATAATTTTCATAAATCGGAAAGCATCACTTGAAACAGCTGCTAAAATAAATTTGAGTGTTTTGTTTAGTCAGCAAAAAAATTATTCTTTTAAGTTATTTTTCAGTTATTTCAGCAGATGTTTCAAGTGGTGCTTAAAATGGGTAAGACGTGCATAAGTTGGGGATATTCACCCAAAGAGAACAATTAGTTTAAGATATAAGCTTTCCTTACAAGATCATATTTTTTCAGAATTAAAAAAAATTCTGATTAATTGCAAACTTACAAATGCCATAACTATACTCATATTCATTCATCTAATCCACATACAGATCTATCATTAGCCTTCTAGGTTTCATTATGCTGTCAGGAATATAGTGGCTTTGTGCTTCTTGTGATAATTACTTACAGCAATAACCCTTAAACATTATTTTTAGGATTTAAAAAATGGTTCCTGATTCTCACTAATGTAATTTCTCACCATGATATATTCATTTTCATAATAATTTTCTCACAAAATAATGGATTACTACTATAGGAAATTATGTCCATAAAATATTATGCAGTGTTAACATGTCACCTTAAAATGAATGTTCAGATAACCTGTTTTGCTGTTGAATATTCATTGCTGATATGCCATTAATTTGTAAAATGAATGACTAATAAAATAATACACCATTCCAATATCTCCTCTATATATAAACTCTGTGTTAACAGTAGCCTACTTTACGTGACTGATCCTCTGGAACAATTAATTTTAGAATAAAAATTTTATATTTTGGCCTTCAAAATGAAGTGAGTGCTATATCAAAATATATCTGGTCTTATTAATAAAAAGCATGTGTACAAATTCCTAGAGTTTTTTGTATTATTGTAGCAGTTATTTGCAAATATGCGGAACTTCAACAAAATTTTGATTAAACCTTGTTGCATTAAGAGTGTGCTAGCACAGTTATGGCTGCAACGTCATATATTATCAAGCATGTAATGATTAAATTACACATTTTGAATGCATTTACTGTATTTTTAAATACAGTACCATTGCAATAAAGATTTCAACAAATAACAAATATCTCATATGCTACATTTAATTAATAAGACCATTGTAAAGCCATGTTTTTTTTTTTTTCACAGTAACATTGTTGATTGGTTTGTTATAAGCCATGAACATATTCCTTATGTTCTTTGGTCATGGGTAAGTTAAGTATTTATTTTGTCTTTCATCTAATACTTTTCATTTAACTATTTTTTTAAGTTTGTACATTCACCTTATATTTTGTTCTTATCCATTTATATATCACAAGCAGGAAACTCAACTTTTTGTAGTGAAAAGTGAGCATGTTCCATAAGGCTTGTGCAGTGTTGAGAAAGAAATATAGGGATGTGTGTAGAAATTCTACTTAATTCGGTGAGATTGGTTCACTCGCAGTGCATTTGCTACAATCTGATCCATTCAGCATTTGACCAGTTAATTAAAAAAATGTGTTAAGAGGTTTTGAGGAAGATATTGAGGAACTACATATTAAGGCTGGAATACCATCCAAATATGTGCTCATGGTTGAGCAGGTAGTAAGTGCACAGTGAATAGAACAATGATTTTATACATGTCAAGGGTGGGAGAGATGACTTGCATGTTGTATATATATTTCACTATATGGTCCGTTGTACTATTTGCCTTGGAAAAAAGAACGAGAATTTCCATTAGATACTCTTTCAAGATATTTTGACATGAATTTTATTATTTCTATTTTTTTAAATGTAACAATCTTTTGCACTGGAATGATAGGGTTCAATTTTCAGTGTAGGATAGACAAAATATTGATCGCATATTATGACAGTACTTAAGTAGATTATCTTTCTTATTCATAAATTAAATGATTGAAGTACTGTATTGGAATTTAAAGATATTTGAATCTTTTACTGTGGTGTTAGCTTTAACTAAAACATACATATAGTAAAATGTATGTTCAGTGACTGTACAGATAACATAGATTGTAGTAAGCATCTACTAGAGGTCTCCCAATTTTGACTGGGAAACCTTTATTTAATAACAACATTATCTTTCAATGGCAATGGCATTTAGAATTATGATATAAATTTCTAAACAAGTTATTAGTGTTATCTGCATATTTCCCAGATTGTTTATATTTAACTCCTCAAAATAATCGCTGGTGTAGCATCACCTTCCTCGATGGATAATGTTCTCAGCATAATATGAAATATCAACTGAAGAGCTTAGTGTGATAATGTTTTCCTAGGAAATGGTGGCTTAAGTCACGTTTTGGTGGCAAGAGGAGAGACATGGGTTCACATAGATTCTGATCAGATGTGCCATTGGTTGTGTTCTTCCAATAACAGGACAATATTATGCATAAAATTATTGAATGCATGAAACAATTGATTTTTTAAGAAAACAGTGACCATTCGCAACTGGAGGCTAATAGAACTACAAATTTAGCTACTGAACCGTAAGAGTATTTAACAAGAATATTTACCAATGTTCGAGTATGGCCTGCACTTTCAAGATTTATAAAATCCAGTCTTCTTGCCAGCAGATCACCCAGTCACCATTATATACCAGGTAGCATAAAGTTTTGTCAAGCCCATCTTTCATACTCTGCAAGTATTGATCATTTCAACTTTAGAAACATGAGAACACAAATTACATTCAATTTTAAGTTAGTTCAGAAACTAAAAGAATGTTGACTATAGTATGCTCAAAGGATATTTTCATATTAAAAAAGAAACCTGTTATGGCTTAAAAATAACAGGTTGTTGCCAATGGCCATACATTACAGATTCAGAGACTGGATATTAATGATAATTTGTTGGATATTTTTATTTATATAACTGAGAAAATCTTTACATCGGCCTAAATTGAAGAAAAGCACAGATCTTATAGTTACTGCAGAGTAAAACCCACAGAAATAATATGTAACAATTAGCAAAAAGACATGTTACAGAGTTGGAGATACTCGTTTGTGACGATGTTCCAGAGAAGATGAGAAGGGCTACAGCCTCAGTTGTGCATGGTGTTCTGTCCTCATGTTTTGTACTTGTAATAATCCATCACTAATAATTTATGCATTTGGATTAGCCATCATGCAGAGGCCAATTGTTCTTCTGCAGAATCTAACATTCCTGACCTTTAAGGTATAGTGGCGAGATCAACGAATATGTCTGAGATATCAATAAGGTTTGAGTTCCTGTCCATTAAATAGAGAAAATGAGCTCAACAGTGTACTACTATCTGGGGCTCAACAATGATGATCACGTCACCCATTTAGATGTCCTCTAGTCTCCTACTCTTATTTAAGCAGAGAATCACACACACTCCATACACCATATGCAGCAAGAGTTAGAATGAATCATTTTCTCATGTATCGATGTTGCTTTTGCAAAACTTAAATTCAAATTCTTATGCTAGTATACATAAAACATATGACTGCCAAAGAAGACCATTTCCAAATAGGTTAGTGCCACAAAAATTGATTAAAACTATAGCAATGTTGACATAACTCAAATGTTCACAATAACTTTATGCTTCTTTTGCATAAGGAGAATAATTAAACAAAATTATTATAATTTAGTTAATTACTCTACTAATATCCCCTGCCTATCAGTCAGTAATATAAAACAAATGTACTAGTTGGTCATCTTATTTTGCCCAATAATATAGGTCTACAGCCAACAAATTTAATTCAGACAATATTATCAAGACATTACCTGTCCCTGCATAATGTACATTACTTGATTTTATAATAAAGCTAATGAAAGTGGAATTTATTCTTGCTTGTGAATGGCTACCGACCCTCTGCTTGAACATGCTTCCGTGGTGCATATGATATTGTTAAGCATAACTGTTTGTAGGACTTATGTCAATATTCAGTGCAAATGTCAAATTATATACCAAAGGCAGATGTTAAATGTTCACAATGTCTGGTTGTTACAATATATAGAAACAACTGTAAACTGTCCAATGTTTTCAGACTAAGGCATATGAATTCCCTTATTTATTTTTTAAATTCATGTGCTGACATTTAGTACCACAAGGAAGTTTTTCTTTTCTTTCAATATAATGACTGTAGAGCGGAAAGCTTTCCTGCTGCAACATGGACAGGGTTTCCTGGGAAGTGTTGGCCTACTTTCCATCATGTTTCATGGATGTCTAGAAGATTCAACTTTTTGAAACCAAGGGGTTTCAAAGGTTTTTAATGGCCAGTTGAGATCGAATGAAAGTTACTTTCAAAATTTACTGTGTGTGATGTGTATGTATAATTTCTCATGTCATTCAGCTTATTTAATTTTAATGGGCCATGTGCATGTGATGTGAATATGTTTGTTGTACCCCATTATTTGGCTACATTAATCTACTATATATGCTGTATTGGGAAAGAAACTAGAAGAAAATTATTTTGTATGCCTATGGTAGTGTATCCTTGTATTATACACCTCTTAAAACTTGTGTTTTTAATTGAACATCTATTGTACCTTACATATTTTATATATTAAATAAATAATAGTAAATTGTTAAAATTATTGAGTTGAAGAGAAAGATTAACATGATGAGTTATGTATGAATGCTTCATTTGACATCTTAATGCAATTAAAATGTAATTTTAATACTGAACTACATTTAAATACCATTTAATTATCATGTAATAGATGCACTAAGGAATGTATCACTGAAGAATCATGCTAAAATTATATCCCAATATATAATTTCTCTCAATTCTATAATGTTAAAACATTGCTAAATTCTTTTATCTCATTAATGTATATATATAGCCTTTCAGTTCCCAGAAATGGCAAGCATTACATATTACCTTACAGCCAGGTCTAACCAGATAGTGTTGAATTTACTCCACTTCATTTTTTTCTCTCTTCATTTTAGGTTATCTCTTGCTGATATGATAGGGAAGAAGGGGAACCCTGATTGCAGTTCTCATCCTGTAATTACACTTGGCAAATTACACATCCAAACAAATAATGCACATACAGTACACTGAACAACTTACCTGGTTCCAGTATCTGGCCTCAAGACTAAGCCAAATAGCATAGCTGACATCTCTTAAACAATAATAAGACTATCTTCTACCTTTACCTTACCAACCCACTTGTCTATCAGCACCACAATCATCAATCCCATAGTTAAATTAACAAGTCATATATATATACAAACTAATGCTGGGATAAAACAAAAATGTAAAAAGATATGGAGGAGGATAGTCGTTTAAGCATGTCTCCTTTCATAAACTTTATAGTAATTCCTCAAGTTAGAGAGCATGACACGGTTCCCTCAGATCATACTTTCGATTTGATCCATCAAGTTTTACCCATAAATCTCTCTTCTTGATCAAATTTGTAATTTAGAACATTGTCCTCACTTCACCCATTAAGTTAACTTCAGTACAATATCGAAGATTAGGTGTGTAAAGAATCACACATTTTGTTATTTCAATCCATAAGCTACACCTGCTCAACGTGTACGAGAGTTAAAGTTCTTTGAAAAACTATTACTCCTAAGGATCCATTGTTAAACCATCCAAGTGTGGCTTGAACACTATTTTCTAATTAACTGTCAAGCAGTAGTAGAACACTCATTGTTCCATCGGTGATAAGCCACTATTGAGACCCTGGAGCAATTGGTGAGACCCTATTCTACTAGATCACTATGGGACAAATAACCATGCTACATCTCTCACCTATGTCGTTATCTCTGGATTAATGTGTGCACACATTTTATGTAGGGTGTATTTGTTACACATGTTGGGTGTTGTCTCTCTTGCCTCTGTTATTAACATAGCCCTGGGAGCCTCATGAGATTATGGCAAGAATTGCTTCCCATTTTAATAACTGCAGGTACACTCTTGGCAGAAGGTTGAACGATTAACATCTAACTATATAATACTGTATAGTAAAAAAAAAAACATTCTTTGAAGAGAATTCTAAGCTAATTACCCAATGAAACTGCTTCCAATCACTGTAATCATAAAAATACACATGTAGTACATTATGTCAAGGTTCCTAGACATACACATTTCAAATACAAGTTGAATATCTTAATCTGTTCTTGCTATACAAAAATATACATACCTGTGTTATAAAAATTTCCCAAGGAAATCATTTACAACCAAGACGGCTTGGATCAATTTGACACCAGAGCACGTGTAATGTTACAGCAGTGATGCTTCTCATTGAGATACAACTCAAGTTCATCTCTCACTGCCACCAATAATTCTTAAAATGTTCTGAAGTTTACCACCAGAGGCTACACATTGCCCAATAAAAATTTAAATGATTTCTCATTGTTGGGGATGGGAAGCCTGTTAGACTTATTGAGATCCCTCTAGGGCATTAACTGACCTTACCCCAAAAGTACATACCAGGACAGTTGCCTAACTACCAGGTAACATTTTACTATATAGGTATACATGACTAGGCGAATAGCGGTATCAAGTAAATGAAACTTGCCCAAACGTCTTCAGTCGTGCGCAGGAATTCAATACGAGACCTACTGGTTGGGAACCAAATGCACTAGCCACTGTGTTAAGGGATCTTTATTGCACCACCAGATTTTAGTTGTTGAAGTTTCATATCAATATGTGGTGTTCTCTAAATACTGCAAGGGTGCTACAAATTTTTTAAGCCAAAAACATATACCTATATATATATAATTGTGAAACTATAAAGAGTTCCATTAGAAAATACCTAATAAGAGTTATAAATACGCTGTACAAAATAAAAGTCCAAATAACTTTTTCTTATTTTTATGTTTACTTTCATAAATTATATTTAAAAATACAGTACAATATTTACAAATAATTTTATATACATAAATTTTAGTGTCATGTATGCATATACAGTAAAGCAAGGTATCAATGTAATAATCAGAAATAACTATAGATTTAGCATTTTAGTTCTCACAGATTTCTAATTATTCAAACATACCAATACTTTCTCCTTAGAAACATTTACAAATGGAAACTGGGCACGTGAACAAGCCAAAGATACAGTACAAGAAGAAATGTCTTGCTTGTGAAGCTTGTGAGTAGCTTACACGAAGAGACGAAGTGGAGACTAACTCCGTATGAAAATTCAAACTTAAAAAATTGACTTTGGAGCTTAGGAAACCATCACAGTGTTTATTTATTAAGAGTTAAGAAGCAAGATCCTGTACCTCCTTCAAAATTTTATATGATCTGCCATCGGGCAGCAAAATTTTCTATCATTACAGAAGGGTCTGAAGACACATGTAGTATCAATATTTAAAAATACCTTTGTGTGCTGACAAAGTGAAGACCATACTGTGTGATGGGGAGACAACAGAGGGAAAAGAAAGGAATGAAATCAATATTGAACAATCAAATAAGTGAAAAGTTTGTGTGGTTATAAAGTCTCTTGGAGAAACTTGTGTTGTGGCCAATCCCCTGATTGAGATCTCCCATGAGGAAGTAACACATCATGGCTATGTAGAAAGATAAAAAAATCCTCAGTGCTAAGGTTGTGAGTGACATGCACTAAGTGGAAAACTTGTAAAAGCTAAATTTATTCATAAAATAAAGGGATGGCAAAATCCATAGGGTTAAGGGGTCATTACACCAGCCAAGATATGGAACTGAGAAGTTGAAGGTCAGGCCCCTGAAAATACAACTAGGCAACACAGAAGATTTCCTAGTTGGACGTATTTTTTAAGCTAACAACTTAAAATACCTTGGTTTACTACAAAAGTTTAGATCAAGTTGATTACAGCGGCATCTCCAAAATCAGGATCATACTGTTCAAGCCCCAATCCAGATGTGTGTGAAATCCATACTTTCTTGGCTATCACAATTTTCCATGCAATTCAAAATCAAATTGAATCAAAGAATTCAATGTTAATAATGCTTAATAGCTTTCCAATGGCCCCAAATATTTCTTCCAATACTGCACTCATCTACAAAAATCATTAAAAAATGTGATCCAAGCAATTTATGAAACTATCATTTACATCCTAATTTTTCTCGTGCTCTAGGGCAAATTTCAGAGCAAAATATAATTTAAACCTACCATATGATGGAGATCTTCACGAGATGTATTTCCCAATACTTCCCAGGATCCAGCTCTTAAAGCAGATTTTCAAAGCTAGGATCATGGCCTAAAATAGTAAGGAACCAAAACCCATAGACTTTCTCAACACCCAAAAGGTTTTTTTTTAGCTTAAGCAGTTCAATTATCTAAATACCTATCATAGGAACCTATCCCATTATAAAATTAACAAGAAATGGTCCCATAACCATTTTCAGAATAAAATTTCTGACACCTATACAGTCAAATGTATTCCGCCTCTGAATGAAGCTTATTAAAACTAGTCACTTCCAGTGTGAAAATCAGCCAAGCAACTTCTCAAATGGGCCACTGACTTCCCAACAGCCAGAAAAAAATTTAAGAAAAGATTTGTTAATGACACTTTTAATGAATGCTATAAAAATAGTATTTAAGGAGAGCTGGGTCAAAATTCAAATTCCTTCACTTTCAAAATGAAAACTAGACATTGCCCTTTTTTTTCAAACAAGGTAAATCTACCTTTTCCCATGCCCAAAACTTTTTATCATTATCAATATCCCCCTATGAAATATCTTAGTAACCTATTCCCGTTAATAATTTAACAGATATGGACTTGAACCACTTTGAGAATAACATTTCTGACACCTCCACTAACCATCACTGAACTGTAAAATAAACAAAAAATATCAAAAACTGGGAAAAATATGTTCTACAAGAAATTACTTTACCTACAGTAATGATTCAGCTCTCACCATGACTGCCTTTGGAATCCTGAATTTTGTTCAGATAAATAACAAAAAAATTGGAGATCTGGTGGGCAGATTTAGTCCATTATTTAGAGAAATCCATTGTTTGAAGGTCCAAATTTTGGAGGTGACTCTGCATTCTGATATACAGTATTCCTCTGAGAAAATCATTATACAAATTTATGAAATGTACATTCAACAATTTATTTTCTGATTTGTTAAGCTTAATATAAACACTGCTGAACAAAAAATCTCATAAAAATGCACTCAACTACAATATAAATCAAGAAATATACTCAAAGTACCATCAAGGAACTGTATCCATCCCTCTTACTTATACACACCTTAGGAAACTGCTAAAAACAAGTTTATTTGTGTGTGACAATTCCACGAGATTTTGGTCTATAAGAAGCAAAACCATCCATTTTGACGACAGGCATTTTAGGAGGCTGAAGTGAAGCATGTGCAGCCACTTTCCGTCCTGCTATATCAATCTCAAAATTCGCATCTTGAAGGATGTATTCAGGAGTAACGTTTTGCTGATCATGGTGCCTCACAAAGCCAAGGCACACCATCTTATTTAATGTAAATCCAAATCTGAAAAAATACAAAATATTAAGGCTTGTTGCTAAATTTCAGATAATTGTTAAACAGCCTAGAACAGACTAGAAAAGGATTTCCATAAAAGAGAAAAGTATTATGACAAATTGGAGATAAAGAGGAGGGAACAATAGTTGCTTGTGTTTACATTTACAGAAAAGTATTAAACTGAAATAGTTGAGATCAAGTAATGAATGAAAGAAAGAATTTTTATAGTTTTAAGATACCAGAACCTTAGAACGAAGTTACCAAAGTGTTATCTCTCTCTGTATGGATGGTAGGAAAGTGGAATGCATTGAAGAGGTTGTTGAAACCAATTCCATTCTCAACTTTAAAAATAAATACAATGAAAATGTTAATATTACAGAGGGATAATTAGCATGCCAGGCATAAATGGTTAGGAAAATGCATAAAGATGTGGGACATAAAGATCTAGAGCTCACTCCCCCATTGACATTAATGCTGATGTGCTTGCCTATGAAAGTCGTATTTGCCAAATAAATTTTTATTGTATTGAAAATAATTTTTGTAAAATTATACACAGTACAGCATATATAAAAGGATAAACATCATGCTTTTTCTAGTATTCAAGTGCAAAGTTTATATTATGATTTAAATGAACAAAAATCATCATGAATTAAACACATTTGTTATTGTAAAACTTACGCTGTTGATGTGGTATTGCCGACATAAAGATTATTGCGGTATATGGGTTCACCTCCCCACGGCCAGATGTCTTCATCGGGGTCAAAACTATCATCCAGGGTCAGGTGAACTAGTCTCTTCTTCAAACCTTGACTCAACTGCCTCATCAATGCAAATTTCCCAACGAAGTATTCTTTCTGAAATTTATATTAAAATTTAAATAATGTTCTTGGAAGAATTTAGTTCAAATCATTTGACCCTTGTTATGATTTCTTATCACACAATGACCATTTCTGCTTGGAGTAAAATACTGTACACACAAGTATGTAGTATTTGCAATTACCAAAGCCACTGTCTTTAGAGATATAACCAACACCAGGGAATGTTACTGGTAACCAGCATACACGTACCAGTAACCAACACCAAACACCAGGGAATGTTACTGGTAACCAGCATACACGTACCAGTAACCAACACCAAACACCAGGGAATGTTACTGGTAACCAGCATACACGTACCAGTAACCAACACCAGGGAATGTTACTGGTAACCAGCATACACGTACCAGTAACCACTATCAGGGAATATATCACTACCTACATTGAGTTTCACTTTGTAGCCACGACCCACTTCGTATGGCGTTGTCGTCGAGTCCAACTCTTCTGCCCAGAAAGGAATAAACTTCTCGACACGTAATGCACGCATTGTCATCATACCCACATTGCGAATACCATAATCATGCCCAATCTGAAATTATAATATAGAAATTCTTTACTTTATTACTAAATTTTAAGAATTAGGAAGGTTTATGTTAAACAAGAAAACCTGAATATATATATATTGTTAGCAGCAGCCTAAGGACAATAACAACTTATTGGCTTTTGTAAAAGTATGAACAAATTTGTTAGCTGGTTAAAATGATTACAGTATTACAATCTAAGTAAACTACTATGCACTGGCATGTCTCAAATCTGGAGCTCTATAATAGATCCTTCTAAACAACAGATCAAATTTGGCCTCAGAATCCCCCCCCCCTCAAAATTTTGAATCTTTTAGAAAACTCCTGATCAAAAGGTCAAATAATTTCATTCTGTTTGTTGTTATTCAGCAGTCAGAGTTTAAGTCTTTGGAAGTGGAACAAATGTTATTCTGGAAATGGTCATGAAACCTTGTCCTAAACTGTTAATTTCAATATATTCAAAAGATATTTGGAACTTGATTATAAATAATTTAAGTTTTGGATGTGGAAAAAGTGGATTGGCCTGGTTTGAAAGAGAACATTTGGCTAGTTTTAATTTTGAAAGCAAAGAGTTCTAAATTCTAACCCATACATACAATTTTTAAAGGGTTAGTGTAAACTCGCAGAAGATCTTGTCTCAGAGAAATATTTTGGAGTGTACAGAATTCCTTGGGTCCATTTTGGAATAAATTCCATGGCTGGTTTAAATTTTGAAAGTACTTTGACTCAAACTTTAAAACATAACAATAAATTTATAAATTACATCACAATTTATTGTTATCAGACAAGCTCTCTCCTAATCTCTAATCACTTGGCCAAAAAAGCCGAGCCTAATTAGGAGCCTTATTTAAGACTTCAAACTTTAAATGTATAGTTGAACCTGTTAATATTATAAAATATGCTGTATATACTTTTGGAACTAAAGACTGACTGATTGATTAAACACTTTCTGTATGAAAAATGTCAAGATTGAACATTTTAGCCTCACCTTCATTAGTTGGTTGTAAACGTGAAGAGTGTATTCTGCAGGGATAATCAAGGTATAGCCTGGTTCCCCCATATGTATGAATGAAAGCACAGTTACTCCTGATGCATAGGCTATATTGATATCCTGTAAAGAAATTGATTAACAAACTAGAATTTCTTTATTCACAGTCAATGGAGAAAAGTATCTGGTCCCATATACCAGGCGTATATAACACAATACAATGTTTTGAAATACTGATCAGTATTCTTCAAAATAACAATGTACAGTACATGATGAGAGAGAGTGTTAACCCTTCAACTGTGCATATCAACCAGGGTTGCTTCATCGGTGGTGCACATGTCAATCAGGGTTGCTTTTAGGTCTAGATTTAAAACTCCCACTGAGGCACACATTCATTTCCTCAGGCCTCCAGTAAACAGGCACCATCTTGAAAAAAATAATGGCACTCCTCCTTGGTGTTAGAGCCCCAGTTCTAAAACAGCAAACATGAGTAGTGCATGCAGCACCAGTTCACACCGCCACTATGCAGCTCGTGCCCACAGTATCACTTAATGATGACATAAATAACTGCAATAATTTAACAAGGATAGTGATATAGTGGATCCTGATAGTGATAAAGACTATGTACAAGGTTTAGATATCAGTGATCCTGATGCTGGTGACACAGCATGAGGCAAACAGCCACAGCACACAGATGGTTTTTACACATCTTGCAAAAGGACCTCATGTTCCTTTAGAAAACGAACATGTGAAAAATTATTCATGCTCATGATATAGTGACCAAGATTCTGATAATAACAGCAGTGTTTTGGCTAGAGTTACTGGTGTATGTAGTTTACAGTATCAGGCAGCACTTTGCTTCATCCTATAACAGGCACCCTATGGGTGTGTGAAGCTTCCTGCTGTTATCCTCTAACTGAACAAGAGTGAAGATAAGCATTTTGCAGTTCTTCCACACCTGTTTACCTGTTGATGATTCCGAGGACCAATGTCTCCGCAGCCTGCCACGGATAGGTCTCCTGGTTGATGGTCTAATCAACCAGGCTGTTTGATGCAGCTGCTTGGTTGATCAGGTATTATTTAAAGGTGTTTGTTAAATTCGCTTTTGAGCACTGCCGGAGGTCACCCAGTTATGCCCTGTATGGGGAGTGTTGAAAATTTTCGGGCCTTTGATGTTGATCAAGTTCTCTCTCAGAGTGCCTACTGCACCTCTGCTTTTCAATGGGGCTATTTTGAACAACTTGCCATGCCTTCTGGTCATTGCAAGGTGTTATTTCTGAGTGGAGGTTAGGAACCAGTCCTAGTATTTTCCCCCAAGTGTAAATTATTATGTATTTCTCCTGTCTGCACTCTAGCTAGGCTGAGCTAGGATCAGCACAGCACAGAAAGAAACTTTCTATCTAAACTCAAAACCCTAATTATACAATTGAACCCTGACAACTACTGTAATGTACTAATAAACCTGAATACTATCTCTGACCCATTAACACCATTTTCACACTTCATAGCTATCATATCTACTACTTATATACTGTTATATTTTTACTCCAAACAATATATAGCAACATGTTACCAATATCATATCACGAAAAATCAGTTAGGAAGAAAATAGCTGTCAAAAAGCATGCAACTCTTAGTATTTACCTTCGCCATGTGTCCATACAGCACCAGGTTAGCACTGCACATGAGTGACAACATTTCCCTGGATTTTGGCCCCACAACACCAAGCACAGAATACATGGAGGAAACATCTGTAACAGATACACAGGCTTCAGCAGTAATGTGTCGCCTCAGCCAGTCCATAACGCGTGTTTGCTGGGATGTAGGGGCCAGCATCAAATAGCTGCAAAAAACCAGCGTTGAATGTAATGAAATGCCATTTTCTGGGCGAGCCCCAAAGGCTCCCTGGAGAACAAACAAACTGGGCACCACAAGAACAAGAACAAACTGGGCACCACATCATGAAGCAAACCTATGCACACACACTGACGAAACTCTTGAAAAAAAACAGTTACAACTTAACTGAAAGAATCAGTTTTTACAAAGGTGTTACAGAGCAGAGCAGAGTGTACTCCAGGTGTTGTAGTGAGGGCAGCCACCAACCCAATTTCCCCTTGACCATGATGTTCACAGCCTGTCCTCAGGTAGGAAATCCACTTGAAGTATTGACTTCAAAAATATTATGTAATTAATACTATTATCTACTCCCTATCCATGGTTAGCTTAGGTTAAGGTGAACTTAGGTTTCATTACATTAATACATTGTATTATTCTAAAAAAATTGAAACATGGAACAAGAAAACTATTTGAGTACAGTACTGTATATCCTAGATTTCATTTACAGAAAACCAAATTTTTCAGGCTTCATAAGTTTGCATGCATGAAGTGGTGCAAGTTACACATGATGATCCCGAGTAACAGAAAATCTCACCTGTTATCTGTTCTTCTGATGAGGAGACAATCATTTTCATAGCCTCCACGTTCATTCTGCATCCCACTGTGAACTACTCCACCAACTGGCATGTTGACGTCGTTGCTACAGAGTTTCTGCATATATTCCACCACCTGGTTCCCTGCAGACTGACCACATCAGTAATCAAAAGCAACTCACTTACTATACTACTTTATACATGCCTTAATTTTAATTCTCAAATGATAATACATCAAAACATAATTATAACTTGAAATTATTGTTAAATTATATAGCAAAAGATCCATTTCAATCAGAAAAAAATAAGCTTAAGTTCATTAGCTGCATTAAATGTTTATTGGGCACAGCTCACTACTGACATTAATTATAAGACTTGAAACAAAGCAGAAACTTGAAATAAGACTTGAAACAAACAAGGTGGAGATACAGTACTTGCTTGGTCTCTCCAACACCAAGCCATCTTTGCAAGCCAAACATGAAAATGTTGACAGGAATACATTTTTCTAGACAGAAACAGGGGTAATAACTACATCAACAAATCAAGGAAGGGCAGACTCTCCCACTTCGAAAACTGTTCTAATTGCCTTGAAAGAAACACCGAACTAAAAATACATTTTACATGATCAGAGCACAATAAGCACCCTAAACATACTAAGCTATTCAAATATAAACACACACACACAATAAAAGGATAAACAACCAAGAATTTGGTCGCAATGGACTACTACTACTACTGACATTTAATGGTGTGAATGACATTTTGGTAGGTCATTCCAACATATAGAATCCAATATTCAATTTTGATACAAGGGTATGCATACCAACAATGTGTTTTCCCATGCGAGTAGCTTGATTTCTAGTTAACTGAGTATTTTCATTGGCTCTTCTTTTGACATAACATTATTTGTGATCTGAAGTCATGTCATATGGCAAGAGTAGTATGGATATATCAGGGAGAGGCAAGAGGAAGTTCCTCTACGAGTTCCTCAGGAGGCCGAGTTATTCAAGAAACAGGAAAGCCATATATACACAATGTATATTGTTTATATATGTATATAGCAAAAATATATATTCTATAATTTTTAGTATAAAAAATAATATACAGAAGATACAAAACCAATTAGTAAAACTTGTTGAAGTTATACTGTACTGTATATAATTTTGAAAAAAGCCAGCAAACATTAGTGTTCCACTGTATTATGAACAAATTTTGGTCAACAATAACAATTGTATCAGCATCATCTATAGTGCAGGTTGTAAAGGGTTAGAACTAGCTTGGGGCAATTGTGGTTGAAAGCAACTACATTCGCAGCTTAGAGAGAAAGCAAAAGAGAACACTAGAATGGTCAGACATAGAAATGCACTGGGTACAATAAATGAGACAGAGGGGGGTCTGAAGCAAGAACTCATTCCTGTACACACACCAAAGAGCCAGAGCTCAACCCCCGCAAGCACAATTAGGTGAGTACGCAGCAAGGCAAGCATAAACAGTCACAGTTACTATCAACCATGAGTAATGGACCATGCAAGAAAAACAACACTTTTAAATTTACCTTTGTTTCATCTGCATCAAACTGCTTATTCTTATCTAATCCAGCAGACTTGAAAAGGAAGACATTGCTTATGAGTGCCTCTTGAGAAGAATATAATATATCACCCTTCATAAACACACGGCTATGACAGCTTTTCATTCATGTGCTGATCAATTGCTAACAGGGATATGATAAAGTAAAACACTACATTGAAGTATATACAAGAGCCTTCAAATGGCACACATTACTTTAAAAGCAACAACATAATAGCGTCATATTTTACACTTGTGTGTTTACGTGTTAAAAACTTATCTTATTAACCCTTTGGCTGCGCATTCCATCAGGTGACAGGGTGGCTACTTATGCTCAGAATGTGCATCCTCAGTGAAAGTATTAGGGTGCCGCATAAGATTTTTAAACTCCCATGGGTATGTCGTGATGCATTCTGCTTCTTCATATTGCGTTGTCTGTTGGGATTGTCTAGTGGCAGTGTGTGTGGTGTGTTTGGTCATTACCATACCAATCAGACCAGCTTAATTGCTTGTAATTGTGCAAGTGTGTATAGTCTATGTATAAAGTGAGTATACAGTGTAATATTAGCAAAAACAGAATGTTTTATTGTTCAAAGTAAATAATATAATACGCATCCTAACACTTTGCCTGGCCAGGCACACGAGCCTCAGCCCACCCCAAGGTCGGCCTGGCATTTCCCATGAGCGAGCACCCGCACTAAAATGTGTATACTCTCTCTAGTTTTGTCACCTCTATTTTTGTGCTACGTCATTCATTTTAGTATCAAATCAAATTGTTTGCAACAGAATTCTCTAAAGGAATATAAAGTGTCATAAGATGTTAAGATGAGTGTTTTGTAAGATATTTAAGATGCAACCTACCTAGAGTATGAAACAATGAGTTTCATACTATTTTATAACTGATGACTTACCGTAATTTTAATTTTTGTGAAAGAGGAAAGATCAATGATGCCAACACCTTCTCTACAAGCCTGGTATTCTTCATGGATGCAGTCTAGGAAAGATGGTTTTTTAAAGGAGCCTTCTCGCATTTGTGCTGAAGAATCAGTTCCTGAAAATTCACACACACACACACATGAATTACAGTTATAAGTCCATCATGTAAAAGTATCTTAAATGTATTCAATGAATACTGTACATACATAACTAGGATGGCATTATTTACAAACTTTCTTTAACACTTTGGCAGTCTGGCCTCTCCACACATTTCTGACTGTAAACATTCCAGGCTCACTGGGCCGCTCATAGATCGCTTAGCAGCAATGTGAACAATTTTTGCAATAATTTAATATTTTCCAAGTTATCTCTTGGGTTATAACTATAAATTTGTGGTCAAAATGTTCACATTTTGACCACAAAATGAATTCTCTAGAGAACAGAATAAAAAACAAGAGTGTATTTATAACAACTAATGCACAACAGTGATAAATACATGAATTTTTATGAAAAGCAATCAGGCAACACATTTTAGTGTTATTGGAATGTTTGTCGTTTTCAGCCATTTCCTGATACAGTGCAACCTCGATTCAGCAAACCTCATTTCAGTAAATCTCCATTTACAAGGCACACTTTCCAGGCTGGATTCACTCACTCTGCCAAACAAATGTTTGGAGATGCAGCAAATCGTTAAAAAATATGCTAAATATTTGTATAATACATTGCCTGTATGTAGTACTAACGGGGAAAAAAGACCACACCTCCCAAATCTCCCTTATGAAGACAAGTCCATGTCCCCCCCCACTCAGGAGGAGGAAGCAACAATTAAGTGTGATTTTAAGGGTAATGCATGCAACTTTAGTAACAGCCACAAACTTACTGATAACTCAGTTGGTTAAAATACTTTCATCAAAACAAAAGTTCCTTAAGTTCCAAAATGAGGTTACTAAACTGAATTATGGCCAGCACCTAACATCAAACTAGCTATGGGGGCCAATCTGTGTAAAGTGGCTCGATTAGAATTGCCCTGTGTTCATGTCAGTTGTAGAGGCCTGATTGGGAAATTGACAATTTTTGTTAATACTAGATGGCAATCCTTAGATTACCAAATAGTGTTTGGAAGGTCTGAATTTTTGAGAATGTGTTTTCTGGCAGACATTCTGGGGTGTTTTTTTTTACCAAATGGTCCCACAAAAACACCATTTGAAAGAATTTCTGATGCAATGATACTGATTAAAAATCTATTGACAAATTCAAAATTTAAAGTAACAGAATTAACACATCCTTTAATAACATGAAAATTAAATTATTTAATCTTGACTTACTTGTGTGTGTGATATCAAAATAAAGAGGACGTTCAAAGCCCATTCGGGTTCCAAATACAGCTCCTTGTGCTTCCTGTTCACTATACATGGGAGAACAGCGTAACTTCCTGGCTAATCTATATTCACACTGGCCAGGATATAAAATTTCATAGTGCCTGAAAAAATTATCAAGAACATTAGTAGAACAAATAGGGTCTCTGATCTATGGAATTTTAAGACACTAACATAGGTACACGATTAGATTCAGGAATGAAAGAAATTTCTGAACCTATCTGTCAAGGCATTATTTACTACAGTGGACAACTTTAAAAGATAATCTTTCAAACAAATGTAAAGAGCACATTTCCAAACATTTACACACATTAGCATTACTTTTGCAATAATACATACTGAAATATACTGTACTTTTTCACTGTCAGAATATTTATACCATTACCAGATTAACCTGGTTGAATGGCTAAGTAGGCCTATGGACTATAGAGAAAAGTAGCCTTGCAGACCAGGTCAATACCTGGTGAAGATGGCCCAGCACAAACAGCAATATTAGAACTATTAAAATCATCAACAGGTAATATACTCAGATACTACACTATATACAATCAACAAATGCTATTTAATAACTAAGCATCTTTTAACATTATAATTTTCAAATTGTCAGTAATTTCCTTGTTCAGTTTCAAGCACATTCACACTTCCTTGTTCAATTTTAAGCATTCAACATTTTGAGTCTGTGAATATAGTTTGCAAGAGTTTCACTAGAGAAAAGAAGCTGTGGTAGGTATGGTAGGTATCTTAACTTTCATCGTGTGTATGGATTATGGGAACTTGCTCATACTGTTATCTTCAAGACAGCAAACTACACTAACACAAGCAGAATAATAAGATAAAATTTGAATTAAACTGTAACTTATGTAAAAAAAACCTCACAAGTGATACTTTAAACAAGATTGTGTACAGTATTGTAGTAAGATAATTTTGATGCACATTTTATTGGGTGAAACAATTTTAATCATAATTCTTTAACAATGCAATATAAATGAAATCTAGAATTCCTTACCTGCCCACAACTTCTTTTGTTCTTTCTTTGAGATAGCGGCGATTATTGTGGAGATCAATGAATCGCCTGACATCAAAAGGCAACATTTCAGTAACCAGTGAGCCATACATGATCCACTCTGCTATAGCCTGTCCAGCTCCTCCACTGCCTTGTAAACTATTGCCATTCATTCCAACTGCCACAAAATAGTTATCAATCTGTAACGAGAAGAAAATTATTCTGCAAGGAGAAGAGATGTGTCAGAGCTTTAGAACTGTAGGTAAATATTGTAAGCACAAAGTAAAAACAGGCACATGAGAAGAACTTCTGTATTTTATTTATAATTTGTGTATAAATTAACATTATAAATTTGTGCATGAACATAAATTCAAAATAAATAAAACATTTTCCTGGAGCATGTGGAGTGTTGACCAGACCACACACTAGAAGGTGAAGGAACGATGACGTTTCGGTCCGTCCTGGACCATTCTCAAGTCGATTGTGGACTTGAGAATGGTATGTGATTGTGTACTCCAGGACGGACCGAAACGTCGTCATCCCTTCACCTTCTAGTGTGTGGTCTGGTCAACATACTTTAGCCACGTTATTGTGACTCATCGCCTGCATGTGGAGTGGTTCACCCTAATGGTCAACTCATGCTCTACAATCATCATTGGGTGGTAAGTACAGACATGTTTAATTATTTTTTTTTTACACATATGATATTGTGGTACAAACACTTATGTGAAGGAAGCAAGACAAAAACAAGTTAAATAGTGTAATAAATAATGTGGAGAATGAATAACGAGTAAAAATAATGACAAAGAGCCGGTTTTTTTCACATGACAATGTACTTTATTCTTATGATATTGGTAATGTTCTTCAATTTGCCCTTATATGCATATATTTCTCTATAGCATTCTGTTGCAAACAAATTGATACCAAAATGACAGACGTAACACGAAAATTGAGGCAAAAAAAATGAAGAGTATTGTATAAACATTTTAGTGCGGGTGCGTGCTCACAAGAAACACTCGGACGACCTTGGGGTGTGCTGGGGGTCACGCGCCAGGCCAGGAAAAGTATTAATTTACTGTGTATTGTTGTGTAGTGCATTCTATAACTATGACTTTTTATTTAACAGTACAGTACTGTACTACATATAACACTGGTCAACATTTTGTCAAAAGTTGTCTATTTCTGAGATGGAGGGAGAAAAAAAAACCAGTTTATCATGCATTTTGATGTTCTGAATTCATATATAATAATTAAAATTGCTGATTAACTATCGTTTTATGTGTGAGGGTGGTAACAAAATCTTGCCGATTCAACGAGTGGTCGATGCTGAATGTTTTTCTCCCAGGCTCCAATGATGGAGTGGCCCGTCTCTCATGACATAGTGGGAATCTCTCGCACGACTGTCCAAATCACAAAGAAAGCAGCAGTGCTTTGTGTCTCCACCCTGCAGACCCATCATTAGAGCCACAACCTTCAAGTCACCACAGAGCTGCCACTGATGTTCGTCATCGTTTATGCACCTCAGAAACTGTTTTATGTTTGTCATGACAAACATAAAACTGCTATGGGCTGCATAACCCAATGGAATTGACGGCAAAACATACCAATTATGCAGCAAAACAGTTTTAAGATTCGTGTTGTATAAAAACTAGAGCTAATCAACAATTTTAAACACCATTTCCATTCTTGGTGACCCAGAATTAGTCAAGATTGATCTCATTTGTTTCAGAAGCATTTTGACTGTAGACCAATGCAATTTGATTAATATATATATTTCTTGGTCACGAAAGACAACTTACTTTCTACATTAGATTCTTAACAAAATGCTATGAAGTCAAATTATGTGTAGTATCTCAGGGAACTTGTCCCTCAAAATCAGGATGAGACTATATATGCATAACTGTACAAGGGCAAATTTAGAAGCACCAAACAAAGAAATTATGAACAAAATAGCCTTATAGCATTATGAAAATAAAGAGTATTTAGTAGATCTAACTATGTCTCATTTAATTAGTAGACAAATATAAATTTTATTTTATTTTAAATAACAATTAGCAATATAATAAAATTAATTATGGAAATCAATACCTCAGGTGTTTCTCCTAAAATCCATTTGCCATCAGGTGTGAAATTGTCTGGAGCATTAACTAGAGGCTGGTACTGTATATCCTTCAACATAGGCACACGGTGCTCTGCTGCTTCACGGATTGGCCCTTAATTTAGAATAATAAACAGATGTATGAATGACTTATTGGGATAAACATTTTAAGGTTTATCCTTAAATATAAATATATCCTTAATAGAACATAGGAAAATTTAACTACTGAACAATAAAAACTAGGGAAGTGACTGACATGAAACACATCTTTCTGAGCATGACCCTCAGATACCTAATCCATATATGATACAAAAAACCTTGTATATGTTACAGTAACTTACTAAAGTGTTCATCATCCCCTATTAAAGACTTCCTCCAGTTCTGAGGAATCTCATTTTCAAACGCTGGTTTGGCGTGACGTTCAAACCCTCCCACAACAAACTGTTGATTGCGGGTGAGGCAAAATGTGCTGGAATCATAATCCCGAATAATTGGTAATCCATACTGTGCTTCCACTACAGGCCTGAAATCCAATTAAAATTAAAATTAATACATAATATTTTTTCTATTTACAAATTTATTTGATTGTACACACAAAAGGCTCGCAGATGCAATTAATGTAATACAGTAACGTTAATGTGACAAAACTCAAGAGGTCAAATTTCCTTTTGTTTCAAGTTTCTTACTATGAAGAATGACTATCTCACCAGTTATCAGGGGAAGTACACTGTGTATGGTATATGATTAATATATTTAATAGAGATTTTAGTATAATGAAAAATCACTTTTGTGGGTCACTCAGTGGCTTCCCAGAGTTAATGTACTTGTACCCCAGGGCCAATACCATTTCACAGGGCATCTAAGACTACCTCATAGCCTACTGTGGGGCAGAGGAGTTCATGGTGAAATAAGACACCACACACACACACACACACACACACACAGGGGGAACTCTGAGCAAATATTGAGGAAGTGTGGTTGGATTACATTCACATCTCTGGACTCTCCAGAAGCCCACAATACTTACCATAGAAGATTTTACATATTCATTTTGTAATGTAACTTTTTTCAGTTTTAACATATCAAAATTAGTTGTTAGCCAATAAAAAAGTTACCTGGAAAAGTCTTACTCTGTATGTAAATAGAAGTGCTCTGCTGGATGAACAGGAATGCGAACCTTAGGCGAGCTTTTTTCACCAAGAGAACGAGCCCACTGCAAAGATATCAAACATTAAGTTGTATAATGTTATTTATCTCACCCCACTTGTTCAATCATTTTTAAGTTTACATCAGCAATAATCAACATCATCATTATCATCAATACCTCTTGGTTCACACATTTGTGAAGTGAAGAGGCACCTGCCTGAAAGGAACAAAACTTTGCATACTATATGTATGTAATTTTATATACATTTTTGTACATATACAGTGGGGCAAACTGTTTTTGGAAAGACTACGGGGATACTTGGAGCACTCCGAGCCATCCTCCCATGGTAATCCCAGTTATGTTATGGTGTTGGGACATATGCAGGCTTATCAGGAAGCTTGGGCCAGGGTACCCCAAGGTCTGTCCAGTCTGGTAACATTGTGCTCCCAGGACCTCAGTAGGCAGGAAGCAGCTGTCTACTCCTCAATCCAATGGTGCACATTTGGGATATGTTGGTCAAGAAGCTGATTAGGATGACCCATTCATTTTGAGTCAAATCCCTTCTCTTCTCTGGGGACAAGAAGCACTCTCCCAAGAAAAGGGAGAGTAATAGGAGCTGCCTCGTATGGGCCAATAGGCCTTCTGCAGTTCTCATTAATACTACTATCCCCTACACCTTACTCTTCTCCTCAGCTCTCTCTTGCCTATTTATTGCCTGTCTCTACCTCCTCATCACAATCGACTTGAGAATGGTCCAGGACGAACTGAAACGTCGTCGTCCCTTCAACTTCTAGTGTGTGGTCTGGTCAACAACTTCTTAGTGCAATTGTCAAGGACATGTTTTGTTGTTTTTATAAATATTCAGGTAAAGTTAATGTCAAAATGTTTCCAAACTCAACTATTTCCATTTGAAAACACAGTAATGAAAACATTAAAAACATTAAAATATAGCATAATTAAAAAAAAATTGCACAACTCCCAAGGCACCTAAAGGCACTTTATGCAGTGCAGTGGCTAATCTGTATGATAGGCAAAATGATACAGTCATCCATTACATTTATTTAGTGGCAGAAACCTTCAAACATGAAGAATTGACAAACGTCTTTTTGTTTGCAAACCTAAATGTAGAATTATAATACTGTCTTGTAATAAATTTAGTACAAATAATGATTATGCAGTATTTTTTAATGCTGACTAGAATACCTAATATTAAATTGGAGTTTTATTTAAAAATGGCTAAAATAATAGATTCTTACTTCAAAAACATGTAAATGCAGTACTCAGATTCAGGTTAAAGGCACAAACTTAAGCAAAGTTAGTTACCTTATTAGGAGTACAGTGTTTCTACTTGACCAATATTCAAAATAAATGCAAGTACTGCAAGTACCTGCAGTATTGACAAAATATTCAGCCGATGCATGGCACTTACCATCCCCGCAGTATTGACAAAATATTCAGCCGATGCATGGCACTTACCATCCCCGCAGTATTGACAAAATATTCAGCCGATGCCTGGCACTTACCATCCCCGCAGTATTGACAAAATATTCACAGTGGATGGTTCCCAAAGAGGTCACAACGTGAGTGACACGGGGAATAACTTGAGAGTGTGGCACTTCATCCGTCACAATACCTTCCACAGTGCAATTCTCCACATATAATGCTCCTGCAAACACCAACATTAAAATAAGTTATCTGCAATAACTAACTTTTTGCAGTGCACAACAAATTCACCAACTGGAGCGAATATTTTTGACCTTCATACACAAAAGTTTCTATATTAAAAAATCCATTGCCTCTTATTAGATATACAGTACACAGAAAAATCACATCTCATTTAATCACTTGAAAGGCTAGAGCTCAGAGTTAGAAGCAGGAAAACGCAAAAATAGGGGCAAGAACATGCAGATTTCCGGTCAAGAAAGGCAGACTTAAGAGCAGGAAAAGGTAGATTTAGAGGTTGTCATCACAGTATAGCCTGTACTGAAATCGTCTTAAAAATGGGTGATAAAACAGCCTCGTCAATGCCTAGTACTGTGAGGTTAAACATCCTACATAACTCTGGCCATCAACATATTTTAGCTATTATTTCAGTAGGACTGTATCCTGTTATTTAATACTGCACATCAATATTCACCTTTCAATTTATACAATAGACATTACAAAAAAAAGTCGATAGTTTACTTAACTGGTATTTTTTATTGCACTTGGAACATCAAGAATTTTTCTTAAGTTTTTCATACAAAAAATCATGAGTGGAACACCTAGGTCTGCTGTAACTGTAGTGTAAGGGTTAAAATAATGTAATAATTACTATAATTACAATGCACCTTGTCTGCGTGCAAGTGAAGCAAATGTGACACACGCAGAATAAGGGTCAGCCACCGCATCACCTGGTACCCACACTCCGCCCTCCAGGTCAACAGTGTACAGGTGTGGGTGCCGACGCTTAATCTCATGACGGTCCAACCACTGAAAAAAACAATCATTATTAAACAAGAGGAAGAATATTACACACACACATTCAGTATTGACATAGCATTTCTATATGGTATTTCAGTAGAAGCCATTTGTTTGTTTTACCCAATAAGAAGTATTTTAAGTTTGAAGTCAACAGGATTTAGAGTTAAAATATTAAATAGACCCCCTTGAAAATCAAGAAAAATTTAACTGACAAAACTGCAAGGAAAACCTAATTGGGCTACATAATTACACTGTAAACACTTTACCTCACACTCGAGTCCAGACGGCTTGGTGTATGCCACTCTGCGTTTTAGGGCAATAGCTCTCTCTCTTGTCTGAGCCAAGTTTAAACTGCCACATTGCTGAAAACCTGTCAGGGGGTAATATAGGTATTATGACTAAGTCATAATATGTTAATTCTAAAATAGCACATTATTATCTAAAGAAATATACTATATTATCAAAATAATTAACAGTTTTCCAACTTATGTAATTAGATAATACAACGTAACATGCTAGGGAGATATTAAGGCTATGAGATAACTTATTCTTCAAAGGTCATCATGATATTAAAAAATCCAGCATTGAATGCAGGTAACACCTCTTTCTTGTGGGTTAGCTCTATCTCCCCATGCTACCCACCTAGAGCCCTCCAAACCCAAGTACTACACCAAGCTCTACCTAATCACGAGTGCTTACTGAAGTTCAGTAACAGAATCTAGCCCCTTGATAGGAAAGCAGGGATACTAGAGTAACTATATAAACAAAGCGAAAAGCCACCAGAAGCGTACACCACAACATTTAACACTTGCAACCCTGATTCGAACTATGTACACCATCACTATTATCCAAGACTAACCAATACTGTAGTTAGCTCCACACTCACCATTGGAAGGCAGCCCTAGCAATCTAGAGGCTTGGGGCAACTATCCAAGTCATTCATGTACCACCCAAGCTAGAATATTACCCAAACATCACAGGAAGAAGGAAGGGCAGGAATGGAGAGATACAGGGAAGACCTACCAGAATGAGGCACTTCATTACAATCAACACTAGATTTCTGGGAGGGCTTCACTATGCTATTTCACCACTCAAGGCCCTGTTTGTTTGTATCCTGGCTAATGGCAATAATGTTGGTGGATGTCTTATTTAACTCCAGGTTTAATGGTTTAATCTTGCATAGCCTGAGGGAACATTAACCTTACATGGCAAGTAGAGATGTTGGGGAACATTTCCTTACACCTCATGCAACTGTTCACCAAGCAGTAAATTGGTACCAAGGAGTTAGGCAACTGTTACAGGCTGCATCTTTGAGAAGGCCTGTCGTTGGCCAATGAGTACCTCAGTAAGTCTAATAGGTTAACTGTCCCCCAACAATTGGAAAAAGAAAACCATTTACTCCCCTTACACTCGCCATAACTATGCAAACCTACTTTTAACTCGGGATACGTGCATGCTAGCATTTGTATTAAATCCAGAAACTTAACTCCTATAAATATTCAGATAGCAAGAGGTTCAATGATATTTGTTTTTGCCTGCATTTTAAAATGATTCTAAATTGAGATATAGCGTTGTAATTCAACAGATTTATAACAGTTTGCCACAGCTAGGGTCATCCTCCTTTCCCTCCTCTAAAGAAGAACAATTGTACGGTCGAGTGCTGAACAAATGGTCAACTACTGAGCAGTTTTCTTCTTAAATAACGTGTTCAATTGCCAGATTGTTCAAGTCCAGAGCCGTCCAAGTGCCGAGGTATCATTATATATAAACAACGTTAAAACACCATTTGTGAGCTGAAGACACTAAATTAAGTAATGTTTGCTGCATATTATCAGAAAATAAGAAGTAACTGCATCATCAATTACCAAAGGAGACACCCCAAATTAACACTGATTACAAAACTCAATTATAATTATGTGGTAATGATATGCACAACACTAGCACAATGCAGCTGTTTACTTATTCAATACAGGTTTAAATCTATTATTTGCATGTCATAAAAGTCTACCTGCTTAGTTATTACTGAAACGGTCTAAATTTGATCACACAAAACTAGCAAATAAGCAAGCCACCTGCAAAACCATGATCCATGACCTTCTTGTTTACATGATTATGTACCTCTACCTTTGAGCACATAAAGACTGTATTTAAACAAATATAATTTTAAACAATTAATTACAATATAATTACCCAAGTCATGTCCTTCATCCTGGAATCTTTTGATTAGGCTAACAGAGTAGGTGACAAACTGCCTCTCTGCAGAAGGTTTGAAGACTCCCAAGACACCAGAGCCAGTGTGAGACGTTCCAGATCCTACCCTGTTACAAGATGAAAACAAAGAATTTAGCAGTTTATAACACACATTAAAATTTGTATAAATTTTGTAGCTTAATTTTAATATCTGCACTGCCTCAAAGAGGCTGAATATGTAAGTCATGTTCATCAGAATCAGAACGCGTCCAAGTACTGATTTTTTGGGAAAAGCCCAAACCTCGGCTCATACAATACCTCCCCTCTCTATACCTTTTGTTAAGTACTGTACTAGCCTCTCCAACACCTGCTTGTACGACTTGGCTTTGTTACTTTACTAGTGACAGTAGCCATTGAAGGGTACCTCCCTTCCCACCATGGCTGATCTTGTTGAAAATACATAACCTCTTATGACAGTGGCTTCAACTAGCAGCAAACCCAAGAGACAATGTGATAAATTTCGAGCACAAAGTACAGCTTATAAGGGAAGACGACACAGGAAGGAGCTTTTAAGTCAGTCATGGGAAGATCAGGGTTGAGGGTGACTTCTCTATACTGTAGTTGGATATCTATATGAGGCCCTGAAATTAAGATTTGGCTCGGTAACTTTAATCTGCAGTCTGGAAAATATGAGGGTATGAACAATATCTCCTAAAATATTGCTCTATCACATTAATGATTTTTCTAGATACTGTAGTAGAAACATTAGGAGCTGGAGTCCCTGAGTACAGATGAAACAAAATTTATTGTTAGTTTTCAATTGAATTTTATGCTATGCAAATCACACATCAGAAAATTATGAAATTAAGACATTTTGGTCTTTCTTGGACCATTACACAACTTGATAATGATCCAAGATGGATTGAAACTTAGTCATTTCTTAATTTTCTGATGTGTGGGTTTGGCTATCATATGTTCATATTGTGATTTATCATCAGCATGAGTTTTATGTAATTTCATTCAATTAATAATGATACCTGTATAAAGTTTCAAATATACAGTACTGCTAAATTATACATAATGTCCATTCAAACCAAAAATTAATAAACAGAATAATGCAAATTTGGAAAGAAAGTAACCTTATACAGTAGGTTGAAGAGAGTAATGTATATCCTCATGATTAAAATATGGATTAATAAAACAAAACTTACTTTCATTGAACATATCTTTCAAGCTTCAGCCATTATTGATTAATCCCAGAACACGGAGTACACATTATATGTCAGTGCCCATTTCCATTTTTCTATTCAAATTGTAAATAAAAATGATTCTGTAACTTTTGAAATCAACAATCTTGCTCTCTGAATTTCAGTACACCAAAAATTGTCTTCATTTTCAAACACCACTGCCCAAAGCACACACAATCAATAGTCACACTCTAATCCATTCAAGCTAAATTTCACACACAAGCATCTTGAATTGCACCAGATGAAGTCAGTCTTCCTCCATTCACAAAAAGGACTAGTGTACTCCCTCCCTACTCCTCTCATTCTTACTCATTCCCATTCTTATAATCCTAATCCCATTACACTCTTCAGCCTCACTTCTTCCTAAACTTAGCTGCATGTAAACTTGTTGCATTAAAAAATCCTACCTTAAATACTGCCATCACTTCCATTCTCATTTATTCATTCTTCCTTTATTTAACCCCACATTCCATAGCCATACTAGCGTACTTGTGTTTAGGGCCTAAGCAGCTATAAGCCTTAGATCTGAGGCCAATTCTGCCCTTTATGAGAAGATAAAGAAAATGGGTCATGTGTCAAATGTTGACACCTTTTTATCCCAGACAATAAAGGGCAGTGGCCACCACTGGCACTGGAATCACTACATACCATTGCCAACAAAGGAATGACTTACACATTTTGATCCAGTACTACAACATCAGTCCAGCCATCACGGGTCAAGTGATATGCTATGCTGTTACCCACTATGCCAGCACCACAAATTACAACCTGAAAAAGTTTTGTAATACATATAGGAGAAGATACATAATCTCCATTAATACACATGTCACTTTTTATCTATAAAATTAATGTCACTGCTTCATCAATGCAAAACAGAGAATGACAAAGATATAATTGTGGGTTGAAACACTAGAAAGACTAAAACAGGGACTCGGGAGGCTGTTCGTATGATCATATTTTTGTGTCAAATGTTCATGAATCAGGGACCTCGCCATTACCATGTAAACAGACAACTAAGAGAAAATTGATGAAATGAAAGGAAAATGTGTGACAATAATACAGTGTGACAAAAGTGTTTGGAAGAAAACTCTTACAGGAGAACTGACAATTAAAAAACAGGCACACTGCAATGGATATGTGGTTAGTAGTGGAGTAATTCATTCTTCATACAAGGATTACAGTGACCCTAAAGCAAATCTCCACTGACGGTGCTAAGCTAGTTTCTTGAGTACAATATAGTTATATACCCACTACCTTCTAAAAACCCTAATCGTTCAAATCGTTCATGTCTAGCCCAATGAGTCAAATACAGTATACTATATTTTCTTATTTCACACACTCTCATTACGATGGTGCACAAAATTTAGGCAACTTTATCCTGCTGTGAATTCTGATAGCCTAGCAGACAATAAATCTGCCACTTACCATTTACAGTGCAAAATCTTTATCAAATTAAATCAAAATCAAAATTAAATTAAATCAAAATCTTTATCAAAATCTTCATTTAAATTAAATCTTTACCATTTACAGTGCAATATAAATAAAAACCAACCTGTGACTGTGATGGAAAGGTTGTGGGTGATCTCGCACTAGTAGATAATTTTGCACTAAATTTAAATTCATTTTTGAAAACACAAAATTTTGTTGGATGAAGTGAATTAATCACAGAGCCCCAAGGTGAGTGCTCTGGGAGTACCCGGCTGCCAGTTGCTGCAAAAGCAGCAACGTACTGCCGAAGCATCTTCTAATTGGTAAGACACTCCTCTGGTATCATTTAATTCCTGAAAATAATGATACTGCAAATGTCTGTTATATAATATGAAATAATTTAGTCATGCAATAGCATATCTTATGTTCAAGGGCAATAAAATCATTGTTGCAATGAATTTTGACATTAAAAGTGAAATTTAAAACATTAAAAACTTTATTAACCTCAAAATTCACACTAATATGTTGTATTCTTAAGCCATTTTTGCTGACAAGCTTTAATACATATTCACATGAACTCTTATTATAGTTAATATCATAAAACATTAAAATAAAAATGCTTCAAATAATCTGGTATCTATGAAACTGGAAATCTCCAAACATAATAGTAATAACATGATGCCTCAACCTGTCTAGTCACCACTGTGTACATACACTACCATACATTACACCCCACCTACTCTTTACCATAGTGCTTTACCATTTAAAATACTGTAAAAGATATTGAACAAGTTTGACAACTTAAATACAGACAATGGGGCCAGATGTTGAATGTAATACACTGTATATTCAAGTGTTCAAAATATTACTTTGTATTTTATATAATATATTATTATTATATATTTTATATTTTTATTATATATTATATATTTTTTATTATAGTATTAATATATTTTACAAAATATAAACTTTGTAAAATCTCTATGTGTGTACCTTACCTAAATAAAAATTATTATTATTATTATTATTATTATTATTAAAGTTTGCCAAGCCATTATGGAGAACATAAAGTACTATCATGACAGTCTACCTACTCAAGTCATCAAAGTATTACAAGTGCTCATATGTAGGACCGATTCCCCTGCTAAAACTATCACGACAATATGTTAAAGACTGTGGCCTATTTTTTATAGGCTTTATCTATAGATTATATAGATTTTTATAGTCTACCTATAGACTAGGTAGATTTTGACATTAAACTTAAACAATAAACTTAACAAAAGATCCATGTCAGGACCTAAGCATACAGTATATAAATCCAGGACACTTCAAGAGTTCATAACACTGACTATTTATAGTCAGTCAGTGAAGTCAAAATAGTCAACTCAAAGTTTCGTCTCTGACTGACAGTTTACCGTCTTTTAGGTAGTCCCTTACTCAGTTCGGTGTCTTTCCAGTTATTCCCGCTAACTGCTTCTCCGTCTTGTACACCAGCCTTTCATGACGGACAGTGACAAATGCTTTTTGACACTAGGAAAATATAGTAAACTCAAGTCTTCTTTTTCACATCTTAATTTAGAGTCCTGGTCACAGTACAGTCGTTCTTCGATCTCGACTCACAATTAGAGATTTCGGATTCGATTCCTGAGCAGGTCAGAAAAGGTTGGAGAAGTTACCTTTCACCTAATGCCTCTGTTCACCTAGCAGTAAATAGGTACCCAGGAGTTAGGCAACTATTGTGGGGTTACATCGGGGGGGGGGGGGGGGGGGGGAGGGTTAGTAGTTCCACCTTGGGGTGGGACCTCAATACAAGCCTCAGGTATATAAATACATACACAGGCTTCCTGTCACCCAAAACTAATTACGGTAATTAACTGGCTGAAGTAGCTGTGGCATCATAACAATGTCAACATTAGTCTGCTCATGGGGGGCACCTCAGACCCCGCTTGTGTGAACATACCAATGCTATAGTTGACCACGCCAGGAAACCCGTTATCAAGTATAAACCCCTCCCAAGTTCCAATACAATCTGCTCCATTAACACATTCAAAAGAAATACGGCCGTAACTGAAGAAGTTAAATATGGTAGTGTTCTCACAAGAGTTGTGTCTGAGACGACATGTTAGTGTGGAGGACCAGCCTAAGCACACCCGTGACGTCACACCCTACCTCTATATGGCTCCCATACCAGGAGCTCTGTGACGTAACACACATATATTTATATTTTACTGCCTTAGACTAGGATAGATGGGTTTAGATTAAGGGTAGATTGGATTATACTAACGTAGATTGAATTAGGTTTGGGTAGATTACATTAGGTTAGGATAGGATAAAATAGAATAGGTTAGGTTACGTTTGTTTACAAGGTAACTATGACGTCGAATGACTACCTTCCGGGGCCCATTTTGAACCTACCTAACACTAGGCCCCACCAAAACTATTATTAACATTTCCCATCTTTTTTTAAATTCAATTTCAATTTCCCATCTTTTCTAAGAAAATCATGACCAAAATATAACAAATTTATTAAGGTAATCCTACATTAAATATCTTAAATTTAGAGCCCTGTGACTGGGATTTGTGACGGTAAAGCGTTGGTGTTCGGCTCTTTCAAAAGCTAGGGGCAGGGCCTCGTCACATTAGAGAAAAAAAAGAGAAAAGCTGGAACTTTCGTCTGTGGTAAGGTAATGGGAAGACACACAAAACACAAGTAAATTTAACAATGAAATTTTAATTACTTTAGAAAAACAAGACATGAATAAAGTTAAGCACATAAAATATAACAGACAAGTCAACAAACAAAATAATATGAATAATCACTGGCAAATGAAAAGTTACGTTAAGACAAGCGAGTTACAGTGATAGCAAAATAAATATTAATGGAGCTGGAATATTGGCTTCGAGCTGCCACCTCCCTTAGTACACGAAAGCCAAGGCTTAGTCTACCAGCGAGAGATGTCAACTGCAAGGAGCACTGAGATATTCTGACAATACTGGGCCGCTGCAGCTCAGACATCAACTTGTGGCGACGGGACACCAGCCAATCAGCGACAGGCAGGCAATGGACAAGCAGTTTGCTGATTTACGGTGGCGGTAGCTAGCAGGTGTCACTGTGTGCTGGGTACGATTTGCTCTCTGGGCAAAACGTTTGGCGATACTTGCTGGACATATCTTCTATATTATCTTTTGTTTTTATGTACTTTGTAGGGAATAGCAGGCTCAATCTCTCTTGAAAGAGATTATTGTCACAGATTATTGAGATTTTAGATAACTTCATAAATATTATGATTGAGGTGAATGGGGCAATTCTATGGAGACTTAGTACGTAATAGCCCCTATTAATAGGAAAAGTAAGCAAAGGTCCGATTTGCCTAACAGGCAGAGCAATATTTGTTGACTTTCAAATACTTCTTTCCAATTTCGTTCTTTCCTAACAATGTTATTATATTTATATTAGGAATGTGAATTACTGACTTAGTTATATTAGGTTAGCTTTGATCAAATTTCTGTTAGTTTTGAATCAAAGTAAAAATATATATATATATATATATATATATATATATATATATATATATATATATATATATATATATATATATATATATATATATATATATATATATATATATAATGTAATATGAAAGTTGTATTATTCTATACGAACAAGTGTTTTAAATGTGTGTGTGGGGCAAAGGGACCCCATTGTCACTCTAATTCATTGTATTTATACAATGAAAGAGTGTATTCATACACGTGTATTCATATCGAACCCCTCCCCCCTCCCCAGGACGCAACCTCACATGGGTACCTACTCACTGCCAGGTGAACAGCTGCATTAGGTGAAAGGAAACCATTTCTGTCCCGCCCGGGATTCGAACCACGGGAATTCTCGATTGTGCGTCGAGAACGAACTCGACTGAACTACCGGGACCCGGACTACTACCAGTATATAGAAGGGGAGAGAGACAGGAGACAGGGAGGAAATTTACCTGGGAGTAAAAATAGGTGAGATGAGAGAGATGAGATGAAATGGGGGAGATAAGAGAGAAGAAGGGGTGGATAAGTAGGGTAAAAGGGGCAATGGACGGGAAAGGGAGAGGGGAAAGGATGAGGGAAGAGCAGAGAGAGTATGAGGGGAAGGGTGTCCCCTTAAATTTCTTGAGCATAATTTCTACCCTTTTTGTTGGATCACCCGGAGCGCGCATATAGGTTAGGATAAACGCACACTGCTGTTGCAAAATTAATGTTAAATTAAATTATTAAAAGTTGTTGTTGATTGAGTAATAATATAAAAGTCGCTTTTGAAAAAAGCGCGCTGGACAGTTTTCTGGCTTCTCACAGCCGGTGCCAATCATCCATAAATATCCATATATAATACATCCAATTCTCTCACGTTACGAAAACAAAATATATACTAGTATATTATAATATTTTTGCAATTAAAGTGCAGCAGAATATCAATTTTGAAGCAATATTATTAAAAAGGTTTATATAGTAGTATTTATAAAATATATATTTCATAATATAAATAAAATAAACTGTAACATAATAATTACCCATTGTTTAGGTGCTTTAATTAGATACAGAATATGTAGAAAATTTGGCAATAATAATATTGAATAATAATAGTGTTCGGAAGCCCAAGTCGGAACGGGAAGAGAGCCTTGGGACACGTCCAAAATGTCGCACCTGCAGACTAGGGTCGTCAGTCATACTCGTAAAGTTTGTTCTCTGTACAAGCGAGCTCTGAGGAACACTGAAGCATGGTATGATAGACGGTAAGTTAAGCTGTGACTGTGGAGTAGTAGTGGCCGTGATGGGTAGTGTTGTGGCCTCTTCCCCCCCCCAAGTCTGTGACTCCCATGGCCGGTGGTCCTGGTCAGGGCCTCCAGTAGTTATTCTTATTGTTAACTTGTAGTCTAATGTTGCCATGGGAGACATCTCCCGTCACGCAGGGTGCAGTTGCACCTCCACAGATCTCCAGTATCAGCTCTTGATACTGGTTATGGCTCAAAAGGGTCACCACCTGGACCAAAGAGCCAAAGCTCAACCCCCGCAAGCACAATTAGGTGAGTACTTACGGGCTATTCATGCCCGTACCACCTTTTGGGTGGCTTAATCTTCATCAATCAATCTAACGTTGCTTAGTCTTACACACACAGTGGTGACGAATGTGGCAGTCTAGTGACACGGGCCAAGTGTGATATTATGTATTACTATGTTTTACTTCGGGCCAAATATGCAGAAGGCCGCCCTCACTTGGGAACAATGTAGTTATCAAAAGTAGTTATATTTGTAACACCAACAAGGAGCAACAGTTTAAAGCCCCCACACTGTGTTGGACCGAGAACTGGAGATTCTTTTTCACTCACAGCATTATAGACCCATGGAACCGCCTACCCGCCGTAGCCGTTAATGCCCAAAAACTGTTGGGTTTTGGGTTGGGTACGGCTGGGAAAGATCATAAAGGCAAAGGGGTAGAAGGAACCTTCGACAAGCTGAAGCCTTCCTGTACTCTTCGAGGCCACTAATGCTAGTGGCTCTCGGGTAAACTCGGGTCAAATATGAATTGCTTGTGAGTACACTTTTTGTAGGAATTTGGCATAACTTTGTAATAATTGACGTAACTCTTGGCAATGGGGCTCTTGTTGTGATCTCGGAGAAATGTCTAGTCATACTGATGAACCGAGTGAGGTTCACTCTGATGCTGAATTCTGCACACCAGAACTTAGAAATGTATGTATGGGTTAAATTCAAAACATTAAAATTGAATTTCTGCATTCCCTATGGCCTTATTTGGAACCCGTGTTTATTCACTGACCGGGAATCTATCTTTCAGCGTGATTTGGTTATATGGCTAAGTTCTATGGCAAGAATTTTAGGAATGTATTTTATGGGGGCATTCTGTCCACTAAGACCTCAATCGGCTTGTTGTTCATTTTTGAATGCATGTACAATAGAGCCGTTTGTAATTGGGTTGATCCTGCTTCCAAGACTGGACTATAAGATGATTAGGATTTCTGTTTTATTGACTGCTGAGAAATTCATGCCAACTGAATTATCTATGCCCAGATGAACACTCAACAGGAACATCAGACATGTATAACTGGGTTTAAGTTACTGTACTTTCAATACTCGGTATAGTCATTCCATGTCAGTTCACCTAGATGTTTGGGCAAATTTTCCAGCACCCATTTAGATTTTGATGCAGTTTGGGACACTTATAGATCTCAGTGAGAGAAATTGAATGATTTCAATTGCATCTGTAGCTAAAACTGTTCTGGCAATTGGTAGCCATAAATTTTGCAAAATGGTGTAAATTTTCCAAGGTCATGCCTTATTTCAAGAGGATGTATCTCGGCTCCTTTGACATGTACAAAGTTCATTCAAATGCCATTTTAAAGGCATTGAGTGGCTCTCGAATTGTATTCTATATACTGTATATTTTAAATCAAGGTTCAAAAAAAAGTTGACCTTAAATTTAACCTTTGACATTAGAAAGGTCTTTTGATGTCAACTGATTTTTTTCAACATCAAATCATTAATTGGTATAAATGTGTGTATTAGTATAACATAGAATGTCTGGGATATTCTCTTAGTTTAGGACCTAACCTTAGTTGAAAACCTTGACCTTGAATATATAATCAAACTTTGGAAACCCATAACTCTGGAACTACAGTGGTGAGACAAATGTTTTAATTGTCTTTAATTTCTGTATTTTTTACTATATATACAGTATATACATTAACTTCTAAACTAAGAGAATACCTCAATGTTATATTGTATACAGTACTAATATACACATACCAATAAATTGTTTGAGTTTGAAAAAAATCATTTATTTTTAAACTCAAATTGAGCTAAAGCTTTACCATAAGAAATGTGTTCTACTGCTGTACAGTGTATTTTTAATGTACATGAAAAGGTTATCTACAATTAATCCACTTTTATTATAGTGTTTCTTTACATTGAGAAAAAATTTTGTACCACCAATGTTTGTCTTGTATTGATTTAAGATTTTTTTATCTTGCATCACATGCAAGATTAAGCATTCTTTTGTCTTGCATCACATTGTATCATATTTTCTTTACAGGAAAAGGTGACCCCCTTAGTGATTGTTATACAGTATTTTTCTTGCCATTAATACTGCATAACAATTTCAGACCTATGTTCCGATATCGTGCTGTATTACTACGAGCAAGATTTGACGAACACAAGGATGTAAAGGATCTAAGGGTAGCTAGGCAACTGCTGGAAGAAGGGGAAAAAGAGCTCTTCAGTCTTCAACATTATCAGCCAAAACAATGTTAGTAAGCCTGCCTGCCTGCCTCTTTTTATGTGCCTTTGTGTGGATATAAAGTACAATCACTTTATGCATGTAATTGCAGAACATATTCCCTGTGCCTTTTTTCATGTTTATTGGTTTGTAAATTATGTACTGTACTGTAATTAAACCAAAATTTTGGGGCTCGGTCTCTGTAACCTTTTCCGCTACTGCTCATGGTATGGGTATAGGGTGCATAATAAATGAACTAAACTAATTAAACCACTCTTATAATTTTCAGTACTGTACTTGAAAATTATTAGAATGTCTCTTGGTGTTAGGCCTAATCATTTTTTTAGAGGAAAATTGAGTGAGGTTTTACTTGCAAAAACAATTAAAAAAATATCAGCTGGTGCATTCCTCTTGTCAGTCAACAATGGAAGACAAATATTCCAATTAAATAAATATATATCAATTTGATTATGTATTTAAAATGGTTGTGGCAATAAACCTCACACTGTTAAGGGAATTGTGTAGATGTCTGTATTTCAGTAGGCTAGTGGCTGTTATGTATTGATACATTTTTCTATGAAGGGTCCTTACCACTTGATACACATTGGTGTGGTCTTTGAACTGGGGAATGTTTTGAGACTGTTTAGGAATGTTAAGACCATTTTGCTTTAATGGGGGCATGTGCCAATTCAAATTGCCTGTAAAAGTTTGTGGTATTGAGGGTAGACTTGGGATTCTGTCTCGACTTTTAATTGACTGGTCTGTCCTTTGAGCTCTTCAGATATCTACTGGGCATTTGATGCTTTGATGATAACTACAATTCCTCCCTTGACCTCCTTCATCCTCCCACCTCATATTCATTATACCACTGTGTCCCAAGCCAGCATGCAGATACCTCTCTCAATCGGTTATGATGAAAGACTTTTATATTTTCAGTTCCCTTGTCGCCTGGAGGTGTAGCATATGGGCGTGTAGTGGAGCCACCTGACTGGGTCTTGGACTACTGGCATCCAATGGAAAAAGCAGAGTATCCAGAATACTTTGCTAGACGAGAGCAACGCAAAAAAGAATACATTCAATGGTGGGAAAAGTCCTATGGCAAACCAATTGAAAAGCCCCATTAATGACAAAACAGTAACATCTAATTGTGCAGTGTATATATATATATATATGTGTGTGACTTAAAAAAGAAAGGGTTCACAATAATTTTTTAAAGTCAGAATTGTTCTAAAAAGTAGATGGTAATGCAGGAAGTAATAAAAAATCTCTAATGAATATATTACTTTTTCAGTATCCACATTATAGCTGCTCAGTGTAGTGTACTAGTGGTTAGTGCTCTAGCTGAATAACCAGCCCGTTCTCTCAAGTTACCACAATAGATAAACAATGGTGTACTAAAACGAACCTCGTCATTGAGTACACCTTGTGGAATGTCCCAATTTTTGCGTATTGTCATCCCAATTGTCGCGTATTGACATCCCAAGTAATATTTAGCACCATTTGAATAACCAGTAACACTGATGGTGTTACGTAGTCTTCCCAACTTGGTGCCTTATTTTGATAATGACTTGTAAACATGAATAGAAAACATAAATGTTTGTGAGCTTTGATTCATGACTGTTATTTTTGAGCCGAATTCTCGCTTACAGCACATATTTGGAGTAGCAAATTACTATTTTAAATAGTAACACACTCATGAAATGTACAGGGCTCCATGCACACATGTAGGTGAAAGTAATTATCAAAAGAAGGTACCAAGCTGGGGAGATCATGTAGCACCATCAAAGATACAGGGGTATTCAAAAGGCACTAGATATCACTACGGATACAAATACTGTACTATAGTATGTAGTTGGAAGTAAACTAAAAGACTAAAGTTTTTGTCTTGATGCTCAGTGAAGATCACAAGAAAAGCTTCACAGTCCCATCTAAACTGCCCTTTGGATCATTGAAGCATTTGGTCTTCCCTTGCTACTTAAAAGCACTGGCCATGAAGATGTGCAGATAGCAAAAATGTTGTAATTTCATTCACAATGTAAGATACAGTATGCTATACCATATTTTCTATTACAGTATGTGGAAATTATTTAATTTCCAATAGCATAAATATTACTACATATTCAATACTGATTAACTAGTGTTATTACAGTGCTCAGTTAGAACTAATCCCATCATTCGTTCTTGAAGGTCCAAAAGTAAAAAGTAAAATATTTGGCTTTATTTTCATTAAACTTTGGTACAAATATGTAGCAAAATACAAGTTTTGTAATGATATAGTACACAATTTATATTGACCATGTGCTACATACCTTAAAGAAATATGACTAACTCACTCATATAGTTCTATTGGTTTCAGATCTTAGGATATAGTTTAAATTAAATATTAAGAAAATGATATTTTACTATTGCATTGAAGACTTTAATCCATCACCAATCGTGTTCACAAAGCTGCTCTTAAATACAGTACACATAGCTTCAGATTTTCTCCTTAACCATGACCTGCATCTCAATCTGTTCAGTCTAATACGGTTACCACACTATCAAATGAACTCGTACACGTTGTAACTATTATTCAAATAGTTTACACTTTATCTTTTGATTTTATTAATTCTCAGACACACATTTACTATGTATTGATGCAAATTTTGTGTAACTTATTTACTTTATTCATAATAAATTAGAAAGATATATAAATATAGACATTATACTATACATCATGCATACAAATTCAATAGCAGTCTTATATCTATAAAACTATTTTAACCCAGACACTGACTAGGTAAGTTTTATTTCATACACTGATAATACAATCCATGTATCTTAAAACTACTACTCTACTAGCTTGGAACAAACCCTCAAACAAAGGAGGATCAATATAAAAGTTGTGGTGATTAACGTAGTCGTTCTTATATTTTATCCGATTTCAATCATTCCAAAAAAACTTGTATGGAAAAGATATGAAGTGCAAAAAGAAAGAATAGCATTAAACTGCATGTTTAATATCAAGTGCCTTTAATTATATTTGGACACAGATTTGTTACACCCATTCTTGTTTGAGTTTTGTGTATTGTAAAATGCTATAGGTAACAATCGATTTTAGCCTTGGTTAAACACTAGAGTATAAATTTTCAAAATCTTCAAAATATTCATTCAAGTGGTATAATCTCAAGAACCATACACTGCATTAATTCTGCTCCTAACATTTTATATACCATTACTAGTTACCATGGCAACAATTTAAAAAATGCTCAATTTTATTACATCGGTAAATGAGTTGGTACATTTCAGCCAGATACAGAAAGCAACAGTGATTTTACAACACTTAACATTCAAACAAAATAAAATTATTTTGATTTGTAATTATTAGAATTGCACACACAAAATACCATCTGTATTAATAAATGAAGTTTATACATTACAAATCATTCGTAGAAAAATTCCTTAGAGCACAGGCATTACCAATCGTTCACTTTGACAAATTACTAGTAGTTCTATCATGTCAAATTGCAAGCCGTTATGCTATAACAATGAGATAAACTTCTACAAACTGACCAGCCTCACTGTAGCATTTAGATAAACCTTTCCAAGCTGACCATGCTACATGGGTAGATTTTACAGCATATCTAATGAAATAATAGGAACTCCATGTGCAGTACATGATTGTTTTTTAAATTAATATTTGGATTTCCTGCATTCAAGGCTAATTATTTTTGCTATTTGTAGCACAGACCAGAACATCTAAATTGTTATAATACTTTGTTCTTCTGTGTGTGCTGTAATTTAAATTAGCACAGTACACCATGCTTATATCCATAAACCAGCCTTCCCACAGGTTTCAATTATGGGATAAATTACAGATTTTAAGAACCTGGTATGTTTAATATTAGTGCTGATTACAACACTAAACACATTCTTTAAATTATTTGGAAGAATAGTTTTGAAATACTGTACCAAGCTGTGTTGAAGCCATTCTATACTGTCAATGCTATGGTGTTATTTATGGTTTAAAATATTTTTTTATTTAATTATTTCAACCCACTTGATATATAAAAGAAATATACATCTCTATTTTTACACACAATACAAGCTTGCATCTCATAATTGACTGCATGCAACTACAGTACTAGTACTTCACAAACGCATCATTCCTCACGGTGCACAATAGGAGCAAATACAGTACAGCCTAATCAATTTCACCCAGGCATAAGATACTTAGGGATTTCTCAAAGGAGTAGTCCACAAAATGGATCTAGTACAGGAGACATGCTATATCAAAGAGCCTGGTAAACGGCTACATTTTATTATGTAAAATCATGGAGTTATCGATTTGTGTACATTCAGTAATCATAAAGGGAAGTAATGTTAGCACTGGATTTAAATTTAAAACAAAGGCTTCAAAGAATTATCATATCAAATATAACTTATAATTCCTGATAATATGCCAAACAGGCAACATATCCTTCAGAAACTTGGAGAAAAGAACCTTCCGAGTACAGTACTTATACTGTACATCCTATACGAGACCCTTCCTCGAGTATGTTGCCCTGGCATGGAACTCAAAAAGATATGCAACAAGGCTTATTCCTGAACTATGAAGAAAGAAAGAACTGGGCCTCACCACACTGGAAAAAAGGAAGGAATAGGAAAGGCATGATAATGACATACAAAAATCCTAAGGGGAAATTGACCAAGTAGATATGAGAAGCAATGCTGAAAGTGAGGAACAACAGAACAAGAGGGGACATAAATGAAAACTGAAGATACTAATGAGTTACAGAGATGTCAGAAGAAATTACTTCAGTTCAGCTTGAAAATAGGTAAATAAAGAAATTATTGACACCAATTCAATACACAGTTTTTAACGTAAATATGATAAGTGAAAAGTCATTGTACTCAAGATTGAAAAGTGAAGATTAAGAGCAAATGTTCAACCCTGCAAGCACATCTAAGTGAGCAGAGTGCATGGATTACAGCTGTGAAGATTTCCAGACTCATGGTGAAATGTGGCCCAATCTAAGGTATCTGATATGTGCAGTACAATATTCCATTAATTAAAATTTTAATGCAATTAAATGCTATGAAGAAGGGCAAATTAGGCAGTTCTAGCCATTATATTTTAATTCTAGCCACATACAGTAACTGTAATGCAATTTATTAAATGTAAATAATAAGGGTATGTTATGGATCATACATAACTTGAGACACCAGTAAATTCTACATATCTGTACATGTATTTAAAGTTGACAATGGGAGACTGAGGCAATGAATGCAAGTATTTGAGGAATTTAATGTAGTATCAATATCTTCATCAGACTTTCTATTCACTTAATATTACCATAATATTCTTGGATTTTAAGTATGTATGGTATTCTTAAATGTGATGCACATACAATTTGAACATGTAAAATGACCTAAATGTGGAACTTACTCTCTGCTACTTCCATCATATGACAGTGGTTTCCAAAGCCTCAAGAATTAACACAGAGTAAATCAATTTTGTTATAAAATTACTATGTTCCAATTTCAAACACCAAGAGCAATGATACAATAACTTCAAAAGAATTCTGCATTATCACAAAGGTGAAACATTCAGTTTACATTAACAAATTAAGGAGATGGAAAACATTATCAGAGTATACAAAACAGAAAATAAAAGTTAGGAGAAGAGGGGGAGAACAATAATGAAAAGTGAGATGAAAATAGTAATTTTAAAAGAAAGTAAAATTCCAAATGAAAACAAGTTTTAATTTCAGAGTTTAGCACGAACACACATCTAGCACAGTAGCAGCTATTGGAACCAATGCACGTTTAAAACCTAAATATGAAAAGCTTCTAACAGATGATCTAACATTTCTTCTGCATTTAAATTTGAAAAGCAAAATGCCAATTTTTCTCAAGATAATATAATATATTTACTGTATGTACATGTTATTAGTTTGCATTATCATTACCAAACTTGCCACTGTCATGGGGTGTGGGAGACTTGCCATTTTGCAAGATTGAGAAATGGCTCTTCAGTCTAATCTTCCCCCCCCCCCATGAACACAGGGAAAGGGTGTGTTTGCACCACTGCCCCATGGAGGACTGTGGGGGCAATAGGATTTGAATACTATCATATATAGGTCAGTAAAAGGGGGGGATGGCAACTGTACCACAATAAAGGGAGTTACCATATCCTTATTAAAAGATATTTAAAATAAAATTGTACAGAGTTGCATTGCTTCAAGGTCCGATATTTAGTACAGTACCGTATAACATTTATATAATGGCACCGACGTCTAGTTTATTGAAAATTTAAATACTGGTACTGAAATTTATTTGTTGCTAAAAATACTAACACTGCATGCACTTCTGTTTTATTGAAGATTATAATTGATGCCAGCTGCATTTGTATTGGCAAGAATAATTACAATGAAATTAACTGAATTGCCTCTAACAGATCATTACAAATATATCGTATTAATGTGTGTATATCCTGGCATAACTAAAATAATAAAATCCAATCCCTATGTCTAAATAAAATACATAATGTGATATTTTACCGATTTTTGTAACAACCAGATGACCATTTTAGTCTGGATATGAAAATGGAGCGAACATTTGATAATGTAGATAAGTATCAAAGATGTTCTTTATATGCTAACTGAACTAACAAGCAGCTCTCCAAATGAGTGCAGAATATACTGACTGAATACAATATTCAACAAATCTTTATCATACTTCCAAACATCTCAACACATACTCCTGGATACCTGAATCAGCCATCTCAACCTGTAGCTGGGTCAGGACCATGCTCACTATTTACCATCATTGTTAATGGCTTTACTCTCACTCAAACCTCTTGGTTTTACTACAAAATTGTGTGTTGTTTAATAAGCTTCATAGCTTTGCTGCACCCAAATACTAATGCATGTTCTTCAAATTCAATATTAATACAATTAAAGCAATATTTACAGATATATAGCTAGCTAGATAAAAAAAAAAAAACAGGTACAAGATCATATATACTTGGTAGAGTACTGTACAAGATCATATTTTAGGAAATACAATAAGCACTTTCTAGGCACTTTGCTTAGTTATCCAAAAACCTGGATATTTGACTTCAGATAAAATTAGTCTTACTGTATCTATATACAGTAAATGAAGTACAGTACAGTACTGTACTAGTAGAATAGGAGAATATAAATATATTTTGTGACAAAAACCTGATAAATTGTGCAAAGATAAATTAAAACAAATGTTGAAAAGGGTGACATGCTCAGTTTATGACCACATATAGCAGTAAAAAAAAATGTATATAAAAATTTTGTTGGGAACTGGAAGCCTGTGTTGGCTTCATTCCTGCACGGGAATGAAGCCAACTATACTACCTTAGAAAAATTTACCTCTGTATGTATGTCCAAGTTGTGGGCAACATTATGAAAATGTAGCAATTACAAATTATGTAAAAAAATATTCAAAAAAGATCAATGAAGAGGAAATGGATTAAGGTCAAGTTTATGACTGTTTGTACATTACCAAATTCTGTATAAAAATATTAGTAAGGAATTAGCCATGAGATATCGGTGCTGCTTAAATCCCTCATTATCAGATGATTATAGTTTTGATAGTGACAACACTCGTTTAGGTTACACATTTACAAAAGATTACTGTACGAAATCCACATTACTTATCACATAGTAAAGAATGCAAGCTTGTGATACACACACAGATCACACTAACGTGATGCATCAAATGAACAAATCCACAAGAATGGGATGCTCCCGGACGCAGGTTCGAATCCTCGTCATGGCCCTTGTGGATTTGTTCAGCTTGTGATAACTTGAGCTAGTAGAGACTACTGTGGGAACCCTGTAGAAAGGATGCCCTTAATAAAAGACATTCATCCCTACCCCATCATGTGCAAATTATTAGGATACAGTGATGACTGCCATGGGACCCTTGAATAGTCTGCCATGATAAAACTTAATTCTTGCCTCTATTCTCGCTTCTAAAGATATTATACCATTATTATTTGGTTGCACTTTCCTACGCATTATCTGTTTTTGAGATAATTAGGATCTGATCATCCATCCAGTGCTAAAAATGAATGAACGTGTGATGTGGCACATCATTAACAGTGTCACAGCAATCAAAATCTGTTGTGATTTACATTAAATATTTTCATGAAAGGAAGGTAATATTGTCATATGTTAAAGCTGCTATTTTTACTGAAATTAATTTAGTTTGAATATATATTATATTAATAAACTCCAAATGAGAACAAAAATTATATACAAATCATTACAGTATCTGAAAGTAGTTATCCAACAATAATTAACCAATAAAATAATTTATAAAGTTTTCTATAAAGTAGCAGTTAGCAAATGTTTCCAGCCATTAGACCACTGCTGGATGAGGTCTCCAATGAAGGTGTTGGTGAATAAGACTGCACTGTGACCAACCAAACTCCTTTCTAGCCATGGGCAAAGCTTTGTCTACTTAATCACCTAGTCTGTGACTAGTCAAACCCAACAGAGCTTTTTCATAGTAAACACATGGAATGCACTATGAAGGGAAGGGTGGAGGCAGACTCCATACAGAGTTTAATATGTAGATACAATAGAGCCTAATAGGCTCAGGACACTCAGTGATTATGTACACCAATTAATTGAAGGATGAAAAGGAGAACCAATGCTATGCTAATGACTTTGGGGATAATTAAGACTACAAATATGGTTCTCTAGAAAAATAAGTTTTCTAACTGCAACAAAAAAACAACAACCAAGTGATAACATAATTATATAGGTAAAACTGATAAGAAAACTGATGTTAGACTGTATTTCAGTCCTGAAATGTTTTGCATTATAAATAATCTTAAAAGATTATTCATCAAGTTCAATATTTGTAGACACTTGGGTAACAAGCTGTTTCGGAGGCCAAGATGTGACCTTTTTATGTTTATATATGACAGAGCATATATATTTTATAATTTTTACTTAAAAATACAATACTTTTGCAAGCATCAGGAAGCTTATGGATAGCAAGCAAACAACTGATTATGAACTACAACACGAAGACTTCTGTGAAGGAAGATTTGCCTGGTCATCCACAATTTGTAAATTACGGGAATTTCCTCTAGTGAGTGTGTTGATTCGCTGTTGGTCGTTTGTTACAGCATTGTCTAGCATCTTGCAAGTCAATTCTAAAAATAATTCTTCAACTCCTTTATTCTGTTTAGCAGATGTTTGGAAATGTAAGGCACCAACTTCTTGTGCATACCTGAAAATATAATAGGCATTAAATGAAGCCGTGTATTGCGACTTTGGAATAAAACCACCATGTAATTTTTAAGTGAAAAAAAGTCATAGGTATGCTGATTCTAACAAGATATAAAAGCAGAATCGGGCCTCTGGGTACTGGGTCGACCTGAGCACTGATGGGTATCCCATCTGGTTATCTCTATCAATGATCTACCAGAGATAAAGTTACTTCATAAATATATTTGCATTTAATGCTAAATTGCTAAGGAGAGTCAAGTGTCATTGATAAGTATTCTGTGTAGAGTGATGGAAAAGTAATCAGGTTGAGAATAATTGAACACTTGGAGAAGACAAGCTTTGTAACAAATGGGCAGCATGAATTTAGATAAAAAGTCACACCTGACAAACTTCATTAAGTTCTATGACAAGATTATTATAATAAATCAAGAAAAATAGGCTGGGTAGACTGTCTTCCTAGACTGTCAAAAAGCATTTGATACCATTCCTCATGAAAGACTGGTGTTCAAGATGGAGAAACAATCAGTGATAACTGGAAAGGCAGTGAACTGGATAAGTGACTACTTGAAGGACAGAAAACAGACCCAGTCAGAGATGAGGCTCTAAGTTGGAGGAAGGAAACAAGTGGAGTTCCTGGGACCCCCCCCCTACTGACTATTCCTAATTTGTCCAAATTTTGGACAAGGTGGAGAACCATGCAAGAAGAATCATCTCAAGTTTTGACCCATTCTGGATGGACTAATCTGCACATCAAAGCCTTCATCATTGCAGAGATGTTGGCAAACTTACTGTTATGCACAAGGCAAATATTCTCCAGGCTCTCCATGTGTGCCAACTTTGTGGACAACGAGAAGTTGGCAATCGTAATACAAGGCACTCGGCAATGAACAACCTTATGCTGGGTGTGCCTGACTCAAGAACTTCACTCCATCAGCAATCATTCATTCCTAGGATGTCTCACGAACACGGATCTCACTTGTTCACAGATGAACAAGTTTACTCAACATGTAGATTCATGTGAAATCAAAACAACTGACAGGATGAAAACTTTACCACATAGCTGGATCCAAATTCATCCTGTTCAAATTCATCTACATGATTGTCACTTAGCATTACATTTTAGTTATTTACAATGGTTAATAAATAAAAAAGCTCACCAAAAATGAGTTTCTAGGGATCCTAAATGCTTCTGGTTTTATATGATACACCATTTTCTAGGACGGTAATTTTACTGAGGTCCAATTGAACTGTATTAAAATACAGTCTTTGACTAAATTATGTTGCACTATTACAATAATATATACAGTACTACCAGTATACGGTATATAGAAAATTGTTCTTGCATATTAAAACAACGAAAGGATATGCAAAAACTTACGCTTCAGCTTCTTCAATTGAAACATGCCGTTCTTTTTCCATGTCAATCTTGTTTCCAGCTATAACGAGGCATATATCATTTCCAAGCATTCTTCTTAGCTCACGTACCCAATTCTTGACCTAAAAATAAATATTAAAGAAAGATTGAGGTGCACATGGCAGAGAAGTTTAGTCTCGCACTAGTATTGTTTATCATATAAAAACATATCTACCGCACTCTTTATTACTGTACACAATATAACAGTAATCTTTTACTGAAACACATAAAACTCACCTTCTGAAATGAATCCTCGTCAGTAATGTCATAAACAAGAATAGCCCCATGGGATTCCCGGTAATATATAGGTCCTAAAGCATGAAACCGCTCCTGTCCAGCTGTATCCCATATAGCCAAGTTAACTCGTTTACCACTTAGATTTATTCGCTTTGTCAAGAAAGAAGCCTGTAACAAAATGCAAAGGATATTAAAGAAAATAATTTTGTAAATACTGTATACTGTTCAATTAATGTTTATAACAGAAAAAATCATAAACATCACCTTCCTAAATAGATAGGTTTCGGTTACATGATGATGATCAAGAGATACGAAATATCAGGCCAGCATATCTCAGGATTCAAAGATCTTATAAGGAACACATGGAAGTGTGAGAGCACAGGCTGGTGTACGGAGCACAGACTAGATTATGTAGCACAGCCTGGTGCAATGGTACACAGATCAGTATATGGAGCACAGGTGGTATAATTATACACAGGCCAGTGTGCAGAACAGAGGCTGGTGGGCAAAACAGAGGCCAGTGTGTGGAACACAGGTTTCTAATTAATAGGATTAACTTTATCATTCTTCTCTGTATTTAAGTGAATTTATAGATATACACTTGTATGATGACCAAAACTGAACTGCATACCTCAATGATGCCTAACAAGGGCTGAAAAGTAACATTAGATCTCCTTTTTTTTCCTACTGCTTCTAGATAGTAACCTATTTTCAGGGACAGGAAGCCTATCAGGCTTGTTGAGAGCCCCCCTTGGTAAACGACTGACCTTTTCCAGGAAACAACCCGTAACAGATGCCTAACTACCAAATACCTATTTACTGCTAATTGAACATAGGCATCAGGTGTGTCGGGAAACTTGCCCAAACATCTCGTTCTGCATGATAATGGAATATAAGGAGTCCACGTGGTGTAGTGGCAAGACACTCGCCTGGCGTTCCGCGAGCGCTTTGTCCTGGGTTCGTATCCTGGCCGGGGAGGATTTACTGGACATCAATCCTTAACTGTAGCCTCTATTTACCCAACAGTAAAATGGGTACCCGATTGTTAATGATTTGGCGAAGTCGTATTCCGGGGTATATTAGGATTAAGGACTTCCCCGAAACACTCTGCGTGCTAGTGGCTGTACAAGAATGTAAGAACTCATGTATATATAAAAAAAATAAAAAAAATTAAAATAACAGAATTGTTTATTGCAAAAGAACTTTCTTCAGAATCAGGTATGCTAAAGATTTCATTTGAGCAAGACTGCCACTGTAATATGCCAATGGTTGTGCCTGTAATATGACAAGTGCTTGTACCTGTAATGTAGTAATGTGTCGATCATTAAACTTGTCCTCGACGTATCTGAGCACTAAGCTGGTCTTGCCCACGCACCCTTCACCAAGGAGGACAATTTTGAAGTTGTAGCTGCGTGTCCCGCCCGCCGTGGCAGCAGCCATGGTTCAAGAGGCGGGTAATAAGGTAGATGAGGTGTGAGGGAGCGAGGCCTGCGAGAGGTGTGAGTGATAATGAGGAGATAAGGGAGTCGTGAGTCTGCCACCACCGTCCACAGTCTCATGACACCTTCACCAAATGAAAGTCTCGCACAACGTTGCCACAACAATCATAACAAAACAAATTTTCACAAATTTAAATAATATTATCCGGGTGTAATAAACAATCAACGTTTGTGGTTTCTCCTTTTAATCTAATTTCGTTGAGAATTTCTTACTTTTTCCATCATTTATACCCAATGTGAACCTCGCAAATTTGTACAAAATTCTCTCGGATATAATTACCCGAGGAGCATTTAGAGCAATATGAGTAAATTCTAAGCTGGTGTAATGGCTAAGCCAGAGTGACGACTAAGGTCACTGCCCGAGACACTCACAACACAGCTAAATGCATTCACAACTTTCATGTGTCCTCCCAGCTTGGACAAGTCTGGCACCGCCGCACTAATGATGAAATCGCAAGGATCCCGACATTACTCACTCATTTACCCTTATAATGAGCCGTGATGGTGGCCTGCGGGGCCGGAGACGACCCGAGAGGGTTAAAAGGAGCTATAAAGATGATAAGGGAGGAATATTAACATTAAAGAGTAGGAGAGTACTAGTGGCTGGAGAGATGCGCACCGGACCTGCGCATCGATCCCGGGGGAGCCGCTCGTGTCTTGAGTGTGGTGAGTGAACACTTCATTTTCTCTATGAAATCACCTTTATTGAATACATATCCACACTTTCTCTGTGATGGCAAGACGGTTAAGGTCGAGTAGTATGATCTTGGCCTACTGTCAGGAGTTGTAACTGTAGGGGTGTAGGGTATTAGAGGTGTGAGGTGGCCCGGGTGTGCTGTGCTCCACCTCTGCCTCTGGGAATCATTTGAAAAACCTTCTCAAGTGCCTGCTTGAGCACAAGCACTGTCACTTCCCACTCACGTACCGAGTGGTTACTGTTGTTTATGTGCCTTTTCTTGTGGTGTGTTTGAAAATCTGTCGAGATTGATCATGATATGGTCATGTTAGGGACAAAGAGTGTGAACTTCCTGCCTGCATGAAGGCAGCGTTGTGTATGGGTCACTCCCACCAAGGTGGTCCTTGAAGCTTGTGTGTGGGGGGGAGCCTCTCAAGGGTGACTTTAGGGGTTGTGGGGGTGACCCTGCGGCGTTTGACCTTAGGAGGGTTGTGGGGAGTGACATGTGTGATGTTGACCTTAAGGGTTGTGTGGGTGACCCTGCAGCGTTTGACCTTAGGGGGTTGTGGGGGTGACACATTCTTTCCAAGTTTCGGACAAGGAACCCGGCAATCATACTATAGAATTGATCCTATGAAGTATGATCATAATGGGGGGGGGGGTGACACGTGATGTTGTTAAGGGTCGTGGGGGTGACCCTGCAGAGTTTGATCTTGCGTTTTGTCGACTACATCTGCCATGTTGACCTTAAGCATTGTCTCGACTACCAAGGTTTACCTTAAGGGTTGTGTAATTGGCTGCTAAATATGACCAGAGTCTTCGGTGGATGACCTGGTGAAGGTTGACGTTGTTATAATAAATGTTAACCCCTAGTAGTGTGGGGTGACATCCCAAAGGTTGATTAATCTTTCTTTATACAACAAGTTTTTGTGAACACAAGGGTCCCTGAATGCACAGAAGAGATATACTCATAAACCATACAGTATTTAAGTCAACATAGGGCAACTAGCAATTTGTGATGAATGAAAAGTAAAGAGAGTTGATGTAATTATTGTATCAATAATATTTTATTAATAAAAAAAAAACAGATTGCAGGGGCTACTTATTAGGTACAATTATATATTTTTATAAAGTATCTATTTACAAGTAGCATTTCAGCCATAACAAGATATTGAGTGTATTGAGTTGTACATAAATTCAAGTAAATTCAGGTAAATACATTTTAGGGTAAACCTTAATGTTGTATGACATGTTAATATACATACAGTACACTTTAAATAATTTTGTTTTTACTTCTGTTTTAAAGAAATTTAACAAATATGCAGCTATATTTCCTGATATCTAAAGAGAGATGGAAGGATTTGTGAGCCAGTTTTGACAAGTGCTGTGCTCTTGTGAGTAAACACCCTGGGATTTCACCAGGGCCTAGAGAGCACAGCGAACCTCCAATCAGATGTAAATCATTTCATTGGGCTACATAAAATAATATGGCATTTAATGAAGATAAGTTCCAGCTCTTGCACTATGAAAAAAATTAAAATATAAAAGCAGAAACCACGTATAAAACGCAGTCAAATCATAACATAGAATGATAAAGCAATGTAAAGGATCTGGGTGTACTCATATCAGAAGACCTTACTTTTAAAGAACAATAAAGTAGCTGTCACAACTGCAAGAAAAATAATAGGTTTGATAACAAGAACTTTTCAAACTAGAGATGCTATACCAATGATGATACTCTTCAAGATGCTAGTGCTCTTTAGAGTGGAATACTGCTGCACAATGACAGCCCTGTCAAAGATGGAGATTCTTTACTGCTAGAATCCACTCGGTAAAACAGCTAAACTATTGGGACCGAGTAAAATGCCTAAATCTGTATTCTATTGAGCACAGGCGGGAGAGATGCATAATAATTCTCCTGCATGGACACATGGAAAATAGTAAAGGGGCTGGTCCCAAACCTGCACACAGAAATAACATCACATGAGACCAGAAGGCATGGCAGGATGTGCAGGATACCCCCATTGAAGAGAGAGAGAGACTTGTGAGGGGAAATCGCGAAGCCGTTACGACTATATAGCACTTGGAAGGGGTCAGGATAAGGATTTGGGATGGGAAAGGGGGGGGGAAGGAATAGTGCCAAACCACTTGGACGGACGGGGATTGAACACCGACCTGCATATAGCGAGACCATCACTCTACTGTCCAGCTCTTGAGAGAGAACTCTTAACATCAGAGGCCCGAGACTGTTCAACACGCTTCCACTACACATAAGTGGTGTAATTGGCCGACCCCTCACAGTGTTCAAGAGAGAACTCGAGAAGCACCTCCAAAGGATACCTGATCAACCAGGCTGCGAGCAGCTGCGTCCAACAGCCTGGTTGACCAGTCCAGCAACAAGGAGGCTTCATCGATGATCGGGCCGCGGGGACACTAAGCCCCGAAAACGCCTCAAGGTAACAAGGGCCCCTGGTCTTGCCTGATGTACCTATGATGGCTACCAGGATCGATGAACTGTCATATGCCTTTCTCCTTAAAGACTGAATCCTTTTAGTACCATCTCCTGGGAATACAGTATATTACTCCAAAGTCTATCCCGAGACTAGGCAAAATCCTTATCTTTGTCTTTAAGCCGGCCAAGGGTTCAAAGATATTGGTCTCGTGCTGATCTTTCAGCCAACTCGCGTGAATTGGTAAGATCCTCGAATCTATGGAGTTTTATCACCTCTCCTGGCAGCTTGTTTCTTTGAACCACCTACTGCCCATGTTCAACTTTTGCCGGGGAAGGGAGACAAAATATTTCATCTTACAACTAGTCCACTCCATGCAGAAGAAACATAAAACAAAGGGTGTCTTGCTATGGCCTTCTGTTGTTCCTGGTACAATAGTTGACTAAGTTTAGAATATTTTTTATAGCCAGTGTTGTACTTTCTCCAAAGCACTGTATGTACTTCTAAACATGAGGTCTCCAAGCTTGGATACAATAATCCAAGTGGGGGTGTACCAGTGATTTATACAATTGAATCACCTTTTTTTATTAAAGTCAAAAGGTATGCTGTGTACACTGCAGTACACTGTATACACACTTGTAGTACACTATACTCTTGAGAGAACTGAAAGATCCTTCCTCTATGGATTGACTCTTCAAGTTTCCTTGTTTCACAATCATCCCCTTTCACATCCCTTGCTTCTTTCTCCAATCAGGTGAGAAAATCTGGCATGGAAAGTGTGTTCCAAACAGAGATTCACTGAATCTAGGTTGCACTGTACTGTACCAGTATATATAGTTTATTTAGAACTAAATGGGGGTATGCGGCAGTGCCTGGGTCTCCCTCTCTGTCTGAATGTCTGTCTTACTCTTCCTCCCCTCCCATTCTCCCTCTCTCCCTCCTTCCCATTCCCCATCCCATTCTTCTTCCCTCCGTTCTGTTCTCTGTCCCTCCCTTCATCTTCCTCCTTCCCTTCCATTCTCTACCCATCCTGCCCACTCTCGCTAAGAACATACAGCATATGCACCCAGCAAACACAAAGTGTAACCAAACTTTTTTTTTTTTTCTTACTATATTGTTAGATGCAAAGTTGTAAAAATATTGTGGATACTTTCTGTGTAACGAAAAGGTGTTAAACAAATTGTAAACACACTATGGACAAACCCACATTTCAGACTTCATAGGAGTTAGTGGTTTTTTCAATAGGAGCCAGTCTTACCTAAAGAGGAGGCATGGGGCCAACCCTGACTTCCCTATGACACACCCTATACAACCACAATTTATCATTGAATAAATATCATGGAATATCATGGTGTCAGGCTGATCGCAACTGTCTAACCCCTAACAGTGGACAGACAGACAGACATTCTTTTTTGTAGATACAGATTTGTGCAGACAAATTTTTTTTTTAATAATCCAGAGGGCAGCATTTTCTGATCAGTTCTAAAAAAATTTGTTTATATTGAAAATGTAACTCATAATGTTGACTGTTACACGCCACAACAAAATAAGTGTCAGATATTATTATATTTATAGGATATGCTTGGGAGGAGAACTGGACCATCATCTGCAGGTTGGCATGAGCTGACCGGCAGTACTGTATGGTGATGGCAACTAAGAGCGACGTCACATGCACGCACAATACAGCGCAAAGCATGAGGAGAGAAATGATCATTTCTACTCCAACATGCATTATTTGCTTGAATGATTAACTAAACTCATAAATGCTTAGCCTTCATTATCTGCTGCAGTAAACTGTTGTTGTTAACCGCTTTTTTAATCTTTGCAATTGGTTGTATTAATGAACTACACCATACAACTTAAAGTACAGTAACCCAAAGCAAATTAACAGTGATTAAACAATAAAAAAATTATTTCCGCATCTTGAGCAGGTTTCTTGAGAAGTAGTGCTCAGTTTGTTCGCTTCCTTTTTTTTTAGCACGTGTAATATTGAATGGAAGTTGAAATGTTGAACAGCTAGTTCATTACATTTATTACCAATATTTACGTAATGCAGCTGACAGTGTAATATACAGTCGACTTATGGTTCTATGTGGGGAATACAATTCCAGGCACTTCAGGGTTTATTGACTCAAAACCAAAATTAAGGAACTTTTGGGATAAATAAGATATATTTCACAAAAAATAGATTTTTACTAGATGCAAATTTATATAATATATGCATTAATTTTTGTTTAGTTTATTTATAAATTACAATACAGTATTATTAAATGAATGTATAGGGTAATGTTTTCTGTATAGTGTAGTTTTAAAGTTTACTTACAATACACACAAGATTTTGGTGTCAACAAAAAATTAAATCTCATTGGCTGTTATGAGCATAGTTGAATTTATACAAAATTTTAGGGCTAAAATTTAATTATGATATTTAGTATATATACAGAACTGAACAAAATTTATAATAATTTTTGTGAAAAAAGTTCACAGTTTCCCCGGTTAGGTGCGTTCTTTTGATAATTACTTATGAAAACTTGGTATGTACTGACAACTCATGTTGGCATACACACGTGTGTAAAACTGATTATTGATTACATTGGTAAATAATTTATACCTCACAAAGAAGTGGTAAATTTTAAGTCCCCCTCACGCAGAACCCAGAGTCGGCTGTGCAATATTTCAATGAAAAACGATAAATTAATTCTTAAACTTGTTAAAATTAACAACTGGTTTGTGCATTGATGCAATCCTTGGTCAATCTGGGAATCATTTCTAAAAGCAAAAACAATTATGGGTTGGGGGATGAGGGACTTATTATCTTTACATTGTAATGTAAAGCTTCAGTACTTTACTGTATCTTCAACAGTGTCTTAACTAAATTGTTTAAGATGTGTTAAACACAATGTACAGTATAGTATTTCAGGTTTACAATGATCTATGTTGCTTTGGAAGTATGCAGTACTGTACTTGGAGGTGCATTTACTAGATCACTTAATCTATCCATCTTATTGTTTAAAGTTTTGTCAGCAATGTGACATCTTCAGGAATATACACTATGTACAGAAGACACAGGCATACTAAACAATGCTTAGTATACCTGTCTTCTTTGCATAATGCGTATTCCTGAAAATGTCGTATTCCTGACAAAACATCGAACAATAAACTGAATAGTTTGAGTGATTTAGTGTTTCTTCATCCTCTATATAGCAGAAGATATTTACATAGAATAGAAAATATCCACAAGAAAATTAACAATAATTACAATTCTGTTGTGTTTAATGATGTGTGTATATGTACTGTATGTATATATGCTGAATATATATATATATTTATAGTATATATTATTTTTTTCTTCCACCCTTCTGTCTTTTCACCCCCTTATTCCTCCATCCCCAATCCAACCCCTCTCTCTCTCTCTCTCTCTCCCTCCCTCCCTCCCTCCTCCTCCTCCTCCCCCCCCTTGTTTTTTTTTTCCTCCCACCCTCCCCGCCTTCCTCTTGTCTCTTTTTTCCTATTTCTCCCTCTTCTTTCTTTTTCTTCATTATACTGTACTTTTATACCATACAGTTTGTTTCCATGTGGTCTTGGTAACACCTCTATGGAGTGACGTTAAATGTTAAATGGTTTAGATGCTGCTTTAATGTTTGTTAGTAAACATGTTTTCATATGTTTATATATTTCAACCCTTTTAGTGCTATATAGTCGTAATGGCTTGGCACTTTCTCCCTGATAATTCTATCCGTTCCTCCAATATTTAGGATTCAACCCTTTTTAAATGAAAGTACTGTATTATATAAACTGTAAACAAAACTTTACCTATAAACTACTTTTTTACTTTTTCTACTACAGTATTTTCTCAAACTATGATTATTTTAGAGATATTTGCTTGGTAACATTGGAAAACAAATATGAATTTCTTTAAAATTGTGTGCTTGTTTCTGATTATTTTTCAATGTCAGTGATAAAATGCAAATTTAATAATAAGGTAAACAATTAATATTTTGAAAAAGAACACACTTTTGTAGCTTCTGTTATGCTGCGCATTGTGCAAAAATTTAATAAAAATTTGATGGAAACAACAGAGTTTTTATTTTTAAGCACAGTAAAGCATGATTTAAGGTTTAAATTTTCCTGCCAAAAATAGAGCACCAAAAACCTTCAACAATATTAATTGTGATATTATTAATATGCTTTCCAATTGCTGTACAGTATTTGTATTCAATTACTGGTAATTTGATTATGCTTTAACTTTTATAGTAAAAAAACAAAACTTCAGTACAGAAGTGCTAATATTTTGTGCTTTCATTTATGCAAATAAAAGTTAAAAATATATATATATATAGTTAGCAAATTTCTTTAAAATAATGCTTAGAATGTAATTAAAATAAAGTTTTATTTTTTCTATGAAAAACAAGAATTGGGAAAATGTAATAGTTCATCTGATTAAGCTGCGACAGCCTCTTAACGTCAAAGTCTGGAATTTCCCGTTGCACTTGGACAGTATGACTTCCTGGCATCTGTTTTGTGAATTTTGTATGTTGAAAAGAGAGCTACAGTAGTAATGCAAATCTCCCTCCTTTGGCTGGATATTTGTGAACCATTTGGGCTTTCTGTAAGCTGGTAGGGATATATGGCTATACAGTATTTTGCTTAGCTGAACAATTTTGGGGTCAAGTTTCTGAGCCCATTATGTGCCTCTAGGCTTTTCCCTGCCTGTCTTTGAAAAATATTATTATTTTAAACACCTGTTGGCCAAATATACAAAACCAACTGTTACACCCAAAAAAGACCTTATTCTTTATTATTATTTTTGTAGAGGGCATGAGAAAGTATGTAACAAACAAACTTAAACATCGAATCGAATCCAAGACTTTAGGGGATGGAAGGCTTGGGCGAGGATCAGAAAACTTGAGCACGGAACCGGGTACAAGTCGGAGGAGAGGGGTACAGCTTGATGGCCCAACCACCGTGGGTTTGACTTGACAGTGATACTGTACGGCGTTCTTGTTGGCCATTTGTATCCATGGGCGTCAGGCGGCTCGGTTCCTAGGCAGCTGGCAGTTAGTGGTACAGTAGTTGTTTGTGTTACTTGGTTGATTCCTGGTTAATGGGGTTCTGGGAGTTCTACTCCCCAAGGCCAGGCTTGACTTGTGAGAGTTTGGTCCACCTGGCTGTTGCTTGGAGCGGCCCGCAGGCCCACATACCTGCCACAGCCCGGTTGGTCCGGCACTCCTTGGAGGAAACAATCTAGTTTCCTCTTGACGATGTCCACGGTTGGTCCGGCAATATTTCTTATGCAAGCTGGGAGGGTGTTGAACAACCGTGGACCTCTGATGTTTATACAATGTTCTCTGATTGTGCCCCTGACACTCTTCAATCTTGGGTCTTCGTCCATCGGTCTTCTGACTTCAGAGCTCTTCTTCTTTCTTCTGGGATTTTCTGTCTTGGGCCTCATGGTAGTCTTGCTTCTTGTTGACATTGCAGTGTTGTCATTCGAGGTTGTGGGTGCAGTGTCCAGAAGGATATCTTCAGGTCTGTAGTTGCACTTCCGTTGAGGAGGGGATGGTGCTCTAACTGAGACATCTGATGAATCACACGAGTCGGAAGGCAGAGGTGGTGGTCCTTGGAAGTTGAGTAGTAGTAGGTCCTGCAGCTAGAGTAAAAGGTTCAGTGGGCGTGAACAGGGTCTGTGACGCGATGGTAGTAAGTGGTTCTGAAGGAGGCATGGCAGCAGACTGTGCAGTTGCAGGGATGGTGGGTGGGGCTGCAGCATATGTCGTCGGATGTGAAGGCGTCAATTCCGGAGCTGCTTCCTCCGCTGTGGCTGTTGGAGCTGGTGTTGAAGCAGTGGACAGTAGATCTGTGAGCGTGGCAGTATTCACAGTGATGTCAGAGTCAGAGACCTCAGTAGAGCCCGCAGGAGGAACAGAGGTCATGTAGACTTACTCGGTTACGGTGAAAGTTGGGAGGCAGTTCGCAGCGTAGAATATGTTCAGAATCCTCACGTATTCCTGGTAGTTGGGACCAGCAATCTTGAGAGCGTACGTCGAACAGTGCAGTGAGTAAGGAGCCGGTATCTGCTGTGGTGAAGGCTCGGTCGGTGATTGGCTGTGATGGGGTGGTGGCGATGGCTGGGTAGGTGAGTGGCTGGTGGACTGGAAGCTGTTTCCCCATTGGCTGGGTTGCTGTGTTGTAGCTCTTCCTTCTCCCAGGACCTCTGGGAAAGTGGCAGCTTAGGTGTTGAATGACAGTGGTGAAGGCAGCAAGGCACTTCGAATCTTCAATTTTCTGGATTTCTTCCTTTCGACATGGGGCAGCAATTGAAGATGGCCACGTGGTCACAATCACAGACAAGACATTGTTGGACTTTAGTCTTGCAGACGGTGTAGTGGTGGTCTTCAGTGCAGATGCTGCACTTGGTGATTCTTTCCGTGCATTTCTTGGTAATGTGTGTGGTATTGGTAGCACTTTAGGGATTGTTGTAGATCATAGTAGCGTTCCTTCTTGATCATGGGTGGTGAAATCTTGACCCTGTAGCACTTGAGCCCTTATGCAGCTGTAAGGTCCACTTGGGCGATGGCGGAGAAGGTCAGTTTCATGGTCGCGAGGGTTCCGGGGGTGCGGCTGAGGATATTGAGAATGGTTGATTTCACACGAGGGTTCTCGGCTTCAATTGCATCCACAGTAACTTGGATCTCTGACCACGACCTCCAATTGCTGGTTCTGGTGAAAAGGGATCTCGGCAAGGAACCATTGAGGGAATATCAGGCTGATATGTGCTTTTTCAAAGTTGGTGTGGATAGGAAGTGTTTAGAAGTGGTCGTATTATCCTCTTGTGAATAGAATAGATCCTCCGCCTCCTGGCGAAAGTTGATGAGTGTGAGGTTGGTGATGGTGGAGCGGGTTTGCAGCAGTTCACTCTTGGTGAACACATGGTTGTTCAGGAAGGTGGCCTTTACTTTGAAACATGGTACCAGGTGACTGGTCCCATATGCCATCTCCTCAACGGGTTGCAGTGGTGTCGGTCGTGTGGAGATGCTTGGGCTTGCTGGTGCTTTACCCGGCAATGCTCATTACTTAAGGAGGCCCCCTTCCTTCTCTCGAATATCCAGGATGAGAGTGGGGCTGACCTCTTACTGTAGTCGGCATGGCACACTACACTGTCACAAGGTGTGGGCTGTGAGAACAGACACGTCCATTCCCGAGGCAAGCGTGCAGAAAACCTGATCAACTGTAATGCCTAAGTACTAAATTGGGCTAAGATGGCATATATTAGGCCTATTACAGGTTAGATTAGGCTGTATAATTACTGTTCCACTCTTTTAGAATGCCATATGAAGAATTACAATATAGTAGTGTTAAACGTGAGCTCTCTTGGGTGCAACTCTATTTTTCTATGTTTGACCATTATTGTAATTGTTGTAAGTGCTATAATTTTTGGAGGAATAGGCACTCACAGAATGGGAATGGGTATAAAATCCACTGCCACTCAGAGAATGGGTAATGCTCATAATATATTTATTAAACTAAATTGTACAGTACAATTCTCGTGGTACTAGCTTACACCAAATAAAAGTAAAATTGTCCTTCATAGGAAGACTCAGGATTGTTGAATAACCACTTCATAACTTTTGAGATTGCATACAGTATTTGGTATCCTTTGGGAACTCACCATATGCTACATTTATACAGAACATTTTGAACTTTGCAATCCCCTTAGCATTTTTCTTTATTGATATACTGTATATTGAAAGGCTTTTATTGTAAAATACTGTAGAACTACTGTACATGTATGCCTTGAGTCATATAGTGCTGTATTGTTTATTTTTTTCTAAATGCTTAATATGTGCCTTGACACATGCACTCAATAAATGTTAGATCTGTTGATGTTCAATGCCCAGTTTTGGAATTCAACGTGTACACTTATCTTTGGATATGGATAATCTGTAGCTTTATGCTTATTGACATTTTGTTACTTGCCAGTAGATTATATAGATTTGGTGTCCATATAAATGAGCAGATCTGGATAATCCAGATATGGTATGTGATAAATGTTGGAAAAGTGGTTTTATTAAATATAATTTTTTAATTATAAATGATCTTTTCCAAGTGCTTTTCATGTTGCCTTTTGCTTCATTGAATCTATTCACATAATATGCAAGTTTTGCCTTTCTTATGATACTGGTAAGCATTGATGAGTACCTTTTAGCTACTTCCTTTGAAACTAGGCCAATCCTAACTTTCTTTTCATATTCATGTTTCTTGTTGATTGAGTTGAGAATGCCACTTGTGAGCCATGGATTGTTTAATCTTTTGTCAGTTACTTGCTTGGTAAGGAGGGGACAATGAATGTTGTAGAGGCTTAGAGTTTTGGAGATGAAGAGGTTAGCTAATGAATTTATATCATGGGTATTATTGAATTCAGAATCCCAGTTAATATTGTAAAGTGCCTCTGTAAGATTGTCTAAAGCTGATTCACTGTGTAGCCTAAATGAAAGTTTCTTGCTTTTTGGTGGTGTTATGTCCATGTTCGCTATGAGAAAGGTAGGATAGTGGTCAGTTGTTCTGTCATAGATTATACCAGATACAAGGGGAGCTGTTATGTTTGTCCATATGTGGTCCAAGGTAGTGGCTGATGTTTGGGTGACTCGGGTAGGTTTGGTGATTGTGGGGATTAGCATACAGGAGTTCATGCTGTTAAGGAAATGGTTAACTTGAGAGCAATTTTGTTGACCCAGGTCAATATTAAAATCTCCTCCCAGAATGAAGTGGTTTTTGTTGAGATTGTTGTTTATAATAAGATTCCTTAGGTTGTCTGAGAAAGAAGCTATGTTAGTATTGGGAAATCTATAGATGGCTCCAATAGTCAAAGAAGATTTAAGGGATTTAATTGAAAACTGAGCAAAAGTATATTCACAGTAGTCATCTCTGTCACTAATAACACTGTTGCAGATAAATGTATCTCGGTAATATATAGCTGTGCCACCACCTTTTTTATTAGGCCTACAGTTATGAATGGCTTTATAACCAGCTAAGTTGTAGAGTTGGGTATAGTCTTTATTTAGCCAAGTTTCTGTTAAAATAATGAACGATAGGTTAGTACCTATTGCTGTGAGTAATGCATTTAAATCGTCAAAATGTTTACCAAGTGATCTAACATTTTGGTTATAAACTGATAGACAGGTGCTATTTTGAAGTTTGTGTTTAGCCTGGTGTGCTGTGAAATACTTGCAATAATGATGATCAATGTGCTGGTTGGTGTAGATATGAGACAGAAGATTTTGATCAGGATCAATATCAGTGTGCATAGGATGCAGAGGGATCACGATACAAGATACACGATAAAGCAAAACACAAGAATAAAAGCAAATACAATAAAATAGTAACAATTTAGAAGTAAAATAAAGATCCAATAGTTAGCAAGGGAGGACACAGAAGTTACATAAAAGAAAAAAAACAAAAAATCAGTAGAGACTGACAATATAAATGTAAAATAAAAATAATAAGAAAAATGATAATCATAAAAAAAAAAAATGATCTTGAAGATAATTAGCTTAGTAATGGTTAATTAACAGGGTAATAAAAAGCCCTAGGTTTAGTGACTATTTTGTTTTGGTATCAGTACAGTATGCGTATAGTATTGTGAGATGGTGATGGTACTGTATGGTGCAACCTCCAAAATCTGCATCGCATTATAACTTTAAAACCTCAAAGATTTAGCAACTAGATCAATGCAGTAATTTAACATTTATAACACCAGTTTTATGTGTGTGTGTTTTGGGTGATTAAGACAAAGGGTTAGTGGTTGTTTTTATATTTACAGTATTTTCGTACAGTCTAGTCTTGGTTACAGCAGTTGGTTTGTTTGCAATGTAGTGAAGGTGTCTTAGTAACTAAGATGAAGCCTGGAGCAGGGCAGAGAGCTTGATTGTGGCCGGCGGTAGAGAGCTCAGATGCTGGGTGAATGCATAGAGCATGACGCTCTGAATGTGAGTGGGGTCGGAGAGCTTGGATGCGAGACAAGAGCGTGGAAGCTCGATGTGGCTGGAAACTGGCTGGCTGCTCTGTGTCGAGGCTCAAGTGTCTTGTGAGAGGAGGAACTAGACTTGTCAAATGTTACATTGTTGCTGGTGAATGTCAATGGGTGTTGATTATCTGTGGCATCTCTCAAGCGTCTGTACTCATTCACTCTTGGAGTTTAGACTGACTGATGACGATGTGCTGTCGATGGCTCGTATTACAAGCTTCCTCCTCACATTGGCCAAAGTGACCAACATCTGGTACGTTACCTGTCAGCTGGCCTGATTGATCCTGTACCCTTAGGAAGTGTGGAACACTTATAGGTTATGTAGAATTAACAGACCCATCTCATTATCTGTCATGAACCTAATGAGTGAATGGAGCAAGTATATTACTGCACTTCTTAATATAGCTGCTACATGGGAATCAGGTATATACTGGTTTTGGGAACAAAGTATAGTGCTGTATATATACACTAAGGCAGTATCCACAATTTATGCTTGATCACAAAGTTGTCCATCCATAACTAACTAATAAACAAGTAGTTTTAATTGGTAGAAACTTGACAAAGAATAATGTTTCCATTATTACAGAAATTGAACATAGAGAACTGGAAAAATGAGAAGTATAGTTACGACATGCACCCGTGCTTCTCGCCCACACCCTCCTTTTCATCACTGCCAATATTGACCTGTGTTGCTCGGGTACCATTTGATAAGGGTCCAGGATGGACCGGGTAACAGGTATCAGAAAAGGAAAAATACTTGAGTTAATATAATTCCAGCTCTGGAGAGAGAAACAAGATAACATAGCAGGTTTAGAATCATTAGAATGGGGTTTCAAATCTAAATTATTATTATCTTTATTGACAAAATTATTTACAATTTTGCCTAATCTGAGGATTTTGATAGGCTTATTAAAGTGAGGATAATGCTGGTATTCACTGTCATACAGGACAGAGGGTCATACACTAGACAATAGGTCTAAACTGTAGGCTGATCAAATCTAAACGAGTACTTTTACATGACTATACACTCGCGAGGAAAAAGGACCATTAATATATGTATGTATGTGTATATGTAATAAAAATTGTGTAACTTCATAGACTGTTACACTCGTAGTTAATGAATCCATTATGTGCCTCTAACCCCCTTCCACCACTGCCTACGGGACGGGTATAGGGTGCATAAAGACTATACACAAAGGCAGTGGTAAATTATGCAAAGGCAGTGGCAGAAATTTTAGAGGCGCACCATAATAGGCTTTGGGTGCATAATAATGAAACTAAACTATGTGAGACCTGTACTCGAATATTTTGCACGACAATGAAATCTCGTGAGATACAGAAACGTGAAAAACTGAGAGGTTTGCGAGGGGGCTAGTAAATACTTGAAATGAACGGGGGAACTAAGTTATGAGCTCGCGACAAGGTAAACTTAAAAAAAAAACTTGGTCCAACAATTCGAGGTAAGATAAGAGGGAATATGATGGTAGTGTACAGAATGATGACGGGAATGTGTAGAGACGCACAGCTTCTTTAAATTGAGAGATAAGGATAATCGGTAATAATTGTTGGAGACTCAATTAAGAATCTTGAAGTACTGTGCACTAATAGTTGTGGGAACCACCACCATCCACAACTTGAAGAGCAAATACACCACGGAACGCTAACGTCAAGAGATTTTAAATCGCTCCCGGTAATT